ACGAACTGATTTTTTGTGTTTAAGGTGTGTTTGATAAAGATATATCGAAAACGTTTTGGGCATATTTTGCAAAAGAATCTGGAAGCTAAACACACTGTTATCGCTGCAATGCATTTTTCTGTTTATGTAAACCATCTACAGTTGTTATAGACGATATCTCAGAGCTTAATAAAGTTGTTACACTTTCCTATTTCTTTCATATTAATTTGAAACATATTTTTGTACTTTTGTGCTTGGGAAGAAATGAATTTAAAGATTCTTAAAAGGAAAGATGAAATTTTAAAAATTTGGTCGGGTGACATTTTCTAGTGATAAAATTTCTAAAGACAAGGAATTTCCTTAATACTAGGAGGAGATTTAGGAAGATTTTTGAGCAATTTCATTTCAAAAAAAAGAATAAAATATGCAAAAAAAAGTAACCCTCAGTACCAAAATGAACGAGTCTACTGCTTGAACTATCAGAATAGTGAATCATCGAATTACATGAAAAAATGAAAAGTAAAAGGATTAGGAGATGATTGGAGTTTTCAAAGATATATTTGTAAATTCATTAAATGCCAAACACTTCAGTTATTAGTACAACATGTCTATGATACATATTTTGAGTATAAAAATAACTTCTGTGCCACTTTTCTTATTGCAAGAATTTCAAGTCGAAAAAGACAAAGATTTCAAACTATATAGAGAGCAATTTCATGAAAAAATAACTGATACACTTTACCACTAATATTTTTGAAAAATGTAGAAAGAAGGAGGACATCATCCTTGTTTACCATCCATTATCACATTCTGCGCTGTTGAACCACGTATGTACAAAATATAATCACATTTTCTTCGCTTAGATATTTAAGCAAAATGGAGAAGAAATTAATATTTGCTGCATAATGATAATTATTTTAATTAAATTATCTTGATCTTATTTATTATTAATTACCCTTGTAAAAATGAATTCATTAGAATTTTCAGTGTAGCTTTTGATTCATCATCTTATAAGCCTACTATAGTATCTTCATTGCTCCAGAAAGAACAGTTAAAAATTATAAATTTTACACAAACTAAAAAAATCCTCAGCAAATTGAGAAGTTTTAGGTCATATTAAAAAACTAATGGAGAGCTTAATTAAATACAAGTATTGATTGCCGGAAATCGGATTTCAAATTTACCACTGTATGAAATATGAAGGAACTGAAGTTGTAAAAGCAAAAAATACGATATGTTCATAGTTGCATTAAATGAATCTTCAATTCTTGTTGATTTAAATTGAATTTTTTGAATGTTTTGTGTCAGAATTCTCACGAAGAAGACTATAATTTTAATTATTAATTACTAGCATGCTAAATGTAGTAATTAGCAAGTGTAGTGGATTCATATCTCTGTTTTTTAAAGAGACTGTTTCTTGCTTATTTTCTATTTCAAACGTCATTTGTGGCAAACTGAAATAAAACTCTATCCTGTAACGCATGATTTAAGCTAATCTTATTTGCATGTAGCAATATTCTTAGGATACAGTTTTCATTGGTCACCAGGTGGTGGGCATTCAATTTTTATTTTTTAAATTATTTTTCACAATTCATCAGTGTCTGATTATGCAAAATTTTGTAGTGTGTGAAAAAATCTACGATGAAATTGTCGCTTTGTCAGGAGGAGAAGCGTATTTTTACTTTCGCATTGGTATTTGCACCTATTAATAATTCAATAATTTAACGTATTTTCTTATTATGCTCACATGCCGAAAAGCACTTAATTATGAGATTATAGGAGATTAAATTAAATGTCTTAACAAAAGGACTAAAATGCTTGTAAAAGCTTGATTGAATGTCAAATTTTTTTAGCCAACGAATAATATAAAAACTGGAATTTTAGGGAATTCTTAAAATCATCGCCATTGTTTGAAAATGTTTGCGCGTGTTTTTGCTCCTCTTTACAGATATTAAGTCATACCTAGCTAATTCAAATTAACACTAATTTCTTTAAGCGCACTGTTCTTAAAATAAATATAATAAATACTGATTTAATTAGGATTTAAAATATTGTTATACTGGGTGATTAATATTTAGAAGCACTTTCATAAAGATTAATAATTAAAGTGTGCTATTTGTTTGAGTTGGATTGCTTTTAAAAATTTTTAAATAATTTTGTAGTAGATTAACGTCTAGTATTTTTAGTGTTCTTTAGGAAAACCATAAATTTCAAAATTTTTACATGGGGTTCTTTTGTCATTTGTAAAGCGCAATTTTTAAATATCTTCCACATGTGATGTCTCTTATGAAAATGAAAAAAAACTTTCTACCTCAGGATTTTTTTGCATTTAGAGTTTAGCTTAAGTGGAATTTTTCATTTTCAGCTGAACTACTATCTTATCAAAACGTTCTGGTAAGATAAAATAGTGTATACCCCAATTACAGAAATCGAACTTTTTGTCTTTTTATATTATATTTCAGAAGTTTCAGAACCTTCGAAATAGATCATGAAGTGGTAGCAGTTTTTGACAACATCTAGACAATGACTTTATCATCTGCAAAGAATTAATGCACAGAGTCTTGACCATCAAACAAAGTGCCATGTTAAAAACTGTATTGTATTTCACTCACATGACGTTGTGCAATACAAAATATTATAATAATGATGCATTCTTTTCGAAGACTTTTAAAATATGAAATATTTCCTACAAACAATTTGAAAACATCAATGTGACGGACTATTAACTTTTCCGGTGGTGTAAGCTCAAAGCGTTTTGCAACTTGAAGTTAAAAAAGAAGAATGCAATTGTTTGCATTTATTTTTAAGAATTGTAAATGAATTCTATAGTTTTTATGGACGAAGAATGATTTTTGGATAAAAGCAAAGTTGAAATTAATGTGAGACATTAAATAATAATATTATAATAAACTATTCTTGAAGTACTTATCATGAAATAATGAGTGGGAAATACATTACATTTGATCTCTGATGCTATGTTAAATTCATTTTGTGTTAGATAGTGGCAAAAAAAATTCTCAATTGGTCGTAACTGTTTTGTTTCATTCTATTTCCCAGTTTGCATGATATCACTTTATGGTTGTGAACAAAATTCATCTTCCAAATAATTTATATTTAACAACCAAGTTTCTCTTTAAAATATTTTTTCTATTATTTGCACTCATTGCGCAGGCTAATCTGCCGATAAATGGATATCTCTTCATTTCTTTTCCTATGTTTTATCGCTAATATTAGTAGTCGTGATTGCAGTGAACATCTGCAACCTTACTGCTTACTTACCAATACTTTTATGAATTACAGTTAGGAATATATTATTCGCTACTAGCAGAGAAGTACCAAGATTCAAGCTAGTAAAAATCGGTGATTTTACTAACAGTGAGTTAGTGATATGCAATGAATTTAGCAGATTGAATTTTTATTTGCAACCAGTCTTAAAAATAGCTAATGAAATGACAAATAAAGTTGCAAAAATCAAACGAAAGGAAAAAAGCAACCAGGCTATCTTTGAAAAAAGCAACCAGGCTATTCTTTGAAACCAACTTTTAAATTAAATAAGCAAATCAAATTTGTTATCCAAAATATAAAGGTTTCCTCGGTCAAGTTATCTGTTTACTGGACGAATAATAAGGCTAGTGCATAAGTTTAGTGTATAAGCGGATTAGAAATTTAGGCTGCCCTATGCTGGTAATATTTGGTAAGTATGAAGTAAATGTATGACGTAAAATGAAATAGATGTTTTACATTTTTCAGCCATCACTTGCTATTTCCATAAACCCGTTGCTGATCATCTATCGTTTATTCCTTTGTAAATTTTCGGTTACTGAAATTCTAGAAGCCCCACTTCCTTCTAAAATATGCATCTTCCCAAAAGAACATTATTTCTATCCTCCTAAATAAAAAGAATCAAAGAAGGCGGCACTTAAAGTTTGTTTATTACAGGTAAGCCAATGAAACATTGGAAGAAAATGTACTGAAAGCGCATTATTTTGTTCGGTATGATGAAACTCGACGAAATGGTTCCAATAAAAAAATTTTCCTAATTTATTTAAAATTCATGGAGATGAAAGATTATGGGAAATTTAACGTTAATTAATCCACTGATGTCTCACGCGAATGCATTATATAACCGTGTTTCACGATTACGCAATACTATTCACTTTATTCATGTATCTTGAAGATGAAACTGTAAAGTCTTTCTTTTTCACAAACGTTGTTTTCTGCAAAAAAATCTTTCTGCAACTATCTCTTCGTGTTAATATCTGGTATAACAAAAGCGCTGTGAAGAGAAATAGGAAAAGAGCAACGTAATGCGAAACAGATGTTTGGATCATCCCAAACAATATTAATGGCGAAATTATAAATCCTGGACGCAGCCACAACGTTAAAGGGCAAACAATCGGAATGTATTTGATAAAAGAGCAACGTTATGAGGAAGATCCAGCTAAAAATTCTATGCAAATAATTGTTAAGCATCGCAACAGTTGATAAAAAGACATAAACCAAAAACCAATAAGGTGGCGAGTTTATTTATCATTATTACTTCGAACTCAAATGCATATGGCATTAATTTAGAACGCAAAAAGCAAAGATAAATTGGGAAATACGACTATATGCTAAATCTGTTTTAAAAAATTTATAACAAAAGAGCCGCTTAGTTCAAATACTTAACAAAATTTTAACTTCAGAAGTAAAACCTTGATAATTCATGACATCATAGTGCTGGGAAAGTTGAGGTATTCAATCTGTATCTCCAGCTTCATACACTGGTACTTTTACATTTGTTATCAGTGTCATAAAGTCATTTATATCTCTATTATAAATTACATCTATTAAAATGAACTTAAGATGTTAAATTTAAATGCTATAAAAAAGAGCGACGGAAATGCAGAATAAGAGAAAGTACAAAAAAATTAATGTTAATAAGGATACATGTGTTCCTGCATAGCGCTCCAAAGCTTCCCGAAAGACGGGATAAGTTAGAAATGAAACTATACAATTATGGATTAAATAATGCTGACGAATCAGATGCCCATATAAATACCATCATCCAATTGGTGCTGTAACTTTTTATCGAATGTTCTGCAAAAACATTTAAATAATTGAGATCACCTAGATCATAAGATGCTCATTATTACATAGTTCATGATATTACGGATACATTATTATTTACCTTTATTTTCTTGACTGGGAATAGCACTCAACATCTGAAATCTTCAACAAACAGGAAAAATCGTTCATGTCCCAGGAAAACAATCAGAATTTATTGGTTTTAAGATATTTACTTGGATGACATTTGTTTCGAATGAAATTAACATAACAAAGAAAGCCTTACTTATAAGATTTAATGGAAGAATCCCAAATAAATATGTCATCGTTAAAACGCGATAAATCATATCCCTCTTTCCTTAGACTCATTTTTTTCAGTTTATAAGTACCTGTAACACAAATGACCCAACAGTCAAGGAACAAGTTTGAGATTTTAGTGTTATACTTTAGTGTTATATTTTAGTGTTCACTTGCTCAACAATTCAATCGTGTTGTTGCAAAGTTGTAGAAGAATCATATGTAAAAAACTATGCGTAATTGTGACCTGTCCGTTCGAAATCCTTGCAGAAACGTAAGAAAATAGGAATAGCATAGGAGGGAAGACTATTCTTGAGATGTTCCGTTATTTTATATATCGCATCCTGGAAGCAGGTTGCTAAGCGGCATTGTTATTATATTATAAAAATCAGAGACGTTGATTATTGGAAAAGAAATAACTAAATGCCAACTTTTAAAAACTCGTCTCCTGCTATGACGACGGCAGCCATACCGGCACGACCTTCTCTGTCTGAAAAAATCATCGAAAACCAATAATTAATGAACAGTATATTGAAAAATGACATTACCAAACAACAACAATATACACGAAAAATATGAAGACTTACTCGGTATTTCGACACCATAAACAGCAACATCGGCTACACATTTCAGAAGTTGTAAAATGCCTTCCACTTCTGTGGTACTGACATTTTCGCCCTTCCACCTACACAAATATTGTTGTGCACTATGATGAATAATTTTGAACTATGACATCAAAGATTAGTACCCTAATGTATTTTAACAAAGTTAATGAGTGAGAAATTGCAACAGTAGTTACAACTAAGGCGACCTGTCTTTTATAAAACAGACGAGGAAACTGACATGAAGTTGTGAAAAAAAGAACCTATAAGTGTCGCCTTTCCGATCCTTGAAATATAAATATCCTAGATTATCCCAATATATAATATCGCCTGATGTAAAAACAGCATCACCTTTACGTAAAACATTTCTTATTATCTTCTTCCCAGTATCTTTCTCGTCTAAATACCCTTCAAAGCTGCAAAATTTTTTTGTAATGAATCAAAATCTTCTGCTTTGAACTATAAAAAACCTCATATTACATTATCATTAATTAATACAGCAGTTCCTTCATTAATTGATATAGCAGTCCCTATAACAAGAAAAAACCAATAAAATTATGATTTTCAGAAAAAATAAAACACTGAAAATCACCTAAGTAAAGGTTCATTATCCATAATAACACCGACCATTTCACCAGTTTCACCAGGTTTACACGCTACACAAAACCCATCTTTTGTACGAATTAATTCACCAGTATCATCATCAACTTTGAGTAAACGCACAGGATATAAATATTTCACAAAAGGGTGTACCGGAATAAAACCACAAGAGCCGACATGATTATCTATATTCACTAAAATTTTTTTTTTTTTTTTATTTTTTATTTACAAACTCTCGAAAAATTCTTTAGTAAGTAAACAGTATTTAAAATAGCATCACCTAAAGTTATTCAGCTTTCTGGGACTGTAAGAAAACCCCGACATAAATTTCACCTCAAAATAATTATTCAGCCAAAGGAACAATTCAATCACAAAAAATTTTTTTCACAACAATAAGTCCCTTTGCAGTACATACCAATGCTTGAATTGCCTTCTGTACTACCATAGAGTTCACCAATTTTCTGGATGCCAAAACGATTCACGAATTCTGGCCAAATTTCCGCCCGTAAACCATTACCAAACATAAGACGTATTTTGTGTCCCTTCGTTTCCGCAACATCATTCTGAGCTAGAAGATACCTGGAACCAAAAGTTATTTATTCAAAATTTCAAAAAAAAAAGAGAAAATATACTTAAAATGGTTATCAAGATGATTACTAACTTACCTTCTATCCTTCTCCTCCACCTGAATACTTGGAGCTGTGTTAAACTTTAAATCAAAAAAAATTATCACCAAAAATACGAAAACATAATGAAAAACTCCACCTGCAAATTTCACCGATATACTGACTGACATTACAATTATATTTAATACAGTCTTTCCAAAAACAACTCGCAGAGAATTTCTTCCTGATAACACAGGTGCTACCTTGTAGCACAGTCTGTCCGATACCGAGAATTCCACCAGCACTATGGTAAACTGGCATCATTACATATAAACGATCTGTGGTAAAGATACCAAAGGACTTGGCTACACCTATTGCCATCCAATAGTATCTAAATTTATGAAGAAATAACGATATACTTTTCATATTTCGAAAATAAATGCATACATATTTATTTCTTCATCATTATATTAGTGAATCTATACATTATGCCAGTTAAATTCAGCTAATTTAAACAGCTTGTTTTGCATAACAATGCAAAACAATGAGCTTACATTACTCCGCATATATCTCACATACGTCAAATTGTTGCTTTCTTCTTCAACTAATATTGATATCAACATTATTCCAAATGAACTCTTATACTGCTAGCAAATGATAACTGCATGAATAATTTTTTTCTGTTCGGAAAACCTAATTTTCAAGTTCTAAAACTATCATGATTAAACAGATCAATGTTGACACAAAATGTTAATGCAGATACCGATAATGCTTTATGAGTGCAGGCTTGGGATTCCCTGTTGTTCCTGATGTGAAGATATAACAAAGCACTGCTGAAAATTTTGAAATATGAATGAAAAAAGTAATAATGGAAAATGGAAATGGAACAATCAAGATTAGCTTTAAACTAATAACGGAGAAAACAGTAATAAGACAAGTAAATTACATTTGAATATGGAAAGGAGAAATAATTACTATAAGAGAAAATATAAAGATGATAGGTCATATGATGATGACACATGATAATACTTTCCTGAATTTCCAATTAGTTTTCAAATTCCTAGGGAAAATTTGATTCATCGTGCCCAGAGTTATATAATAATACTGAGAATAACCAACTGGCAAACGAGGATCGCATTTATTCTTTTTATGATTAGCGTATACAGATTAAACACTGAAGGGACACTATGAGTCGGAAAAGAAAAATGACGATATAGAGCAAAAACGAATCACATCTGAACGTTGGTTTTTCATTAACGACTGGCTCTTCGGAGGAAATTAAAGGTATTTTCGTTGCCAATGACAATATGCCATTTTTAATATTACCAATATCATCTATGACATAAACCTGCATTTGTTTTAATTTCCCAGATGATAATATATCTTCCAACACTGAAAGAAATATTTTTGAGTACACAGTTTATTTTTCAAAAATTTCTGTCAATCATCCGATCTTTACACCAGGATGTATGACTATGCATCTGTGTAAAAGCGATTAAATAATGAAAGGAGACAACTCCAAATCTGAATAAACCAGTTATTTATAACAATGACCATTGTCGGACCTAAACGAAACATCCGTCATTCATGACTTTTTTCTCTTCCAATAGTTTTGCTTTTTTCCAAAGCACTGAGAGTAAAAAATTGAGTTTTTTTCACAAACTTCTTTTTTTATTAAAAGTCAAATGGATTCATTCACGTTGTATTTTACCCTTGGCTTTCTCTTGAGAACAATTGTTGTTCAATTCTTCTGTGATTCCATTACCCCACTATTTTTCTCCTACTAAAATGGTATTTCCTGAATTCCTATATTTTGCATTAGATCCAGGTCCAAAAATCTTATTTACACTCTTTAATTATGAGAATAATGATAGAAACTAACCAGGTAAAAGTGCACTGCTGGTGATAACAGAACTTGACTTCGAAATGTTGATTGAATGAGCGAGTGGTTCTGCCTTCAAGTTTATATTCACCCACGAAGTGACAACACCTATTTTACTTAATCCAAGCCAGATGGCAGGAAAATCAGCGCAATTTTCAAGAAACAATGCTATTACATCACCACTTTTGTAACCTTGTGACTGCAAAAAAATTTTATTCTTATTTCGATAGATTTTATTTAATACAGGCATGTCTTTTCTCCGCATGCAACATAATATATTTTCGAATACGTGCGTTAGAATAAATTACCTTTAAAAGATTTCAAGTACAATGTACAGCATAGATATGCATAATTTCTGGACAACAAAGTAATATAAATAACAACATAAATAAGTTTCTGGAAAAACATGTGTAACTAGGAGCAACCTGGAAGTAGTTTGCATACTGATTGCACAGTTGATTCATTTCATGGAACGTGAACTTTTTGCCTGTGTCCACTTCAACCAGCGCTTCTTTATCACGATAATTTTTAACATTCCGCAAGAATATTTGATGCAACGGTTCATTAATCCTCATATGTTTCCAAATATTCCATCTCAACCGGATAAGTAATATCAAACCACTGCAAAGAAAAAGGGGAAAAAAAATTTTTGAATTGAGTTCAGGATTCATGCTGAAAATGAGGTATATTATAACCGCAAACAGAATATTACGGTAATCCATCTATCAGAAATGGATAAAAAGTGGTCGAAATGAATAAAACATTCTAACTGATGATGCATTTCTATAAATAAGAAAACAAAATGGGATGAATTTTATTGATGGTATGAATTTGACATTAATTTCAATAAATTCAAGGGATATGATCAGGATGAAGGAAAATTTGTTTAACGCCTAAAGCGTTACTATACTATTTAAGTCGTTTTTATCATCTCCTACTATAACTTATAAATTTGAAAAAATTCGTCATCCGTCAATCAACCGCTTGCTAATGTTTAACATAATTTAAAATGTTCACTAGTTTCTTGAAACTGAAGTTCAGTGCAACTCACCACAAATCTCTCCAAAAAGTTGAACGGACCTGATGAAAATAGTGTGAAGTAAGGCAATGATAAATTAAATAAACGAAGAAAGCAAAAAATATGTACAACGACAGACCGTGTACTAACGACGACCAAACCCTTAATTCAGCAAAGGGCAATGTGCTGGAATCAAACATCCTGCAAAGTGAAATTTAAAAAAAAGTCCAACGCAGCAGGAATTTTCAGCAAATAAAATTTAATGTAGTAGAAAACCTGAAAAATCTTTGAAATTGCATTAATACGTATAATTTAAGATAAGCAAAATAGCGAATTACTGAGTAAAGATATAAAAACCGTATTGTTTTTACAAGAAAATGCTTGTTTTTCAGGAAGAATGCAACCGACTGCCATACGAGATTGTTAGCAATAATTGCTTACATACCCTCTAACGAACAGCAAATTATAGACGAAGAGAATCTGGAACGAACAAAAAGGACAGTGATAAAGTTAATCCCAGAATATTTCCGGAAAAACTATTGATCTTTGAAAATCACGCAGTTTATTCATAAAAATAAAGTTCAAATAATATTAACACTGAACCACTGAAGTAACAATAAACTGATTCAATTCAAATAACAGTAACTCATTCTTGCTATCCCAGTGGAATAGGAAATTAGTTGATTGGAGCAGAATAAATTACTGAAGACAGTAATCATTTAATATCTTTAAGTACCCTATGAGTTGCTAAAAGTTGAAGCAGTTTATTCGGACATCATATACTTCGCCAACACTCATTAAGCGAGAGAATATATCCATCCATTATTTAGCATCAAAACTACTCCCATAACATGTTGAAAGGAAATTCTTATATTTAATAATTTTCAAAATCATAACTGGAAGAAAAGCTGACATGAATTAGCATAAAAAAAATATAAGTATAGATCATTCAACAAGATTTTAAAAAGGTTGAATCGAAATAATTTTTTAAGGTTCAATGTAAGAAAACAAGCGATTAAAAACTTCGTCACACTTAGCGACATGAAATGAAAATTATGTGGGATAATTCTAACTTTAAAGGGGTTCATTCAAGAATTTTAAAAATCTTGTTTTTTCATAAAGAAGTCTTTTCAATGTATATTAAAACCAGAAAATCAAACTGTTACTCATTCGTCTATCCTTATACTCGACATAGCAGTGAATATGGATCTTTCTGTTTCTCAACAAGAGCGCAGATGACGCACCTAATAAGAATGAAAGGCATATTGCGATATCATCCAAATATCGAAAATTAGTTTCCACAAGCAGTATTGAAGAGTAATCGATTACCCGTTTCCAGTCATCTGTTTATGCTTTCACACAGTTGGCTATTACATATAACAGTTGCGCTCGACGAATAACAACAAACGACGACTGCTATACGACAGTATTCTTAAATTTTAAGTTGAATTTTGGCTAACAATTATTCACATAATACACATTTTAATATTCTTGGAAGGAACGAAATACAAGGAAAGAATGCTGACAAATGCAAACAAGTTAGTGGCCATCACTATAAGTAAACATATTTAAAAGTGATTCTTCGACTTGTGAGCCGATAACTAAAATTATAGTTTCGAACTAGGTCATGAGAGAGAACAGTTATAAAAGAAAACAGTAATAAAAGAAAATTGTGCTATTAAAAGTATCTTTTCTCTTCCAACACTCTATCCACTCCGATTTAAAAGATAAAAAAGTACTACTGATTTAAAAGTGTTTAATTTACTGTTGAGAAATAATGAATCCTAGCGAAACGATAAAGCTGTCTATCCAGGATATACAACAAAGACCAAAACAATAAGTTAAAAAAAAAGCGAATAAGTTAGCACTCAAAGTAAAAGAATAGTGTCCTTCTCCTTCTTCCTCCAAAGTTCCAAAGATTGCCCTCCCTCCACCTCCTATCCTTCAAACCATTCCTTACTTTTTGCAATGAAAATGAATTGTCATTGGTTATTTGTAAGCTTTCATTAATTTTCTCAAACATTCTGAACATAGTACCACTTGACTCGGTGAACATGAGAAGACTAAATTATTCATGCTTCAGTGATAATAAAACCTTGTTAAAACAAACAAAAATAGAAATCATTTCTTCCTATTGAAAGTGACGCCGCTTCATTCACAACCGGTCGCAACAAGTGAGACTCATAATCATCACTATTAAACATCATTCATTCGCTTTAATCAAGACCAGCATTGGCAGAGGAAGGCAATGATAAGAAATGAAAGACCAAAATAAAAAACAGTTAATGGAAGAGAAATAGAAATCAGTAGATAGTAAACTGTATCTTTCTTCGTAAAAAGAAGTCATGAAATAAGGCGAGAATGACAATTACATTACTTAAAGTGTAATTAGTAACATGTATGTCTTCAGCGTAACTGAACATGAAAAAAAAAATGATCAAGTGCAAGTAATTGACGATAATGGCAAAAACAATAAAATCTGAGATAAAACAAAGAATTTCGATGAAATGCCTAGAGGAAGCTGTTTTGTAATCGCAAGACTGGTTTAAGTTATTTTTTCAAATTTCGGACTCGGCAACAGCTGCAGAAACTTAGGTTTGAACGAATAAATTTGGCAGTTTTGAAATAATCCACAGACAGCCGAAGAACACTTTCTCGAGACATAAATTTAAGTTAAATATATACAGAAAGAAATCGACTAACAAATAAAATTTTTTAATAACGGATTTCCGGAAAACCTAAAAGTCACATGAGATCACAAAAAAAGTAAAATCAAGTTGAACTTGCTGCCGGCAGTCAAATGATCACCTTCATTTACCTCTGTTAATTCATATATTAACAAAAATAAACCATTATATATAAACTATTATCGTCCTCAAAATTCAACGCAAACTCCATAAGTTTTCAAAATTAAACTGTTTATTGAACAAAGCTGGGAAGCTAGAGAATTGCAGAGATTGTTTCTTGTAAACATGTGTTTAGTATGGGTATATCAAGTTATTTACTAGTAGCAACATTTATACTTAAGAAACGGAGTAATGATGTGCAGTGCTCTTGAACCAGCCAAATAGGCAACGGGCAAGAACAAGCATCAACCTGCATTCATAGCTGACATCTCCAACTATTATGTTTGTAGGACGAAACATAATGTTTTTGTGTGCATATTCACCTTCATTTACCTCTTGCATATTAACTTCATTACACTATTTCTTCAAAGGAATCTTTTTCAAAAGCCACGACGAAGTTCCATCAAATTTCACAGATGGAAGTGCAGCATACAATATATAATTATGAAGGTAAAAAGCTTTGAAGATGATAGAAATGGGTTCATTAAATTTTTGCATTGTTATAGGAACAAAAAATGGAGCCAAAAAGTGTAGAATATATATATCCTTCGAAATTTCTTTCAAAATTTGTGATCCCATTTTAGGCAGTTCAGCAAAAAATCCTCCAGTCATAATTCAGACCGCTCATTCGAACTGAATTATACTTCTGTGCTCGTTTGAAAAAAGAATACTTTTGATTAAGACAAAACTATCATAAGTGAAAATCTTTAAAATGTCAAGTTATCCAGTAAGCTGTTTGGAATGAACTTCTCAAGTGAAGACGTGCTCTTTCAATTTTTTTTGCTTCTTGCGAGCAATAGTTCTCTGAAAAGATAATACGAATTCGGCATAGTTTTTAGTAAGTCTCATGTGTGCATAACAAAGCTTTGTTTCAAACGCAGAAATAACATATACCATCTTCAAAATTATCAAAACGCAAAATGAAGCAGGAAGAGAAAAGTAAAAGGAGTAAGGAGGACGAAAGATGTGATTCTGCATTTCTGAGTAGTACTATGACAGAGGAAAATGTGTAGAACGCAGGGTTTTTATAGGAATAAGAGAATGAAAACAGGAATAAGTTGGGTATTAGGAAGTATATGATAAAATGGATACCGAACACTACGACATCCCATTATAAAGACGCTGACATAATTTAAATGTAGTGTTACGAATTGTTTTCTTTTTAAGGAAAAGGTGTCCCGATCTAAACGATACCCCTTAAAAAGAAAAAAAATGACTCCTCAAAAAACTGTGGGAATCATATCAATGATACACCTAAAAAATTGGGGACAAATTAACCACAAGAAGAAAAATCCAAAATGCTATATGTCAACGATTTTACTAAGTGTAAAGAACAACAATATGACACAGCTAAGATATTTGTACGACAGAGCTAAGATCCTTCCAAATGCTTTAAATCAACTTTACCTTTGTGGAAGAAATTTTTGCAATGTGGGAGACTGTTTAAAGACTATCTTTTCCCGGTACTGTCATAAATTTTGAACGATATAAACTAACAGCATTCATTTCTCTTTCAAGACTCATTAAAAAATTCGCTGCCCACTTCGGGAATGCATCCGGTATGGTAATTATTTGGAATAAGTATTACTGGAATTAAAAGGCAGTAAATGAATACAACAGTTTCTTCTGATCAGATATGAAAATTATCTAATTATATTCGGTACACCCTTAGATGGGAAAACAATAAAAAAATGGAGTGGAAAAAGAAGCCAAAGAAATGGTAACGAAGATATGCAAATAAGGGCTAAGGAGAAACCATTCACAGCTGTTTTTGTAATTGGGTTGAATAAAAGAAAGAGAAAAAAAAATAAAAATTAAACGGGATTTCTTTATAATTTTACATGAATATGAGTATGGACAGTTACAATACTTCTAGTATATGACTGGTCACGAACTTAGGTTAAAACTCCATCCCTTTCTTGATCATACATGAATTACATGCCTAAACTTGTTGTAGCAGCTAAAATGAATCCCAATCATTAATTAATAATAAAAAAAAAGAAAAAAAAAAACAAAAAGAAACAGATGCAAGGCATTTTTATTAAACAGATTAATTGATCAGCTGTAAATGAAACTTGAACTGTGGCTTAAAACGTGTCCATTTTTTTTTTTAGCTTATCCAGAAATTTCGACATCGATGTGACCATAGATGCTAGTTCATCATTTACAAAAAAGAAGAAAAAACAAAGAAATATAATCGGTGAAACTTACCTCAGGATCCAAGCAGCGCTAGCAACTAGTGATCAGATATCGTCCAACTACAGTGATGTTTCTCGACCAATTAGACTCACTACAAATAATTCATATGATAATAACATTACGCCATCGCTCATTTCGTTGAAATGAACATAACAAACGCCTACCTTGAAAATGAAGTCCAAACTCTTTCGGGTAAATAAGAAGTCAAAGACACAAGTTCTCTTACAGTCGCTTATACAAAATCGACTGACCTCAGCGAAGTCCAAACAATCACGGTCATTGACATAGCCTTGAACCACGACACAGTTCTGAAATCTCTGCAGATCAAACCATCCAATATTAAACCACACATACAACAATAGATAACAGAGTAGACTGTCTAATGTGTCAATAGTAACCACAATTATCATGACCGTCTTGTTAAATTACAAGCTTACAGGGGCTTAGTAAGCCTTGTCAGAGCGACAAAACAAACAGTATGATACAACACTTTATTCCATTATACATAAAATGAAATTTATGATAATCTGGAAAAACCAGCAAAAGCGAATCCCAGTAATAGAAAACACATGATCATTTTGAGTTTTTCCTTAATTTTAACACTACACCCGTAGTTCACTGCTAAACAATAACAGTACAACGCGCATGCAGAAATTGAAGGACTACAAACATTGGCCGTCAGTACTTCATTAAATTTTAATGTGGTATGAATTTATTTCTGCGTTTTTGGTCATTCTTTGCATAAAGGCAAAAAAACCAATATCCATTAAATAATACTTTTGAACAAAAATTTCTCTGAACAGCATATGAACTTACATATAAGATATTACATATACTAATTGGATAATTTACAATTTAATTAAAATTGATGGGAACAAAGAAAAATGGAGCATAATCGGGCCGCATTGGATATGAGCAAGCATATTTGATCAAAAACGGAAACTTCTGCAACAGTAAAATTAGTTGTCATAAAAACCCCTAATACTGATGAAAAATCAGTGATACAATATCGTAAATTAATGGGAAAGAATTCACTAAAGGATTCGTTCGTAGAAAAGGACATAAGCTTCGGTACTAAGTACGCGTGATTCCGATACGGAGCTTACACTCATATCACTTGCATAGTACCATTCGCCATCGCATGGTCCCTCTATTATTCTGAAAAATGTATTTCATATAAAAAGAATAATGAAGTACTCAATAATCGAAAATGATTGGGATTAGTAACACCAAGTGCCACTGCAATTTTCTAATTAATGGACGTTTAAATGTTTTTGAAAATCACGGAATCGGAATATCAGCTTTCCGAAGAATTATTATGGAGTAGCTCGCTTAAAAACTAGATAGTCATTATTTAAAAATGAAATTAAAATACGATACAAAAACGAAATCTAACTCCTTTAATTCTGAAGCACTACAAGTAACCACTGAATCCGGTGGCGAAAGATTCGCAGATTCATAAAAAAATTTTTCTGTTTGCGACGAAGGGTATCGATTCTTAATAAATGCGACATAATGACCAGATGAGAGATCCCCAAAATGTGAAACAACACCGTATAATGAATAGCACACTTTTTTTAATCCTTTTTCGATTCTCTGCAAAATCACATCCAGTTGTCATTATTTTTACAACACAACTAAAATGTCATTTGAAATCACAAATTTCCATATTTTATTTAAGAAACGAACATGAGCAATGTCACCAGCAAGTAATTAAATATTAACCAGTCTTTACTGATCAGTGGTGTGAAATACGCACTTTATAACTTTAAAAGGTAATGAAAAAAAAAAAAAAATAAGGATCCGACCTACAGCAATTTTTATGAAATTCAATTACCTTGGCTATTTGTGTGCAAAAAGGTGCAATATTAAGAATTTTTGGAAAAGAAATTTGTCCAGGAACCTTGCGCGTGATCACTCGACCACTCACTGAATGTGTCTGAAGTGAAAACCGGCGTGAGAACGAGAATTACGGATGAAAAAGAACTCAAAACAGATTTTCACTTTTCACATTCATAAGTATTTGGTCCTGATAGAAGTGCTATTGTAAAAATAGTTTTACTACTTTAACTGTGATTCCCAAATTACCTGTTCAAACCGTTTAAGATGTAATGTTAGAACAGGAGGTGGCTCATAAATCAAATAACGCTTCTCAGCTTCAACTGTTCTTTTCTTCATTCCATTTCGAAGCTGAAGAATTTCATTATATGACAAGAGCCTGTAATCCAAAACTTAAACCTAATGTTTCTAACGCATTTTTAATATGTTTTTTTAACAGGTGAGAGAGTTTGTAAAATTTCAAACTCCAATTTGAAAATCAGATCCGATGAGAAAAGTTTAAAACCTGTTTGTTATATGGAACACAGCACTTTTCACATTCATAAGTATTTGGTCCACACAAAAATTCTGTTATTGTAAAAGCTCGAAGACACGACGCTAATGAACGTGGTTCATCCTCTACAGCTTCTGCACCATCCAACAATTGCAGGCAATCTTCTGGCTCAGTACTCACGTTAATTTTATTCATTTCATCACATATATCACCTAAAAATTTAGATCCCCGAAAATCGACTCAACACATTAACTGGGAAAAGAAAAAGAGAAAAAATATTTCAAAATCCAACCCAATTTCTCACAGAACAGCAATGAAGTGACATTTTAAAATTGAATAAATACTCAGATTAAAACATTTTTACATCACACATATGAAAATAAAAATTATATTATATACTGAGCAAATTATATCAAACATAATTTAAAAAATAGAAAAGTAGAAAGGTTACCGTCAACAGTTTTTGGATCAGCATCATCGTCATCAAGAACGTCTTCATCGCTAATATCATTACTGAGATGAAGTCGTTCCCCATTATGATTAATCTCATCATTATGTGGGATGACTTCATGTGATTTTCGACGTATTTTCTTAAATTTACAAAAAATACGATAAAACATAGCAACTGAACAGGATTCACTTTTGCTTATATATATATGATAACTTAAAACTTACATATTTCTATTAACTAATGTATTAAATACGCAAGAACGGTTTACATATTGACAAAGAAAAAGTTCTCATGAATTCTCTAAAGTAGATTTAACTACCCCTTTGCGTGCATTCGCTTTTTCCTTTTTTATCTGATGTTTACTTAAACTCATTGAAGCAGATTTGTGCATCTTATAGGTTCCATTAAATAATGTTTTGGCTGATGTTGACGGAAGTGGAAGAGAAAGATCCAAGAAATCTTCATAAGTTTTAGAAAGATGACCACATTTCGAACATTTAACTGTTTGCAAAAGTGTGCCACCAAAAACAGCATCAATAAGTGGCCTTCCACATGCTTTGAGCATGCCCTGAAACAAGGTAAGTCCTTAAAATATAGTACAATTTCATCGCAGCATATGCACGAAAAGCCAATCTTACACTCTCTACTTTATTGTAGAATTTTTTTTTTACAAAGGAAAATCTGCTGCAATTATGATATGCAAAGATGCAATAATAAAAACTGACTTTAGCCAATAAAGAGAGTTCACTATCCGTCAACTTAGGATTTCCATTTCTAGCTAGTTTGATATATCGTGAAATAGCTTCTTTATACCGGTTAATTTCTTCCGTTCGGAGACCGTCCATTAAATACCGTAATAATTCATGAGCATCCTGTTGCGCCCAACCACGAAAACGTGGTGCTCTAAAGCAGATAAAGTTGATAGGAAATTATAACGAAAGCAATACTATTTGCAATTTCCACATCATTTCTGAGTTTATACAAAAAATTAGATGCGGTCATATTTTCGGTCCCAAATTTCTAATTTATGAAGTTTTATTCGGCACAAAATAAAAGACCTTTCATGCACAACAAGTGGCAATATTTTGAACTTCTATTTATCATGCATTTTAAAACATTAGGATAAATAATCAATGTGATATTTCAGTTAAATTAAAAAACTACAAAAATTATTTTATTATAGAGCAGTGCACTAACTTCCTGGCTATTTCACTGAATAAAGAAGAAGGATGGACAGGTAGTCCAGCTTTGAAATCGCGTATGAAATTCGCAAAAATATTATTTAACGGTCCATCAAATGAAGCCAGAGACAAATATACATGTGGTACCTGCAACTGCATCGTAAAGTAATAAAAAACACTGGTCCTTCACCAAATAACAAGAAATATGTGCAAACATTTATGAGAGCTTAGAATTAAATTAATTTCCAACGCAATGATTAATTTAAATATTTTAAAATGGAAGAAACGCTGATGTAATACCTGCACTTGCCTGTCACCAATTAAAACTTTGTTCTGCATGAGTTCGATATTGTCTTCTTTACCAACCAAATCGATATACACAGCAAGAGTATGAGTATGAAGAAGGCACTGAGTTATCGAATTAAAAAAGCAAGTGTTTCCAAGATTACCGAGGCCCTGCATTGCAAAATACACATTTGACGACTTCACAATTGTACTAGGAACTTAATCTTGATTTAAGAACGATTACTCGTACAAAACTGGTAACGAATTCCTAGGGAAAGTGTGAAACAGCAAATATATATGTATAAAATTCTAAACAATAAAGACTTTCCCATAGACTTCTAATAAATTCATCTAAAAATAAATTGATTCCACAAACCTTTACTGGAAGCAATGTTTTCTTCTCATTGTTTTTCATTTTACTTTTTGTTAAACACTTTTCGTTACTATTTTCTTTCTTTTTCGAATCAATTTTTCCAATTATTGAAGAGTTTCTTTTCGTGTTATTACTTTTCATTAACTGAGATTCTGATGGATCAGTCTTCAGTTTTGGTTTTATGAAAGAATTATAATCATTAATAAAAGCTTTTACTGAACCACCTTCTTCTTCAGCAACATCAATTCTTTTTTCACAGCTGAAGCACCTAAAGTTATAAACATCTTCAATGGCATGTTTTAACTCGGTGGAAGGACCTCCTACTGCTTTACAATTATGAACAGCAAGTCTTTTGAATTTACTAAAATACGATGAAAGTACTTTTCCGATTTCAACATTCTTTACATAATACTTTCGTAATTTATTGAAGTGTTTTATCATATGAAAAGTTGAAATATCTTCTCCTGTGTTAATGCATTGTTTTGTCTATGTATGAAGTGCTCATAAAGATGCAAAAATAAAAAATGAATGTACAGTGAAAATTGCTATCTTCAAATTTTGAATATGTAAAAATCACCGGAATTGTTTGCCTTCCACAGCAAAGAAAAGCGGATGCTCCGTGCCAGTGCGCGATGCTCTAAAGTGATTTAAAGTGTGATTTTTTTCATCACAACCGGAATAGCTGCAAGTGACGCATATCCACATCTTAAATAGAAAAAAATGTCAGCTAGGAAACAAGCGATATTTTGTGCTTAACATTAGCTACAAAACGAGGAATAGTTGTAGTATGAACAGATTTTATTAAACAAGGGTCCAAAGATAAACCGAGAAAACAAACCGATGGTCGTTGTTCGGGTGGATCGAGCCTTGCGCAGTCTTCGCAATAATTAATTCCCACTTTCTTTTTAAAATTTCTCACTTTTTTCCGCAAATTTGAAACTTTAAATAATCCCTTCTTGTTCTTATGTGGGCATTCTATATCCTGTCGCACTTTAGTATCTGAAAATCAAAAACCATTTAAAAAAGATTTTTATTGTGAAATGATCAGAAGGATTGTATTTCAGAAAGTCTGTCCAACCGGAGAAAACAGGATGCCCTCAAGTTAAGCTGCCGCTAAGTTCTACTCCACAATAATTAAGTGAAAAACATACCATTACATTCAACTTCTATACAAGCGGTAGGAGTGGATTCCTGTACCACTTCAGAGGAACGTTGTACGTCCTCAAACATACGACAGTGTATTGCTTCACCTGCTATTGACAGATTTCGCCGTTACTTGAAATACTTGTCAGATGTTTAACTTTTGTTAAAGCATATCACTGCACCCAATATGAATCATATCTATCGGTTAATGTAATCCCTCATCTCTCAACCAACAGTATCTAAATCCCGCGACTACGGACGGACCTTTGACACTAGAGAAGTCCTCGCAAAGTTGCATGAAGCGTTGCATGCACGAAACATTGTTGCATTGCGAGCCAATCTGAAACCGATCAATTGGCGCCATTGTCAAGAACTTATGTCACTTCACTGGGTACATTGACAAGCCACTGTAATGTTGGAATTGTAGCACTTCATCGAAATGTGTTACGCCATTGATGGATGCTCAGTGTTTGTTCAGAAATACTACTAAGAAACTTTTTTTTCAGAATAGGTGAAGCTATAATCTCAAGGCGTACAGAAAGGTGTACAGATGAGCGTACCGCTAGCGGTGGAAGGTATGGATGCCTTGGCGCTTGCCCAAGAAGGTGAGCGGTTATGCCGCGAGAACAGCATGAAAGCAGGTTTGAATGTGTTTTTATATTGCCATCTGCACCATACTTCCATCCTGACTGAGCAAATCTTGTGTTGTGTCTTTATCCTCATTTTCTACTTTATAGGGATTAAATACTTGGAAATGGCATTGAAAAAAAAAATCAACCTAGGAGGACGCAGTTTAGAAGCATTGTCTGCAATTTATTCACAACTTGGAAATGCTTACTTTGTATTGCGCATTTTCGATAAAGCACTCGAATACCATCGACATGATTTGGAAACTGCAAAGTACAGATAATAACATTTCTTTTAGCTTCATCTATAGCACACAACAAAATCTTCACGTTATGAGTTTCATGCACATTCATGCTGTTACCATTTCTAGATTGCTCAATGATCGTTCTGGGCTTGCAAAGGCTCATGGAAATATAGCAAACACCTATAAAGCATTGGGTAATTTCGATAGTGCTTACGAGCATGCGGTTGCACATTTACGACTAGCACAGGAGCTCAATGATAAAGTAAGTGCGACATTGCTTTCAACACAGTAAATAGTTTCCTCGATTTACAAAGTCTTCATGTTTCTGTAGTTACTGAATCAGTCTATGTTGGGTTTTGTTTCGATGTTTAGCACCGACTACTTTTTTGTCATAATGATAATAATGGTTGTGTGATTTTAGAGCAACTGATATATATACCGCATGATTTTTCGATTTTGTAGATTGCATTTGTTTATTCTTTGTTCATTTTGACAGAATAAGCAATGGTTTTTTTTTTGGTCGCTTGTATATAACACAAAAGTAAATTTTGTAGGGTTTTTTTTTACACTTTTATGGTTTTCATTTACCAAGATTCTTTGTAGGAATGTGAGGCTGGAGCTCTTTATAATGTGGCCTCTGTTTATCACTGCCGTGCGAAGACAATAATCCATGCATCGGAACCTCTTGATAAGTCTGGGCTTCTTACGGCTAGCGATATGACAGCAACTTCACAACTTCAAGCAGCTATAAATTGTTATTTGTAAACATTTGTTGCATTGAGCTGGTGTGTGTAAATGAAGACTCTATTGTGGAAGTCTACTTGTTACTTAATGTTAGACGTATCACCTGCTCCATATTTTCCTGTGCATTTCTTTTAGTCATAAGTGTAGTGTTTGTCGATATGGAGGTCTTGCTTGCATTTTACACCTAATTTAACAAAAAAAAAAAAAAACTGAAATTTGATCTTGACAACACTAGAATTCATGCACATTTTTCTTTAGTAGCAAAAGAAAAAATTGATTTGTCAAATAGTTCTATTCCAGGCAAAATCTTCACATAGTCGAGAATATGAAAGATTTCGTTGCATGTGGTAGAACGTATGGCAATATCGGTAACAGTTATTATATGTTGGGTGATTATGCAACTGCTGTTTATTACCACAATAAAGTAAGCATATCATTCAAAAGTGTGTGTTAGTATTATTAGCTTGTAATTGCGGTTGTCTGCATGCAAAAAAAAATTCGATCGTATTCAATGATCTAATTTTTTCCAATATGTATAATCTACCAGTAAAGGGAATCATTTTTTGGTTACTTTATTATTACTAATTTTCGTAATTTCGTAATTTTCATAACATGGAATAAAAAATCTATATAAAAAATAGCATAAAGCAAATAAATGAAACATTTTAGATCTTTTACCGAGTAAAATATCTTTCAGCGGCTAGACATTGCTCGACAGTATGGTGACCGTGCAGCAATGCGACGAGCCTATACAAATCTTGGAAATGCTCATATTTTCCTTTCAGAGACGGCGAAGGCTTTAGAATATTATCGGTAATTTTTTTATTTTTTAAATGTTCATTTCTTTTATTCATAATTATCTCCGTTGTTACCACTACTGTAGCAAAAATTCTTTAGTTTGGCGCTATCAGTCGCAGTGGAACTGCATGATGAAGTAACAGAAGCACAGTGCTGTTTCAATGTCGGTAATGGTGCTGCTATATGTGGTGATCATGTAACAGGTTTGTCTAAATATTCATCTTGAAAAGATGTGCCTGCAAATATAGATCATTATAGATTTTTGTTTTTTTTTTTTTTTTCTATTGTTGGTGTCATAACGTGGGATAATAAAAAATTCTGTTTGTTTACAATTAAGAGTTAATTTTTTCTTTATAAATTGTTAGTTGTTAGTGAATAGTTGACAGCATTTCAGCAATAGAATATCACATCCGATATTTAAAACTTGCCAGAGATTTGGGTGATCGTGCTGCGGAATCGCGTGCATGTGCGGCGCTGGCAACAGATTTTCGAAAACAAGGAATGGTGGGAAAGGCTGTTTATTTTTATGCATTGCAAGGACAAATATCAATTGAGGTTCATTTTGTGTATTATTTATCAATGCAGTCGAAATTTTTGCGAACTCCTGATTATTAGAAAACTATTCGTATATTATTAGATTGAGATAACACTCTCAGGACTTATTTGAATTTCTTAACATACGTACATAATCATTTAGTTGTGATTTTATTTTAAATTTTACAAGTGTTTGTCGATTGCTTATTTATTAATTAGCCATGTTTGCATGGGTGGTCCTACAAGGTTGTAAATGATGTTGTGTCTTCAGCCCATTTCTTCGAAGTCTTTCTCCGTAAATTCTCAGTAAACATCTTTAACGTGGTAATTTTTTCTGCAACACAAATAATTTCATGCTGAGAATTTTTTGAGTAAATATTCTCAAATATTTACGCTGAATTTTGGATAAAGCAAATTGCAAAGTTATATCTTTTTGTTATGACTGATTTTTTTTTCCAATTAAAAATATAATTTCTTTATTTTTTTCTTTTTTTGCTGTTATCGTATTGTTTTCGGTAGGTTGAATAAAATAGACGCATTTTAAACCTAATCAAGAGAACTGAAGATTGGAGCCTTGTATGCTCAAATAACATTTCACCATAAATGAGATTCTCGGTTCTCTCCAAAAATATTAATATGAAATATTTTAGTTGTTTTTATGAATAGATAATTAGGACATAAGAAGGGACCAGCAATGATAAAATAGTATTTCTTTAGAAATGATCGTAACGGTCATACGTTATTCTCGATACCATTTTTCTAAATTAAATTGAATTTAGAGTATTTTATTTGATGAATGGTTCATTAGATGTAATACAACGATGAGTTACGAGGTATTCCAACTTATTGAATTTAATGATTTGATTTTTCCACTAACTAACTAAGCAGGGGTTAGTATGAACACAACTATCTTTAGTAGTTATTGATTCTTTCTGAATTTTCGAAGTAAAAGTTTTTTTTAATTCTAAATTTTGATCTCAACAGTTTTCTAATATATTACCAAATATTAAGTTGCTTTTGATTCACAGAAAGTAAGCTTCAGCTAGTTCGTCCACGAAGTCACTCTTTGAACGGTTTTATATAACTGTCACAGTACTAGTCTGTGTGTGTTCTTTTGTTCATTTTTATAACCTCATGGCTTTTAGTGTAATATTATTCTTAGGGAACGTCGTAATATTTAATTGTTTTTCCTTAAAATATGTAGAATGAGGTTACCAAATATTAACTTATAAAACTCGAGCATGATAATGGAGACGATAAATTGAATCACTCACTAATATCGAAGTTCTTTGAACATTTTTCTCTGAACTAGTTCATTTTGTTATATTCAGTAGACTTATGAAGAATTTTTGTATGATGAATATTCAGAGAAATTTCATATATCAAGCTGTTTTAACAGATATAAGTTATATAATAATAGTGCTTAGTAGTGCTCACATTTTAGACAAATTGCAGATCCTTGTAGGTGCTTTTCCAGTGCAATAATTAATAAATCCTTCCTATTCGATGTTACAATTGTACTTTGCTTATAACCTAAATGAATTTCATGGGCATGCATAAAATCCTTGATTTCCAAAAATAAATAGAAATACAGTTTCATACTCTATTCTATTTTGTCGTAATTGACTCTTAACTTTCCTTCTTCTTTATTAAATTGGATTCTTCAAATTGTATTCGTCGTTTATCTTAATATTTGTTTGTTTTGATTCCAAACCGTTATGTAGTATTTTCGACTACTACTGAATTTCTAACTAGCCAGTACGTAACCGAGTAGTCCCATACAGCAATATTTCTTCTAAAATTTCGTAAAAGAGATAGCACCCTGTCATCACTCTTTTTTGATGAACTTATGTTTTTACCAAATCGAAAAACGAATAACTCATGTTTGTTTATAAAGATGAAATTATTTAGTTAGCGATTTCAGAAAGAGAGTCGTGTTATTTCATAAAACTGGAACACTTTTCATTCTCGGATTACAACTGAATTTTTTAGCTATTTCACAAAAATATTTTTGGCTTGAAAATCTTTTAACATTCTTTTGCATGCTTTTTAGTATTTCAGTTCACTGCACTGTAGTTTTAGCATCTTTTAAACATATAAAAAAGTAATAAAATTTTTCGGGTCTGAGTTAATTTTGAATATGGTTTCTTTGGATTTTTTTTTTTACTCTGTTTAAGTTTGATTAAAAAATATTTAAAAAAAAAAAGCGTTTTATAATAAATCTGGTTCCTCAACTGATCTTCAAATTAGTTAGTTTTTTCTTTTACTTGAATGATGGATTTCTTTTTATATTAATTTCTTTTTTCTCCAAATCAAAATGTTTGTGTCATATTATTATGCAAACTTGTCCCTGTTTCTAGAAATAACATCCACATAAGCGTGAGTAGATGGATTTTATTATCCCTATTTGACGTTGATATGGATAACTAATAAATCCAATAAAAAGGAAATTGGGCATCTCTTCATGGGAAATACAGATAAGTAGTCGTGTGTGCAGATTGTGGAATCAACATTATATTAGGTGTTGAAATTTTTATAAAATTGCAGATGGGCGATCAAGGGAGTGAGGAAAGTGTGCGTAATTCGCTAGAAGATTTGTTTAAATCAGTAAAGAAATGGCCAATAAAGGAAGTTAACGATTTAGAAATGGATTCATCCGGTGATCCCGAACCGCATAGTGCATTAGACTTGAATGCATTTTTAAAAAAACTACTCTGTGAATCGGAGTTGACTGTGAACTCTGGCGTTACACGTGACCTACTTAATGTTTCAACAACAGCTATCGATAAACAGGTATTTTTTTTTAATGCCAAAATAGTGAGAAATATTAAATTTATTTTAATTATGTTATGTTAGCAAATTTGATGTCAGTTATAGGAGGTAAGATTACGAGAGCTAGAAATGATTAAGATTTTGCTGTGTAAGTTAAAATGCACTTTAACGAAGCAGTAATGTCATTTTTTGAATTCGAGTAAAATGGTTTTGTTCTTTGTAATGGTTCAGGGTACTTGTTTATTCAATTTTCATAAATCTTGTTTTCTTTGCATATTTTAATAAGATATAGTATCAGTATGATGCAGACATGGATTACGAAAATCTATTTTTTTTGTTCATGTAGGAGAAATGTCCTGGAAATCACTTAAGGAACTTCACCAACCGTTATGACCAGAAGTTGTGAATAGCTCGATTTTGAAATGTTCATTTCTTTATATCGCTTTTGTTTCGTCATAACGCAGCACATGCTCTCTCTTTCTCCACATTTTGTTAAAGCATACCATAAACCCGCAGTATTTATCGTTTCCACTTATATATGAGTTGTAGCTTAAATTTTTTTTCTGAAATATATTGATTATTATATATTGGTATCTTTATTCGCGAATTAATAGTGGAAACATATTTTATAGATTATCAGTCATTAGCAAATGTGTTATTTGCATAAATATTTAGTTAAATTAGATATATGCAAAAATTAATTTAGTAGCTATAATGCCAAATTCCAATAATAAATTTATCAAGGATAACTTCTTTTTCCGTTAACTAAAGTTTAATTAATGTAAATCATTGAGGTTTGGTTACTTCATGAGGCGATATATTATAACTTAAATATTACTGGGATCAAATCAGGAATAACTTAGTTTGTTGTAGGTATTTATTCCTTTCCTTGCTATAAAAGAGTAATATATGCACAAGAAAACGGTTCTTATTTAACTTAACTTTAATGTTTTTTTTTTAGTTTTTAGTTTTTATCTATTTACTGGATTATTTTTGCATACAGATTTGTTTTATGCTGAAAAAAAATATATAAACTGTAATATATATAAATATATATATATATATATATATATATATATATAAACTGTGTTTCAGCCGATTCATTTTACTACCTACAACGATGATTTCTTTGAAATGGTTTCACGGTTACAGTCAAAACGACTTAACGACCAGCGCTGTGATCCTATTATACTGAGCGACTTAACAAACCATTCAAAGAATGTTACTCGACAGTCGGATACAATTGCTTGTAATCCAGGTTGAACTTTTTCAAATGATATGGTGAAAACACTGATTTCAACTTATTAACAAAGATTTACCGTATTTCCATATTTATGGAATTAATAAAGGGTAGAATCGGGATTTTACTTTTTGTTCAACTTTTTATTTCCCGCTTCCAATCTTTTGTTCATTTTGTTGCGCATATGTTGTTGTGGTTGTGGATAGATTAGATGACTTTTGTTTGTTCCTTTTAATATGAATAAAGTACTAAAGATTATTTTCACATTTTATATACTTCCCTGTAAGGTTGCTCGTGTGTTTCTGTTTGCAGTGTGATTTACATGCTTCTTTGAATTTTGTGTTTTTTGTTAGAAGCCGAGGCACGTTTTGGGCGAAGAAATCGAATATCGGCACTTTTTGGACGTGTTGGAAAAGCAGCAAAACGGCAAAGCTTACTAATGTCTGCATCATTTTTCCCTTCCACAACTTCGACACCTCGAACTGATGTTTCTTCTGTGAAGCAACAATTAGTTGGCGATAGCGGTGATAACAAATCATCTGCAATATGCGCATCAACATCACGCTCTTCCTCACAAGATGTAGTAGCACAGAATGCCGTAGATGGCAGTAATGATGCAATTGTGCAGTCTGGCACCTTGCGGACCACCGAACCGCCGGAATTTCGGATTCCGGTTGCACCACCTCGAAACCGAGCTCGTTGTAACCATGTAACTTTGCCGAATTCCATCTCTTCGAGACAAAAAAGTTGGTCATTTCCGCTCTAGTTCTGCGTTTTCTGGTTTATATTCAACCTCATGTTATGCATGTTCAATTCTGTTTCGGTATATGGCTATTCACTTAGTTTTTGGTTTTGTAGCACTTACAGAATTTTTGTTTTTGACAATTTCATACACAGAATTTTCTTTTCTTTTTGTTGTTTATTGAAGAAAATTAGCAATAGGGTGTTTTTTTGCCGTGAGAGTACTTTGTTTTGATTTTGTTAAGTGCATATACATGAAGTGTTTTAGGAAAAACAAAATTTTAAATATTCTGAAACTTTCCAAGTTTTATGAACTACAACAGTTGGTTCACTTTATGCTGCCTGTGTATTATAGATGGTGCTGAAGGAATGCTTGATTTAATAGCTAGTTTGCAAGGTCGTCGAATGGAAGAACAGCGGGCGCATCTGAATGTTCAATCGGAACCAATATTATTACCAGTTAGCGGAGAAGTCGAAGAGAGTAATGATAAGTGAGTTTAATTTGCTTGTTTTGGCTCTGTATATGCATTATATTCTATCGACTTGATGTTACAGACCTTTCAAGAAGTTCAATTTACTATATAGGTAAACTGTAATGGTTAATAAAATTATAGTATGGAGCAGTCAACACTTTCACCATCACATGTGGAACGGTCACGATTGGAAGATGCTGGTAGCTTATACGAGATGGTAATTCGGAGTCAGAGGGATCGATTGGATGAGCAGCGAAGTGAACTACCACGGACCATACCAGCTGAAGACGTCTCGCGGATAGTTATGTCAATGCAAAAAGGACGTATCGAAACTCAACGTGCTGTGCTCACTTCAGCTTCACAAAATTGATTAACTATAAAATTGCATATTTTTTTAGATTTATTTTTTTTTTATAGCTTTCATTGTTCCCCTACAGTTTTTCGACAGAAAAAAATGATCTAATTTTTCCTCAGAAATGTGTTTTTTATAGGATAGCTTAAAGGAATAAGTGCTTTTTAAAGTTTCTCAGTCCTTTTTATTGAAATATCATGCATTTTTTCTTCTGCTTGGCTTCTTTCGTTATTTTCGTAAGTAGTTCAAGATGAGGATTGATAAAAAACATTTGAGATGAAGTCAAGACAAAAGTCGTTAACATTTATTAATTGTGTGGTTGTTTCATAGTCTTTGTGACTTTTTTACGATAAGGCAACTTGCACTGCTTGTGCATCCAGATTTGGATATTCGAATTATAACTTTAAATTTTCATGATTGAGTTTAGTAAAATACTTATACTGATTTCGGTTGCTCCTCTTCATTTTTTGTAGTTGAATCTTGGATTTAATCTTTCTAATTATTTGTTTCGTGTTAAGACAGATTATTCTAATAGAATAAATATGCGTTTTACTAAATGTGTTTACATGCTGATGAATGCTCCTTCACTTTTTACACCAACTGCAATTTGTCGTTGCCGTTTTGTTTGAAATGTTGTGCTGTGGATTTTTTTGTTTCTTGTGACTATGAAGAAGTATCAATATGCATTAATACGGTCGTTGCTTTTAAAGTGTGCCAATAGTACTACTACTTATTGTATCAATGACTGCTAAAGACCGTGGATATTAAAATAATGATTACCAGTTATAGTTGTTTCTGTGAAATTGATTCAGTAAGACAAATATTTCATGCATAATGAACTGATTTTGATGGGAAACATCTGTGTTTCCTCTTTCTGTTTCTTTTTCTTACGAGACGTGAGCGACCCTTTATATTATTATACTTCAATACAAAACCGAACTTTAATTTAGAGCAAAGTTTTGGATGTTACAGATTGGATTCCTAACCCGGGTCGGGAGTAGAGCTGCAACAAAACGGACAATACCGCTATAAGAAGTGGAAGGAGGAGCAGCGGGAATAAAGTAGAATGCAAGTTAAGATTCAAATATGCGCCTCGTCCGTATTTTTAGCAAGTGTTGTTTGTCTTAAAGTACATTGACGGGAATTGTTGGGGTCTGGAGGAATTAAATGTAAACAACATAAAAAATCAGCACCCCAAGAGGTAGAAAACAAAAAGAATTATATCAATCTGATCGATATTCGAGTTCCGGGAGCGATGTTGTCGGTACATTCTTCCATACAGTCCATCCATTCTATTAAAGTTTTGTCAGGTGTGCTTCATGGATGAGATTTTTATGAGGATGTGTTGTCCGGAAAACATCTTTACCCTTGTATGTAATGAACTTCTGATTTAGCTGTGTGAAATACAATATTAGGAGAGAAGTGGATGGATTGTGTTTCGTAGATTATTTCAGTTGTGTTTATAACCATGGAAGACAGACTGAACGTAATCGGAAATGCGTTGGAGGCTATTTACAATACTACTGTTAGTAACGAACGACGAGCAGCTGCATCTCAGGTGAGTCAGCACTCTTCACTGTTACACACTGTTTGTATTGCCTCGCTACCTAACGATGTACTGGTATTTCACGCGTTATATGAAATCGGAAAACTTTCATCTGGATTGTAAAAAAAAAAAAAAAAAAAAACTCTAATTGATGAGTGATAAAGCTGAAAACGAAGTAACGGATTTCATAAATAGTGTTTTTAACTAGGGTGCATAAAGATACTGGTTCTTCAAGTTACTTTCTAAATAATTTTCAGTTATAAAATGAGAAAGAAGTGGTAAACCGAAAAAGCAAATTAGTGACTTTAGTGTCCTCGCAATGCTACAGAAATAGATTCCTTCTCAGTTTCTCGAACAATGATTATTTTTCTTTTTATGAGTAGAAAAATGACGAAACTTTTAATTATTCCTGAGTACAAGCTTGTTGAGATTATAAACAAAATTAGAATATCATTTTTCGGTTAGCCAACAAATCGGGGTTGAATGAGCACATATAATTTTCACACATATTACCAAATAATGCAGTGCGTTCATATGGAAATATCTTATTCCAAGTCGTCGAGTCTTTGTTATTATTAAAGGTTATCGAGTCAGCAAAAGAATTATCTCCTGCTGATGTAGAACAGATTGCCTATGCACTGATCTCGAAGAAGGATCTCATTCTTGCTCGAACAGGCTGGAATTTTCTCGAACATATCATTAAGTAAATTTTATACAGTTACTGTCAAATGGCTAACCAATTTTTCCAATGTTTACGAAATGAAGTTTTGGTGCTTTCTTGGGTTTATTGTTGAATTATATGGAGATAGCATGTATCATAGCAAGGATAACTACAACTATATTGAAGTATATGAATTTCATTTACCTACTGGGGATCTATCATTTTTCCAAATGCAGAAGGAAAATTATATTAAATTTTCTCAGATTGCTTCAGATTTAAATGGTTAGTGATAGATGAACAATCACGCTTTACCATTCGATGTACCTGTTTTGCTGCAATGAAATCGGATGCCATGCTGCGGAATGAACTGAGGTGTGCTGCAGCACGATGTGTCGTCTTAATGATGGAGCATGAATGGCCTCAGAATTGGCCGGAACTTTTTGATCAACTTGAAGATGTCAGTTTTGTATTATCTACAAATAATGTATTCGGGATTTTTTTTGTTACCGTCGCGTTCAAGTTTGAAATTGTTTGTTTATTACAATTTAGTCACTAAGTGACTGTAGTGTTTGTTGCATGTAATTTTAGATTGCTTCTGTATCGGCAACCCATGCTCAAATTCCATTTATCACACTGCAGCTTTTGGTCGAAAACGTTGTCACTTTGGTAACTGTTGAAAACATTTCCAGAAGGAAAGATCTTAACAATGCTATTGCCTCTAATGTACCACGTATACTTCATATTATTCATCTTGCCTTGCGTGAATGTTCTGTCGAAATAACAGGTATTTAGTAACCTTGTTACTGTTTTGGTATTACTCGATTATAAATCAATTGGAACTGTTTTATTTATGTGATTTTTTTCTTGTTTCAGACGAATCTTATTCCTTGGTCCGTTCCGCTTTGGATTTGTTCGGTGAACTTGTTGAATGGCTACCAGCTAATGTTTTAGAACCTTATATCAATGATTTGTTATATACAGTTTGTTCATTCCTTGACACGCCTCAGCATTGCATATATGAAGTGGTTTGAAAATATTTTTTGACATTAAAATCTCAATTATTGCGTTGCTTTAACAAAAAGAAAATAGTGAAAGTTTTTAATGTGTAGATTAAAGATTTTCATTAATTTGCCCTCAACAGTGTTTTGGTACAAAATGAATTTGTGAAATGAACTTCATTTTCAGGCGGCGAAGTGTTTATGGAGGTTAGCTTCACGAAAGCAAGCAAAAAATGAAGAAAATCTTGTGGTTTTTGCTCTCTTCGGTGATGTTCCAATGCGATCAATTCTTAGAGCTGCTAAGTATGTTTATCTAATAATGCCATGATGTATTTGCTACTTCTTATCGGATACATAGGGTTCTTCTTGTTTTAGAGAATGATTTAGAAAATGAAAATTTGCGTTGTACACTCAGTTCTAAGGATAGACGGTTTAACCATTAATACTGCGATAAGTTTAAGTTGAAACAAAGTGTAACCACAATTTTATGTGTAAGTTATTCATCTTCTGAACTATCTCCTATGAAATGTAATTTGCTAGGAACAAAAGTAAACATGATGCTATTTCGAGAGATAGCGCAAGGGCACTTATGTTTCATACTAGGTCCGTCAAGACCATCAAGCCATTCCAAGTTCCAAAATAGTAATGTGGTTTTACATAATAAGTTTTCATCTTTTAAATGTACTTCTTGTTCTTAATAACTGCAGGTAGAAACATATTTCTCAATTTAATATACTTAGATTCTTTATGGGTAGCAGATTTTAAACAAATAAATATTTATTTTTTGTACGCAAGTTTTTAGCCAAGCAGCAAGTGTTGGTGCTGGTAATGTGGAACATTATCGTTTTCTAAAAACTCTTTGCAATGTTTTATCCGCATTGGGAATTCATCTGGCGGATGTTTGTACCCAACGACCGCCCAATTTTGGCATGTATCTAGCTGCTATCGAAGCATTCTTTTCACATCCATCAGTAGTAAGTTATTAAAACTCATTTTTTAATAAATCAATTTATAGTATAAATAATAATTCAGTTTCTGACAGGATTCTTAAGTTATTTCCTGTAGTAATGTAACGTGATGTTCAATGACGCCTAATTTTAATTGCCATATATATTAGATTAATGAATTCGAAGAATGCTTAGATATCCAAATTTGCTTCTTCGTAAAATAACTCGAAGCTTCTTAAAACAAGAAAAGTCTTTAAAAAATGGAGGACTTGTTACAGTATTTACGAAATGAAGCAGTTGCTGTATTTGCTTCATTAATAAATCACGAGAAAATTGGAGATGACGAAATATTCAATGAATGCATTTGTCGTGTGATCATTTCTACACCTAATTCATTGGAAAAAGTCGGATATCCGTCTCAGAATGGCCATGAAACTTGTCGCTTCTCACAACATGATTACGATGACGATAATGATTTCTCCCATGAGTTTACGCGTGAGTACAGTTTTATCAATAATTATGCTTATTGATTTGCTCATTGATTCCTTAATATTCTAAAGACAATAAAAAAGTAACCGATGTACAGCGAAAAATCATGGGGCATAAAAGTTCAGTTACGTGGATAGTAAAATTTCTTCTTTTCAGAATTTCGCGACCGTTGTTTGAAAGTTATTCGTTCTTGTTGCACTGAAAAGCATGTCGGCTTGCTTATCAGTATTGTTGAAAAATGGTTTATCAGTCGATGCCTAATATGTCCAGATCTAGGTCTACTTATTATTTCTGTTGTTATTTTACTTTCACATTAAAGAGATATAGCTTTTGTTCCATATTTAATGTGCCGTTCAGTTTTCATTCACATAAAGTTTTGGGACAATTCTGAACGTGGACGGTGTTTTACTTATCTTACTATTGCAAGACTATTAGCAATCATTTAGTGTTCTTTGTCCTCTGGGTGGAACTGCAACTATGTCTCTACCTTGAATTAACTCCAGTTGTTACTGAAAATATATCATAGAAAAATTATGTGATCTTCAGTGAGACAAACCGAATGGGATGCAATGCAGCGTTTTTCGAAACTTGTTTTATGGGAATGTCACAGCAGAAAGCTATTGAATCCTGTACGTTGTTTAACTTCCAATTTCTTTGTGCTCCACTTCTTTGTCTAATGGTTTCGGATACAGAAATTTCATTAAATTAATTTTGTTTAGGACAGTTACAAAAGATTAAGTTTATTATTTGATGGGATGCTGATATTAATGGCAAAATGTACTTCACCGTTATTGATGAACAACTTATTATCTATGCTTTCGACCCTGTTGGTTACTGTTGGAAGGTATCCACAATTACTTGTTTCTCTTCTATCTCAGGTAGTCTTTCATTACATATAAATCACTACCGATGCAAAAGAGATTTAGTGAAATTAGCTGTCTCATTGATAAATATAAAATCAGTGAGTAAAGGACAAAAATGTTAATGAACTACATAGTAATGAAGTTTTGTCATAAGGATCACTTATTGAACGCTTTTAGTTACGGCGACCTTTGAGTGATCACGTGGATGATGATATTGATGAGAAATCTGTCAAGAGACACTGTATAGCTTTATTATTGAGGATAGTCACTATTTTTGCTGACGACATCAAGGTTTGAACATTTCAAGGTTACACAACTGATAATTATTCCAGCTGCTTTTATTCATTTTACATTAATTCCGAATTATCATCATTGTCATCATACTTCTTGATTTCATTGTTGCAGGGACAAGCGGGAACCATTCTGGAATTTTGTCTTTCGATACGCCCCTTTTTATCATTGATGCAGTTAGCTTCTTGTATGCAAATAATTGCTGCATTAAGCAATCTTTGTGTAGATTTTGCGACGCAGAATAATTTCCTGTCCAGTGCTTTGTCTGACTCTTTGCATTATTTCCTTCAAACTGAAATTCAGGAGTAAGTGTTAGTTGATCTGAAAATTTTTCTCAATGTTTTTTTTACCATTATTTTAATTTTCACTTTCTCGAAATAATTTCCTTTTTTTTTATTTTTATTTATCAAGCTTACTAGAAATGCAGAAAATCACTTGCAGGGTTTTCCAAAGCGATATAGCATTCCTGTCTTTTTTTGGTTTCACTTCTCCTGCACCAGCAAATGTTGCAGAAGCAGCAAAATCGTCTTTCATGCTCAATCGTCGAAGGGTTATTTTTACCCATATTTATCCTGATTATATTGAATGCCGCTTTTTTTTCCAGTTTTAATTCTCAGATTGCAGTTTCGAGCACATTTATCGACTCTTGAAGGAATAATGGCACAAACTCAATCGATCGCCCCTCCTTTTCATCCCGCCTACAGTGCTTTCCGACCAGTTTTACCAGCAATATTTTTATTAGTAAAGTAAGTTTCTCTAAATGATAATTTCTTTAGCTCGACTACTAAACTTGGCAACTAAGATTTTAATTATTAATCATTGGTTGTGAATTATATGGTGTTTCAATAAAGAAGTATCTCTCTTTCGTTTAAAACTATCTGAATATGGATCAGGGTCGCACAAAAATTTGAAGTGGTTTTAGTCTACAGAAATATATCAGAGAAAGTTATATTTCAGAATACTGACAGCACTCATCTTTTGTGAATAACTGAAGCATAAGGTTGAGCTTTGAGCTTGCCAACACCCTAAATCACTTTTCTTTTTTTTTGCAAGCTATACCTTTTACAATGATTGTTGTGATATGTTTCTCGCAATTTTTAATTGGTCTTGTGACTCACAAAAATATGAATAAGTAAGCGTAATGAATAGACTAACGGCAGTTGGTATTTAATTTTTTTCATAAATTCACATCCAGCAAAAACAAGAAGCCGGGAAGATTCTTTCACAAACCTAACTTATCATTTCAACATTGGTTGCATCATTACCCACTCAGTTTATTTAAAACTTAATTTGAACCTCAACTGATTATTTTTAACTGAAGCAGCATTTTACATTCTCTCTCTGTTGTTCTCATTTTTTATTTTTTTTTTCTTTCTTTTTTTATCACCTTTAAAACAGTGCCACCAAAAATACAGTTTTCGTTAGTTGATTCATAAAAAGGTTTCATCTGAAAAGATGTTGCTTTGCTTGCTGAATTTTTTGCATATTTAAATTCGTGCGTAATTTTGAATTTAGTCATTGTTACTATCTTATATACGTTCTTTACATCAAAATGTGTCGTTATCGTTTGTCAATAACGTTTAATTCCTTATTTCTTTTCTGTTTCAGACGTTTAAACTCGTTGTACGATCCGAAAAATGCGAGTGTTATACATATGTCGTATGGACCCATATCCATTTTTGAAATTACCAGCAGTGAACGACAACAATTATTGACATGTGAGGCTTTTCTTTTTTGGATAGTTGCTTTCTTAGGGTAAATAATTTATATGAAAACATTTTCTAATTAGCAAAAATTTGGATTTTTGGTCCTTTCTTTGTGGAGTTAACATAGCTTGCTTTTTCTGCATTAGTGTATTGTCCATTTATTCTTCGCTTTATTCATTCCACTCTTTTTATTCATCATCTTCTTAACATTTCATCAAAAATGGAGTTTTCAGCAGTTGATTCATGTCTGTCGTCAACCGCAAGAATTTTATCTGATGATCCAGGAACTCATGCTCGTGCATTCCTTTTTGATGTTACAGAAAAAATGCAAGTTTTTACTCTTTTCCATATGCTTTTGACTAGTGAACAGTATTAGTATTTCAAGAAACTTCACATGGTGCTAGATGTCTTTTCAGGCAAACTTTAATTGGATATTTTGCAAGTAAAGCAGCGAAGCAGCTGTTTTCGGATTCAGAAATCGGTAGTTGGTCATTGTTTCTTTCTTGCCATCTCACCTATATTCCAGATTTCCGTTTACGATTTTGGTTAAGAAGAACGTGGTATGTTTACACTGATAGGATGGAGCATTGCTGTAAAACCCGTCTACTGTCAAAAACTGTTGATTTAGTTTTTATTTTGGTAGATGAATACGGCAGAAACTTAGTAACAATAAATTTCTTCAAGGAAACCGTTTTTATGCGCATGTCCGGAAGCTGCATATCACAGTGTTAGGCAGTTGTTGTTGATAGTGATTGAAGAGTTGAGCAAACGACTGCAGAGTAGATGGAAGCAACTTACAACTTTGGAATGCTGTTAGTTTTTTACTTTCTTTAATGATTTTTTATTTTCCTCTGTTTCTTAGCCATTAATATAGTATTGATTTTATGAAAACTTTTCTGCTATAGAAGGAAATTGTTGATTTAAAGAGTTACTCAAATTTTCTTTTATCATTGAACTTTATTCAATAATTCCTTTCAAAGCTCTCACTGTTAATTATATTGCTTGCAGCCGAAGATGAGGAACCTTCTCAGGAACAGTTGTTAGTTGAGCATATGGCTTGTATTTTAACACGGGAATGTACAATTCTTTTGCGGGATTTATTTGGTATTTCGGACGTAGGTAAGAAATTTATGAAAGATTCTACTGTTAATTTTCGCTGAAAATTCCCATTCCCAATATTTGATTGTTGCTGGTTAAAATTTTATTACAGGTGACAAAATCGAGGAAGCATCCTGCATAAAAAACTGCTTCTTGAAAGATGAGGCTTGTTATTCATCATTCAATATTTTGGATGCCTTTTCATCCATAATTTGTTCGGAAATTTCTATCGAAATAACCCAGTATTGAAGCTGAAAAAATTGTTTTCAAAGTTTAAATATAACTTCATACATGCATTATCTTTACTTTGTTTTTCTGTTTGACTGTGAACTATATTTTAGGTGCTAAGTTTAATATTTTTTTCAGGATGTAATAGGAAAAATTGTCGAGTGTGTGTTTTTGTGCTTAACTTATCGTGATGCAACTTCAGTGGTTCGAATAATACCTGTCTGTAGGAATGTAACCGAAAGTGTTCGTTTTAAAATTCTAAAACTGTTTCATTTTCAAGATTTTTTCTTTATCTATTCTTCCATGCAAGAGTTAAAGAATATTGCTTCCCGAAATAATTTTCTACATCTTCCGAAACAAATTTTTTTCTGTTTTATTTTTCAGTTAAATGAAAGATGCAGTGAAGGAATAGCTGTCTTCATGCTTGTTCAAAGTATCCAGAGTTTACAAATTCATGGATCGGATGAATTGGCTGTCACTCATCTTTTATCCCTTGTCTTTTTTATTTACTCTTCTTTGGTGATTTTTTTTTCTCGAACTTCTCATACAGGTATACGCCTATATCATATATGCTGCTGGTGTAAGTTCTCAAATTTATCCGGAATACTTTATAGACAAGTAAAGGGCATAGAGTGATATCAGACAGAATGTCAGATATATAGCATTCATTTTAAAACTACATCTTTAGTGGATTTTGATAAGACATGGCTAGACGTGCTTTACGCAGACACATAAAAAATTTGTTTGTAATTTGGTACGAAAGGTTTATTTGCAGAGAGAGCGATTTTCCAGTCTGTCTCAGATATTGCAGCAAGTACCGGAATGTTCTGTAGAAGAAGTAGAAAGATTGGATCGACGGATTGCATCTATGAAGTGTAACAAAGATTTTGCAAATGAAAAAATGAAAAGAGAAATCATGAAAAAATTACTCCGAACTGTGATAGCGGCTAGTTTTTTCCCACAACTTTTGAGAGATGATTTTTCGGGCTGTTAAGTTGATTGTTAATTATTTAATCCTGTTTACTGTCTTTTACTTTCTAACTGTACTAACTTTTCTTACCTAAATCGGTCATTTTCGAAATATCTTCATGAGTCCCTACTTGAATGAATTTTTATTAATCTCTTTGTATCCGAACATGAATGACCTCAAGTAGATAAAGAAAGTAAAGATCTTAAATAGGATAAGACTATTTTCCTCTGCTTCAGTATGCTCAAAATGTTGAAAAATTATGTGGTCAAAGCATCGCAATGCTAGTCCTGATCTTTGCTTTCTTCGGTGCACTTATTTTTTGCCGAGCCATACTTCAATATATTTTAGACTTCAGTTGGTGAGCAGCACAGAAGACCAGTCCATCATCGTCCACTACCTCCTATTCCGAGAAGAAAGGAACATCCTGAAGAGGATTTCACAGACTTAAGATTTTTATTTGATGATATCTGATTTTCGTGGTTTTGTTTAAAATGCAGTGTAAATTAAATTTATGGTATATTAAGTCCGCAAGCGTGAAGCCATGATTCTGCCTATGAATTGAAATGAGTTGTCGGACTGCGTAACCAGGTACCTTTTTGAAAGTGTTGGCAGGTACCTCGTTGCCACCTACTTGAGATCTGTATTATTACTGTGAGGTGAAGCCTGGGCATTTTTAAGTTGCAAATGAACAGAAAGTCGTGTACTCTCGGATGAAACACTGAATTATTGCACTATTGCGAACTTGCTTCCCATCCTCAACATTGGATTGCCTTTTGCTTAAAGATAACGAGATTGTTGGACTATAATTTCTTGGAAAAAATTCAATACGAAGGATCTGAAGCAGGTCCATAAGAATTAAACTCTCTTTATGACTCGTAGCTCTTAGCTTGCAGCAATGCTTGCGAGGAAGCAACTCTTATAAAATAAAGTGCAATCTTCCTCAGCAAGGAACTCTCCAAAATTATTAATATGAAAAAAAAAAAAATTTATTCAAATGAAAAAACATAGCTATGTAAGTGCAAAAAATCAAGACTTTTTGGACATATGATTTACAGTGGTTTCCAAACTTTGCATGCAGCGCGCAATGGCTTTTACCACATCAACATTTGGTTTGATGGATGCAATAACTGCGGGACAAGTCACTTTATTGTCTATTTCATACCACTTCATTACTTCCACCACAAGATATGATAGAAGATGCTGAAGATCTTGTCGAAGAAAAGAAAATTGTGTAGTCTTTTGAGACTGACATTCAGCTGCGACAAAATTATTTAGCATATCGGTGATTTCCTCAACATGTTTCCATTGTTCGGACAGTTTGCTAGCAACAGCATCGATTTCAAGTTCGATTCGTGCCATTAATCCCGGTTGCCAACTTGATGAATGCAGCATAAGCGATGTATATCGCGGCATCTGGAAGACACGGTAAACAACTGCGTTAAGCATTATGTATTTAAAGCTTTTAGGAAACTCAACTCCAGTTTAGCAACATTAAATGCTAATGCCTTCTGTCATAAACATTGGCGATATGTAATATTAGTACAGAGCGAATTCCTAAACAATCATGAGATAAAAATGATTTTGATAAGCACTCCTAAGTAAAAAAAAAAAAAGACCAGTGCATACTCATATTTTATATTAATATTAAATGTTGCCTTTCTCGTAGCTTCTAATTGGGCACTGAGATTTCTCCACGTATCGACACAATCGACCATAATATTGATGCACTTCTCGACTTCACGAATATCACTGAGACACTTCATTATGTGGAGATCCACAACATCGGGTAATTCTATCCCACATGAAGGTAAAACATTAAAGATGTTCTGAAAGTAAATTATAGGGTGGGTGCGTGGGCTCGTAATATACGCAATTATGTTCAGTGAATCCCTGTCAGCTATTCATTGGTAGACCCATTCCCTCACTTAATACAATACATCAATGTCGTTACTACGTCCATTGTAAAACTTGTCTCGCCATTCTTGTTACTCGGTGGTTTAGGCTGAAAATTTATGAAATAAATAGTCTCCACTTCTTTCGGATGATAGAGACTCTCCAGATAGAGACTCTCCAGACAGTATGAAGGTAGTACCATTCTATTTTCCTCCTTTTTTTTCATGCTGTCTCTCCCGCAACATCCTGACTACTAGCTTTTGGAGAATGTCTTCAGCCAGTGTCACTAAGTAGAAGGCTTATAACCAGCGGTACTCCCCATGCATATCTCGATTAGTACATTTCAAGAATAGACGATGGAATTAGCTTCATCATTATTTTATCGTCGTAGTAAAGTTTACAACTGCAAGCAACAGAACACAGGCCATTATTCTCTGACACTATCTTTTAAGTTTGCTATCTAACACGCTATCACCTGTTACAGTCAGATGGGCGACATAATCTTAGAATTTCCTCTGCTTAATACTTTTTTGTTTTGAAAATGACTTAGACAAATTGAACGGTAGCACGAAATGCGACTTCAATTCTATTGGAATTGAATCTTTTGAATAAATATTACTACAAGTAGAAACAGATAGTTGACAGTTGAGGAGGGTTTCTATAAATTAACCACAGGTAAATGGATTAGTTAATGACTCATCCCGATAAATATAAAATGGGATACAGTGGTAATGTGTACGAATCCTTTTGCGAAATAAAGTTAGTTTAAACATAATTTCACTACAGCTCAAATTCTCGTGCTATCTGAGAGGCCAAATCCTCGGAGTAATAATTCCTCTACAATCGCAGATAATTCACAAAGTTGTAATATTACTATTCTAGTTTTTCTCCCGACTTTTTGCACAAAATATTATTCAACTGATCTACTCTACTGGTTACTGCTCAGCTTCGCGAAATGAAATTTGGATTCTGCACTTCGATATCACCAGTTGGTGCTAAACCAGGGCATTCATACACCGAAAAATTGTTCTCGTCATCGGATGTTTCACTGCTCTCATAGCCATCCGGAAGCGTTATTGTGCCATCTTCACCTGATATTATTTTCTGTTTTGCTTGCTGATAATGGTGTAGTTGCGCCTAAAATTATTAGCACCAAAACAAATTAATAGCTAAAAAGTACAAATTTCAAAATAAAATGCGTCGACAAAATACATTATATTTTGGAGATGGCTTTTGGAAACCAATTTTACTGTCATCTCTTTCCTTCCTACACCATATTAAAGGATTTGGCATGCTGTAGTTTATCCTTAATCAATGCAACATCAAATGCAGTCAGTGCTTCGACATCCTACTTTCCTTCTGATTTCATACTTTATATAAAGGTGATATTGTTTTTTTAACGTTTTTTTTTTTTTAATGTTCTATCCAACATTCGGGTACTTCTTTATAAGAATGAGAAAATAATACAGCCAACGTCACCAAATAATAATATTACATGTTGAAAAAGCCTTTTTTCCACTTTGCCATGTCAAATTATCGATCAAAAGCAAATAAAAATTAGAACTACACTTAAATGCTACTGTATTTTAGAATGCACTCCAATCTGTCTGTATCTAATAATGGAGTTAATGTTCGACATACCTTATATGCCAGTCCTTCATCACCACCTTTTTTTTTCCTGCTTTTTCCAGGACCGGTGGGCGCATATGTAAAGTCACAGCTGTCTGCTGGAGATTTTTGAGATCGATCCCTGACGTTTCATTAATAAAGCACAAAAAAAATTTTTCAAAAGTACATACAAAGCAAACAAAATGCAAAGCATTGAAGAGCGTGATTTGACCAGTATAATTCACTCAGAGAAACAGTTCATTTGATATACTGAATAATGAAATTTATCGAACTTACTTGAAAAAGTAATAGCTGCCGGTTGCGATTCCAATTACCACCGCTAGCATGCAAGCTGTTGCTACTGCTGGAAAAAAAATCTAGAGAATTGTAAAGACTTTTCCATTAAAAAAAACATCTGTGTGACAAACTTAAAAGAAAGAGACATATTTGGAATAAGTTTGTAAAATAATATTCAAAATATTTCAAAAAAAAAAACGCTTAAGGAAAGCAATGTGTAACAAAGAAAGATAAAACAAGAAATATGGCTATCGTCAAAAATTGCTGAATCAGCACGATGAGTAAGACTATATTCTGAATATATCCGAAGTGTTCTTTATATGGGCTCCTCAGACCTATCTTTAAATTATTCTATCCCCTTAACAAGTGTTGATGATTTTGAGCATACTTAAGCAAATTGAGTGGTAATATAAAAGTTGAAATTAACAGCATACCTAAAGTTAGGAAATTACCGAGATGAAGCATTGGTCTTAAGTTAGTTTGCTGAACCATTTGCTGGTCCTCTACCCTTTTCTTCAACATTTCCCTGTGCTTTATCTGGTTTATCTGGTTTGAAACCGGTTCAATGAATCCCACATATTCGCTTTGTCCTTTTTTCTGTGTTGTTATCAATTTTGCAGCTGTTCCTTGAACGGGGGCATTTTCTGCATTTTCGATATTGATGTCGTACATAACGTTACTCTCTGACTCGCTGTATTCATCATTATAAGCTGAAATTTTATACATATTATGTAAGGCTTTATTTTTTATACTATATAAGGCTTTATTTCGAAGCTACGAAATTAAATTTCAACTTAAAAGGACTTAGGTTATAAAAAAATATTAAATCCAAAAAAAAAAAAAAAACATTGTCAATACTTCTCTTTGGAAGTGATAGCATTAGAACCGCGTCAGCGCAACACCTGAAATCTATCAGTCTGGGCAATCTAGTGCTGGTAATTCTAATATTTGCATTAAAATTCCAATTCGTATGCAGTATTGAAGGAATACAAATTAAATCAGGAATAAAAAAAAGATGAAAACAGAGTTTAACTGTGATGTTTGATTAAATTAGCTTATATTTTATCCAGGATAGTGCTGTTCTATAGTAAACTAACTTTAATTTTCATTGAAGAAAAGAAAGGAGCATAAGTAAAAATGCTTGACCCTAAATAATAGCTATGGTTTTGACATAAAGTTCTAGAATTTTTTCAAATTTTGAGATTTTACATTAACCTTAACTATGAGGAAAAATATATGGTAGTGACAAATGACTGGTGACCAAATGACAGACTGATTGTTTTGAGCCCGTAAAGATGGTTTGTTCCTTATTTATACTTAAACAACTCAACTGAATAATGACGAATGGACAAAAAATCGGAAGAACTAACAAGATTGTCGCCTGCCTTTGTTGGTTTGCGTTAACAAATGCATTAGAGTTGCTATCTGCTTATCACTATCATAATGTGATAACTGCGGTCCATTCTCTGAAACATAGAAATTAGAAATGGTTTTTAATTTGAATAATCCTTGCCGATAATTATTTGAATTTTCAAATTTCCAAATTTGGAAACTAGTTATCTTGGAGGTTTGAGAAAATTTTTTTTGTCATTTTTTCAAATTTCATATAAAAAACTATTGAAAAATAGATATTTCATAGATTTAAACTATTTGTTGAGAAAATTTTTATCCTTCATAATTTTATTTGCCAAAGTAGTTGACCGCAGATATTTAGTCTAATGTAATATGCTCATTAGGAAATTTATTTCTATTAGTTACGTGCATATATGACCAATAATTCCTACGTATTCAAAGTTTATCATTAAAAATAAAATTTTGTGCTACTAATCCATATTACATAAGAAGACAATGAGAATTCCTGAAATACCGACACATTTGAATTGCGAAATGGTATGAATGATTAAATTTTAAGATGTGATCGTAGGATGAGAAAAAAAATAGAAACAAGCTATATTGGTTATAATTAATTATGACAAACTATAATTATTTCAATTATTAAAGCTATATTAATAGTGATGTATGGGATATTTGTAAAACATACATAAACAAAAAACTGAAAACCGTCAGAATGAGAGAATTCGAAAAACTTTGATTTGTCATGAAAACTTCTACCTTTTGTTTTAGAACATTTATTCATGCTGCATTAGATATTCTTTGGTTCACTATTCAAGTAAATAATTGGTTTTTTTTTTCTTCCTTTTCTGAAGGATGAACTAAATCATCTGACACTTCATCTGACAAACTCAAAATTTAAATAATAAAAAGAGCCAGAAACCATGTCTGGTATTAAATACAATGTAGAGTTTGTTCCTATCATTTTCTTTAGGCTTTAAAAATGGCTTAAAAATCTTAAATGTTTGAAATAGAAATTGAAGATAGCTTCAGTCAGGAAAGAGTTCAAAATATTTTCATTTACTTATATCCAATGATTTTGCAGCCTAAACTGAAACCACTACCTTTATATTTTACAACACATGTGTTCACTCCTTCAAAAGTTAATAATTATCATTACTACCACCACAATTCCTGAAATAATATTTCTCCGTATTGCAGATTTTACTTAAACCGAGCTATAGCGAGCTATATCGCTTATTCATTCTTCCCAATCAAATTCGTGTAAAAATTATGTCATAAATAAAGACTGTTTGGAGAAAAGTTTGATTTGCGTCTAGTGCGCGAGAATTACTCATTTAGTGTCACTTAGAAAATAATAAAATGAAATCTGAAATTTTCTAGGTTATGCTGTGCAACTTTGGCCAAGGATTTAATGTTCATCGAAGATATCTAATACAATCCAACCAGTTCTTCTACTTTTAATAGAAGGAGAGTGCAGAATCATCGAATCAGATAAAAATCCTCCACATATATTGTGTATGTGTCGTTATCACATTTATATGTCTGTCTGTTTTTAGCTTGCTTAGCTTAAAGCCAGTATAATATGAATATTGGATGAACAAGAAACGAAAAATTACTTTGCTTCACTGAACATTGCTTTACTTCACTGCATTATGTAACTTTTCCTATGCAATATCCTAAATAGATTACTAAGTAATCTTTACTTCGATTTCAGTATTCGAATATTTCCTTTTCATCTTAAATAAGTTTGGAGAGAAACAGAAAAAACAAAAAAGAGACATAAAATAACCTGGCTAAAATATGTACTTAGCAATTCGGCGGCACATGTTGGATATATTCTTTACCCTCTTTAAAAAGATTAATATTAATTTTTCTACACAAATCATATACACATTTATTAATCCATCAATTGAGCAAAATTATTACACTCTTCTTTAGTTTCAATTAACAATAAGGACTTGCATCTACTTTAATTAGTTATTTGGAATTCAAAAAACCGAACTGATGAAAATTCCAGTCAGAAAATCAGCGTCTGGTATCTTATAGACAGTCAGTAAATTTCAACAAAAAATAATAAACGCTTTCAATCAATGGGATATCCATGAAATAAAGAAAGAAAATTCACTCATAGAAAGTTCTCTTTTCCTTTTTATTATATTTGAGCAATATAATGCATTTGAATAAATGGTTCTTCAACACATTTAAGGAAACTTGAAATGTCTCATATTTCAATTTTAAAAGTAGTCATAAAAATAGACATATTCAGTTAGGTTAAACAGCACCGCAAATACCCAATCTTCATCAATCAAATAAGTTTTGTTTGAGAAACCTGAATAGAGCTTTTACTTCCAAAATGAATTGACTTAACTACTTGTTATTTTCGATTTTATTGTTTCACTTCTGACTCTTTTATTTTTATCTTGTTCTTCGTTTTTGGCTGTAGAAAGGAGTCTAATTGAATATTCGGTCACTGAAATATAATTAGGATTTAATCTATTCCAGTTCTGTCGTAAGAGATGCTCACAAAACTATATGCATATATGTGTGAAAAAAAAAAAAAAAATGACACACAAAAAGGCTTAAACATGTGACATGAATCACATTATTTACAGCAAATCCAGGAATTTTATTTCCTTGGCATCACGAACTTATTTCTAAGTCTCATTTCTTCTCTCTTCTCTCTTTCAAAACATTTAGTTCTTTTAAAAGTCATTTAATTTTTTTTTGTTCACGATTAAGAACAGGAAAAGATTGCAATGATGAGTGCTGATAAAACATAAAGTGCTCTCATAACAACTGAATTCTCAAATATTTGAATTTGACTTTTCTCTCTTTATTTATCTCAAAAGAAACAAACAATTGTAATTTTTATGATTTCTAAAAAAAGCATGACAAGGATATTAGGATAGCAACAATAGCAGAAAACAATATTGTCACATAATTAGCAAGTACTGGTCATTAGTTAGTAAGTTTGAAATTTCATTGTCAAAGTTAATGTTTTACATGCAGTACAAAAGATAATGAAGAAAACTTGCCAACGGCATAAAATGATGCATGTGAATGAAGGAGCAGAGCGGGAAGGATCGGCCACCACATTCTGTCCGCTCCTCGCGATGACTGCTGGGAGGCAGAAACATCCGTGAGACTTGAATCAGTCAGCAAGCTCGCAGCTACTGATGGCTCTCGTGTATCGATCCTTGGAGACAGCCGAGTCGAGCTGCTTGGATTTGCTAGCCGAAAAAGCCTATTTCTCTACTTCTCGACGTCATTCCTCTAATAGACATGTTTAGATCCTCAATGTTTCTATATGTGGGACTGATACGATTAGATCAAAAGAGATGGCAGAAATCTGCAGGGATGATATTATTGTATGAGCAAATAATTGTTCGTACAATATGAAATGGATTTCATATTTGTCATTCGTTATCTATCTCGTCTGGCATATTTTCATTGAACAGTTAGTGTCGTTTCACTTGAGCGGAGCGGTTGTTCCTAGTGATATCATGGCAGGAAAAACACCTCTGGAATTAAATGAGTTCTCAAGTGCATTTCAAGCACATCTGGTACAACTATTTCATTGCTAAGCAGATAAGGTTAAGTAAATGTACATTTCATTGCTTGGTGATCATGAAGTATTCCATTTCTTAGGAAACAAGATAATTTGGCAAGCTTTTTATCTTTTATTAATCTATGAATTTTCAACGATTTTAAGAACCATTTTCTTTCTCATTTTAATAAGATTTCTTAGTAGTGAAACAAAAATTAAAACTATTGTCAAAATATAAACAAGAACAAAAAATTCCCTGTAAGTTCTTGCCGATGATGATGCGCTTCTTACATTAAGCATTATTTGAAACCTTGATTAGCATGAAAGGTTATATCAAAAGGATTGTTTTATTTACCTTCTTGATTATATACAAAGATACATAAATGATGATTGCAAATTGGTAACAAATATGATAATATAGAAAAATGAAGTAATATGCTTTTCAGAGCTTCCTTATCATATTAAACCTTTGTTTATTTTGGCTCCATAAACTATAGCAATAGCTGCTGTTTGTGGGCTAAAATAAACAATAGATACTAAAATAACTCAGCTATTGCCGAGATGGAAATTTGTCATGAATTTGAAAATTCCATTGTTACAAAAGAATACAAAGTGTGTACAAAATTAATGAAAGCTAAATCAGTTATTCATCAAAAAGTGTTTGTTCCAATTGTTTCTTAAAAATTTCTTTTCCTGGTAAACGTAAACTAACATAACCATGTGTTACCAGTTTTTTTGAATGTTATTTAAATATAAAATTTGTATTCCAACTGCAAATGTAAGTTGTATTACTGTAATTCTTTTAAATTTGAAAAAAGTGCAACTGGGTAACCATCTTATTTTGTTTTAGATAATGTGAAACAAATTCATTGTCGAAATATATGCAAACGAAAGAAAAAAATAATCTTGTTGGCATTTAATTTGGTTACACGGATGAATATGGCAGGATGAAAATGAAAATGAGTATATAAAGTTATTATGGCATTTTTGAGCTTGGTTATGTCGTACAAGTATCAAAAGCTTAATGAGAATTCTGTTAATAATTCAGTTCTGTATGTTTCCTCAGCATAAACAGTTATTCATGTTAGCATAAACGTCTTCCCTTTCCCTTTCTTCTATGATAAACATCACAGACCGCTCTCCTCTATACCAAGATTTAATATAAAGGTTTCTTTATTGAGTTTGAAAGGTGCAGTTGTTATGATTTAAAATCATTTTTACATCATAGTAAAAATATTTTTGAATATCAGTTCCTATTAAACCCATTCAAAACTCTCAAATATGAATTAAGGCGAATACATCTTGTATCTCACTAAATCAATAAATCATATCCCAATAAATCGATATCGATTGCTTCATCTTCTCTTTTAGACATATTTATGGTCCGAAATTTCTTTGTGTTTTTCGATATTCTTCATCTTAGTTCTCGAAAGAGCACATGTTTACCAGCAGTAGTGATAGCTCAACAAAAAAGTATTAACGCTTAATAATTAAGACAAACTCATCAGTCATAAAGCTTTTTGTTGACTGTTTTTGTTGTTCTGTTCATCTTCAAATTGTCGACTGAAAAGAACGAATTCTCAATTCACAGCTTTTTGTTATACAGTTAGTTGTCTTCCATTCTTCTTTTGTATTTCATTCTATATGAATTTAGTAATATCACGCATTATGAAACACGAAATCTTTGGATGATATTCCTTCGAAAGCAATTTTAATTTGCATAGATTATGGGAATAAATGGATTCATTCACAATAATTTGGTACAACTATGTTGTATTTTTCCAGGTTGCAGCAAGTATCAAAATTATCATCAAATTAAATAGCAATAGAGGCATCAGAATGGGAGCAAGAGGAAGAATTTCATCACTTTTATTGTAAATAAGGACAGAAGAATTAACAAATTTTACAATGACATAATAAATAATTTTAAAATTAATGAAAAATATGATTTCCGTTCTTGGTATTGGTTTGGATTGAATTCAATAATTTTATCTCAAATTACTCTGACACATAAATGGTCTTTAAAAAAATTTAACAGAACTATAACACAGAGGTATGATAAGAGTTAAATGGAATTGTGATAATTGTAAAATGTAACGATGATAAGTGATGTGCATTTGCTGTCTGTGAACAATACCGTTAATTAAAGGGTGAACAAAGCCAATTAGAAGAGAAACAGTTCTTCTGCAGCATTTCTTTTCCTATTTCCTGTTTCCTAATCATTTTAGACACATGGATTTATGTTTCAAAGTATTCTAATCTTAGGTTTAAACATACTTAGATATTGTTCTTACTTTAACTTTGCATTATGCTTTTAATAAGCTGACTGAAATACGGTTTTTATTTTTTAGAATAAACATATTTGGATAACAACGAGCATTACTTCACCTAATCTTTTCAAAAGCTAAAGTTCTAATATCTCACAACTTTTCACAGCCTCAACTTGCTATTTTTCTCTCATTTCAACAGAAAAAATGATTTAAGGAATGGAAAATCTGAGTTGTACATAACTCGTGTACTTACTTTACTATTCCGGAAGATATGGAGTCGAAAATTTTCGTTTCTAATTGTTCTTTCTGTTGCGTATACCTTTTGTACTCTTACTGTATTATCACTTTATACTTTTACGAAATGATTTGAAGTAAAAAATTAGGTCATTGTCCTCTTCTCGCATTCACGAACGAGATATAACACATCTACTGAGCTTATCAGTGATTACAGATCAATGTTAGGAATAACTGGCTATGCACATATCTCCTTCCGCTCACCCATGCCAAAACTCTTCTTGAAATGCCACTGTTGCAGGATGCAAACGATTTTTGTACCATTGCTATTACGTCCACCATGTGCGCCTAATCAGTTCCAGGTGGGAAGGCATTAGTAGTTGTAGTATGGTTTCTATCCTGCGCCGTTTTCTGTTTCTTTACTTGTATATTGTTAGCGTATTTTTGTGCATACCTCTTTCGGTGGTTATCTGGTGGTTACGACGAAAGTTTGACGAGGATTTGGTGGCTGGTGATAAACAGGTATTATAAAATTTCGGAATTTGGCTTTCTAAATTCAGATTTTATTTGTGGATAATGGAAAATTAGAATTACGGGACATGGTCATTTACATCTGAAAAGTTGTTTATTTAGTCTAGTGATAATTTTACAGATAGGATATTACCAATCTAATGAAAATAAATCAAGTAATATTTTATTTGATTTTGTTTGTTTTAGAATTTCATCTTTTTTAAGATTACTTATGCATTCAAAAATTCATCCATTTCCTACTCGATAGTTCCAGTCCCAAAGATAACATCGATGTTAATGTACAAAGTCGAATTATTTAGATAATTAAATAACAGTTCTTAATCATTTATAGTCGCCGTTACCAGAACTCTAACATATTGTCAACAGCAATAAATTAGAACTGTTGTGCTAAAATTCATCCTTTAGTCATTTCTAATGCTCATTTCAAATTAGTCAGTCGTAATTTTGGGTTGTAGAAAAAAAAAAAAACGTTTCAAATAAAAAAATTAGTTGCAATTTTCTGCTTGCTAAAAAATGTGTTTTCTTTAAAAAAAAGACAAAGATTTTGCACTGTCATCTTTTCATATAATAAATATTAAATTTGTCTATATACTATCTTCTTTTCAAATAGAGATACAACCAAAGTTTTTAATAAGTTGTAATTTGCCTGTTTTAATAGCTGTTCAGTGATTGGTTGCAATTATACTCGGCTTCTCGAGCATTCTTGGAAGTTAACAATCGGGAAATAACAGTTTTAATATATTTGGAGAAAAAAGTCGGAAGCTTTTTTTATTTAATGTTGTATACGTCATATCCCTACTTTAATTCTTTGATGCATTTCACGTGTATGAATTCAACTATGGTACATCATTAATGGGAAATGCGAAGGTATTCTGCAAAAGACTGAGAAGGAAGGATTGATTGCTGGAATTTAAATTTAAAAACAATTTCCTAAGTAATATTCTAAGCGGCTTAATTTGGATAAAAAGACTGGTTCTTGAAAGACAGATTTCTTTCTAGACTAATTTCGATACAAAACATATATCTTTTACAACATGTTCCTCAGATATGAAATTTAAACTAATAGCCTTATTGCTAATGTGTGAGTCTTTCCGATGACTAATACAAAGGAAGGAATTTATATCTTTTCCGATTTTTTTACGAGATTTGCTCACTTATCTAGCCTTAGGAAACGACAAAAAAAGAGACTCAAACAAAGTTAAGTACAAAGAGTGAAGAAAACGAAAAGAAAGTAAACAAAGGAGAAAGGGTGAAGGAAGGATAGCTAGCAAATGCCGCTTGCACAATCTATCAGATTTGGTATATCAGAAGTTTCAGATATCAGTAAATGATTGCTTCCTGTTTTTCTTCGCAAAGTAATTGTCGATTATCGTTATCATTAATATATGACTGAAAATATTTTTTGAAGTCCGTCGGTAATTGCAAATGATTAACAGCTTATTTTGGCAATTTAAGGCATGCTCATCGTCATCTTGCATCCTGAACAATGGAACGGTGGATCTGACCGATGCACACTCGGGATGATTAAACATTTCGTTGAACTAGGACATCGAGTTATATGGTACACGACAATGATCGATTGCTACTGGGATGCTGAACTATTTGATAACGTAGGTTAGTCTTTTTATTTGCTGATCTCTCCTATCAGTCTGCTTTCAACATTCAATTAATGTAAGTTTGGCGGTAGTTGTGCAATGAAAAATACTCATATCTTTCTTAGCGAGCACCTGAGAGGAAAAATAATAAATGGTATGGAGAGGGTACACCTCAAAGATTGAACTGAACCCACTAGTGATCAGATGCTCAAGTAGCCAGATAAAGCGACACTAAGCATTCAATGAAATATATTTTTAATCTTCAGTGAAATGATTTTCAGGTTTTCAGAATTAGAGAACTAAACAGGAAATAAATAGTAAAATGTATGATCATGCGGATAGATTTCAGAATTCTTATCACACGAAATTTTTTTTCAAATATTTCTAACTGATTTTTAGTCAGCAGTTTTTATCAGATTTGTTAACATTCCATTATGATATACAATTTCGCATGAAATACTCAAAAAAGAAGGAAAAAAATTATAAATTTTCAGATTAATTTCAGCAAAATTTTAAACAAATTAGAAATGATCAGTTCATCTTAATCTAATCATATCGTAAGTCATGTTAATTAAACTATATTTAATAAAAATGCTTTTTAGAAATACGCAATGTAAACTTTCCATTGCATCCAGGCGATTGGTGGACACAGAATATATTGCTTGCTTGGCAACTTATATTTTCCGGTCTCGTTCCCGATCTTGTTGTCATCGACCACAGTGCAAGGTACATGAATAAAAAGAGTTAGGATCTACAGCACTCTTCAACTTTCCTATTTTTATTATTGTGTCAAAAATGCAGCAATCAGTTAAGAAGCGCACACGCACGTGTTGGATTTTTATAATCAATAATATTGTAGTTGGTTGTTAAGCGGAATTATAGTTAGGGTTTAAATCGTTGTTGTCATTGATCACGTCATTGATATCTCTATCACATTTTAATAACAACGGCATGTAAAATGCATAATCCTGGATTGTTTAATAGTTGCTTGCCGATGTTGAAATGGAGATTTCCAAAGGTCAAAATTTTATTTTATTGTCATTTTCCTCAACAACTGGTTATACCTACACGTTTTTTCCTCTATCGTTGGTATTCGCGAGTGATTGGTTTAATCGAAGGTATGTTGTTCCAGAAAGCTGACCTCATCATGGTTAATAGTCATTTTACAGGTAACTGATTTTTGAACTTTAGCAGAGAAGTTTGTGTAAAGGAGTAAAAGTCAGACTTTATAAGAAATTTACTCGAACCATAATAAAAGATTTTGCTTCTGGTCCTCAACTTTTCGAAATTCCGAAAGTCTCCAGGTTTATTTCTTTTTCTGGAAAAAAACAAAAAACAAAATTTTACGCTAAATTCGAAGTCACTTCTCAAAATTTTTATACCTCATTTAGAAACTCAATTTCTTCGTGTGATGCCGGAAGTGAATCCATCCCGACTAATAGTAGTTTATCCTCCATGTAACGTAGATGCTATTAAAACTGGAGATAAAGCAATCAGTCGTAAACAACGTCAGCATAACAATAAGCGTTACACGTTCTTATCAATGAATCGTTTTTGGCCCGAGAAAAAACTAGATATCATTATTAAAGCTGCTGGTAATCTCATCGGGTTGATATTTTATGTATTTTCGACACTTGGCTAGTACCATAATTGAGAATGACTGTGGTTTACATTAGCCAAAGCTACTATTATCCCTCATAAAACTGAATACTTTAGCAAAGTACAGAAATACTAAAGTCGAGACCTATTGCGAATGCTGCAAGCAAGTTAATGCGAATGCTGCACTTTGACAGGTACGGGATGGCAACTGATAAGCATTAAAGATATAATGATTAACATATATCAAAGATGTTTTAAAAGCTGCATCGTTTTGCAGCTCTAATAAAAAGAAACAATAAGATGCGTCCACGTATCGTGCTTGCTGGTTCCGTGATGCCTTACATACCTGAATCACGTATTTATTATAACTTACTACAGAAAATGGTTCAAGATATGAAGGTAATGTTTTCCAGAAAAATTGTATTATAAAATTCTTAACTGAAAATGACTTATTGATAACAATTAATTTTACAGCAAATTATTATTGCTTTTTATTCACTGACATATCTTTTTGTATTCTGTTTCAGGTTGATGATATTGTGGAATTTGTGAAATCTCCCACAGATCTCGAAAAATTCTCTTTGTATAGAGAATGTGATACAGTTCTTTATACACCACCAAATGAGCATTTTGGTATTGTACCTGTAGAAGCGTTGGAGCAGCGCAGACCAGTCATAGTCTGCGATAGTGGAGGTCCAGCTGAAACAGTACTGGAAGGGATAACTGGTTCAAAGGTCATTTTCTTCTTAATGTTTGTATGGTTTACATGAAATCACTACTTCTGTTTTCTCTGAAGTAAGACTTAGAACCTTCGAAGCATAGTAATCATCCAAATAATCATCCTCCATATCAGTACGTTTTATCACCTCGGAAATTTTTTAATTGAATAACACTTTTAATTTTTTCGAAATCCAAAACGCCGAAAAAAAGTGTCGAACTGATTTAGAAGATGGTCAGTTACGTTATAGTTAAGCTGGATGAGCGTTAAAGTGCCTATTTTTTGATGCCATCGCCACGTGAACTTATACTATTAATTCTCCAATAGGAAGTGATTGTAATAGCGGTAGAAAGACTTTATTTTCTTCATGACAGTTATTGCTTATTCCTTTTTGAATCGTCGTAGAATCTAAATCTGACTGCAATTTTGAAAATGATTTGTTAATTTGCACAACAAATTTGATGCTTTTCGGTCTTCCATGAAAACTATCTTTCCCTTTCGCCATTTTATCTAGCTTTTTTGCAAACATTCTTATGCTGTCAGCTGGAATGCAATTTTTTTCGCAATATTATCACTTTCTTCGTTAAATTCTCCATCATATCGCCATTAAGGTTATCTCCGACAGTTTTGAAATGAGGAGTTAATATTTTTGAATAATCAGTAATTATAATATCATTAATGTCCCTTATAACAATTTTTCTATTATTTCTCATATGTGCAATATCATGTGCATCCTTTCGTTGCATTCAATAGATTAATTTTAAAAATTTATTTGATTTCTGAAACTTAAACAGAAATCATTCTATTGCAAAGCTTTTATTTCTCAAGAGTTGCTTTTGCAGATAGCTGCTCCTCATGGAAGACTGTTAGCAATTGCCATGGAGGAACACATGAGACGAACTTCATGGCCTGCTCTTGATGATGATGAAATCTATGACTGTCAAGTAAGGGTCATTTTGCTTTTATTTTTTCGTGGCTCTCACTGATTTAAGTTGATATTGATACATCCTTTAAATGCTTATTTTAGCAATCTTATTTTTGCTTTTTCATGTTTACTTCATTATACAAGAGATTATAGGTGTGGACAAATTCAGCTAAATGGCCAGGCTGAATAGATCCATTCAGTACAGTGTTTTAGAAGGTTGTTGAACTAGATCTAAAACAGTAAATTTAGAACGGTCCTATTAATGGAGGAAATAATCAATATGTTTGTTGCAGCGAAAACGTTTTGAACAGTACTTCAGTTTAAATGGATTTTGCAATCGAATCAATGATGCTCTGGCTTTTTTGTTCCCGGATGACCAGATTGTGACCAGTAACACTTTGTCACTTGAAGAGAAGGACGAAACCTTCCAATAACAGATTTGTTGTTAAGATGAACAATTTTGTCAGTCTAGTATATCTGTTGTTTTGTTTTCATTTATTCTTCTTCTCTAGTTGAAAAATTTCTAAACAACGAAGCAAAAAGCTCGTGAGCATAAATGTGTGTTAAATAAAAAATTCAAATCTGAATGAACCCTCCTAATTAATGAATTAATTAGCGCATGTTTATTAGAATACCAATGGTAAAAGAAAATTTTCTTAAGTTAAAAAAGCTGGAAAAAATTTCTCAGAACAGGTAGGAGTTCCTTGTAAACTTATTCTTCACTTTCAGCATTGATTCTAGAAATTCTATAATGGTAAGCAGCAGCTAGGGATTTATTACTAATTTGATAATGTAATCATTAATGTTTCCAGGTCTCCCCATTTCTGGCATAGGCAGTTATGAAGCTTTGACATCATTGAAAATGCGCTTCTGTGAGGTTTATCAGAATTTCATCGGAGTAAGGTTAAAAATTTATCAGTTAAACGGTGTTATTAGTCAATTGAAAATATAACTAAACGATCTCTTCTAATTTTCAAATTAGATAGAATCAGTACAAAATAAAAACAGTTTATTCTGCAAGAAGTACCAAAACTTTCTAAACTTATAATAAGTTGTTATACTTTTTCGAATGTATATGTCAATGGTGTTTACACAAATTTTGATTGCAGTAACGTGAGGATGATAACTTCAACATCACAGTTTTAAATTGACTAGCTGTAGTTGTATCTTCAAAAGAAAACAAATAATAGAAAGTTGGAGAAAATTTTATTTTTGCCCCTGAAAGACTATGCGGAGGGAAAATGATTTCGGTAGAGGAAAATTAAAGATGAATTAAAATTTTTCAAAAACTTTCTTATTCTATAAATACTTCACTTCTTACCCACAATTATACAATGTTATCTGTTTCCATTGCCTGGACTTTCAGTCAGAAATCCTTAAGTGCTTTCTTATACAAGAAATGTAGGCGTGCCACGGAGTACCGCGCCCATTGGTAATGAAAAACGATAAAAGTATTATCAGAATGATGCTCATCGAAGCCATCATAGTGTTCCATGTTGATACTTAGACATCTGGCCAGAATACCCATAAAAACATCGTCGAGATTAAACAGTGGGAACGAACAAATGCCATCCAGTATACGCTGGGCTGCTTCACGTGTTATAATAAGGCCTGAGCCCTAAAATGATTCAGAAGGTTAATTATAAATGTGAATACTTTTCAACTAGGTTGATATTAAGAAATCGATTATGTTCCGAATGGAAATCTTCATGCTTATAATTTCATTAGTAGTTGCTTATCATCCATTATCAATCTCAGCATAGACTAATTACAGACTAATTACAAGTGCTAAAGTTAGAAGTTACATCTAAAAGTGAGTGTTAAACTGTTCAGAAACATCTATATGTCAGTAAAACAAAAGGTCGTCTGCCTGTAGATTTTATTTGATCATTATGCAATTATTTTAAATTGCCTATTCTTTATTAAATTTTCCTCTCAAACTGAAAAAATAAATTGAAACTTCAAGCTTTGATGGAAGAAAAAAGTTTATGAAAGTCTTTTCACTTACAAATTATAATTTAAGAGTAAAGTGATAAGTAAGAAATTTTCAATCAAAGTGAACCTGTACAAACGGAGGATAACACAATTTTGGATACATTTCATATGGTACATACCATAACAGCGAACTCAGAAATAGTCTTGGATAACCGCGTGATACTTTTCCACGGAACGATGCGCCTTTCATTCGATTCATCTGAAATACGTTTAGATGAAGAAAGAAGCATTTCTCTGAAAGATTTCATATGGAATGATAAAAATAATCATACTATTCTCTTAGGCTTAAATGATTTTAAACAGATTTTAAACAGATATAAAATAGACTAATTACAGACTAATTACAAGTGCTAAAGTTAGAAGTTACATCTAAAAGTGAGTGTTAAACTCATTCAAATCAAAAATGTTATGTTGAAAAATCTATTGATGATTCCAAAAGAATGTAACATTTACTAATAAGTCAAAGAAGTCAGATTTTTAATTAAAATCAGTTTAATGCATAATGAATACTTTTCTTATAGCAGTGGCGTTTGCAATAGCGTCGTCATTAATCATAACAATTTCTTCTAAACGAGGAAACTTTTTGAATAAATGCCTATATACTAAAATTATTTTTAGTGTAAGATTGAAATAAGAATCGACAAAGTCGAATTGCATGATGTCCCGATAAACTGCAGCTTCTTGTTTTGGATCGTATTCACCAGTACCAAAAACAAAAATAACAGGAATATCTGGCTCCATATCGGATTTCCACGTTTCTCGGACATAATTGCGATAATCACATGCCGACGGTGCACTGCGAACCACATTTATTCTGTCTAGATGATGTGAAATCCTTGGAGATATAAGAATCCGAAATGCTTCCTCATATAAGCATTTCTTTGTCTTATTAAATTTCTGTTCTGATGAAAGAAAGAACTGTCGCAAACAGGAGCTCAAGTCAACTTTTTCACCATGCGGCACCTTAAGCAACTCATACTGTGTGTAACATAACAAACGCAGTGGAAAGAGATTCCGTTCCAAATAATTCGACAACTGCAACAATTTCGAAATGCAAATTATGAATTTAATGTTAACAGGAAATAAACTGCATTAGGGGGAATTACAAATGAAAAATATGACAGGAAAGGAGAAGTTTGTCTTCTCCTTTTCAGTTGTTCAAAATTAATCTCCCACATGTAATTTTGCAAGAAATGTTCGTGTTACATTACATATTCTGGTGCAGAAATTAATTTTAAACGAAGCATTAGTTAGCTAACCAGTAAATAAGGTATAATCCAAGAGAACTGCCACAGGAAAAGTTTTCCTGCACTTGGAAGAGTTTTATTTTGACGGAAAATAATTTTCTGCAATGCATGTTTAAATTGCATTGTAAAACCAGCAGATAGAAGAGAAGTGGTCATTACTATCTGTTCATTAGATGAAATAATGAAAGGTTGATTTTATCTCCGATCATGACTTATGACCTTCTACTTCACTCATTTCCCATCTAACAATAAAAGTATTCTGAAATCTGATTACTGTTCTACATAAGTTTCATATTTCTGAAACATTTTTAACTGCCCATTTTCTGAAATTATTTAATTCAAAATTCTTGTTGTGATGACAGGTGCTTTTTTCAATCGCACTCAAACGAGCCAATACTTTCAGTGAACAATGTTAAAACTTTCAATGAAAAATGTTTGATTAATGATTCGCTGAGTAATAATTTTGATTTTTCCTCTAACTGGAAATGAAACTTCTATTCAAAATTAGTTCACTTCTGCTGTTAATCGCTTTAATATTTCGAAAATTTGTTTTATATCTAAACGCTATGACAATGAAAAGTTGCAATATGATTAAAACATGAGATAACTGGAACAAAATTCAGAGGAGATTTTGAACTGCACATTTGGGTCGAACTGCTGAATGCATAATTTGAAAATAATCGGAGGGCGAATTGGTGCAAATTAAATTTAAGCAACAAGAGGCAAATTAGAAGTCAATATGCACTCGTAATGTGGGACTATTAAGTAATGCATAAATTCCACAAAAATTTGTAACTGAATAAAAGACAAATTATCATTCATCGCTCAAATTCATAACACTTCTTATCTCTTTAGTCCAAAAAACTGTTGTGCCTTATGAAAATGTGCACAATAACATTTAACTTGATACACCTGTTCGGCTAACTTATCATATTTAAGTGATTAGCGTGATTGGCTACCTAGATCCAAATAATATTCATTCAAATAATATGATAATCACTAATCTCATAGAAAAAAAGCTATTGCAACGAATTGAAATCAAGTTAAACGAAAAAAGAAGCCTCTTTTCTCGGCACTTAGAATCAGAATTTGTCCACTGACCTCTTCATCCCTGAAGCTTTCAGTTATATATTTAGTTAGAAAACTTGGACCAACTAATAACTTTTCTTGGAATTGCTCACCTTTTTTCACCAAAAATAAATTCGAACGAAAGATTTGGTTTATTAAACTGGAAACAAAAAAAAGAAAAAAAAAAAAAAAAAAAAAAAAAAAAACAAAACTTCAGAACCTCACTCGATATCTGAAAAATTCATAAATTACTGTAAAATAAACGATTCTCAATGACTTCTGTAAACGATTAGCAGTCGAATTGTCCATCTCTGAATAATGACATTACAGCAGAATCTTTCGCTCCTTGCATATCTAGGGGACATTATCTCCCTGTCAATCTCCCTGCCCAATCCGGTAGCCTCTTACGTCAAAGGTATGTAAGACAAGAGCAACACTGCATGAAAATTTATGACACTGACAAAGAGACATTCCTCGCATTCCATTACATCACATCATCTAATACAGCACTGCTGTTGCGGGATTTAACAATTTCATTTTGGACTTTTCATGGCCGTGCCACCATTGGAGTCGAACGTTATTAGGGTGTAAGGGGTGGTTGTGGTCGTGGGTAGGTCATGGATTACTGGGATAGTTGGTATTGTTAAGAAGTGTGGGTCATTTTACAGGTTGCAGGACGACAGAAACAGGAGGAAATGGCTGTGAAGAAGCAGGTTTGAGTATTTCATGCTAATTTGGCCCATATAGTCAGTATATTTGTTTTCTTCTGAAAAGGCTATGTGGTAGAGATAGTGAAGATGGAGAGCTTATATACTATTGTCATTGCTAAAAACTGAGGCGGTTTAGATGACTTTAACTCTAAAATAGTTTTAACCACACAACTTACCAGAATTTATGCTTGTTTCCTTCCTTCACTTTTTTTTTGTGCTTTAATTTGTATAAGCAAATTTGCAGAAAAAGTCAACAGAAAATATCAATGCAAGACTTGCAATGGTAATGAAAAGTGGAAAGTACTGTTTAGGATACAAGCAAACACTAAAAACATTGCGGGCTGGTAAGGCCAAATTGGTTATTATCGCTAATAATACCCCACCTCTCAGGTTTGTTGTACATATACTTGAATTACCTTAACAAGACCTTGGTAGTACTACTAGTAGTAGTTCCATTATAATGAAGAATGAAGAAAAAAAAATTGCTTTTACTAATTACAAATGATTTGAAGTGTTATGGTTTTCACAGTCCTTAGGTGACACTGGCCTATCCTGAATCGAATATGTGATGAGTAACCGAGTAAAGCAGTTAGAGTAGGATGTTTGCTGCAAGCAACGTTGTAAATACACTTTTTTAAGCATGGCTTTTAATATTATTCTTACGCTTTAATTTTAGTTTGATGAGTTTACATTTGTACTCTGTTTTCACGAATTCCTTAAAACATCACTGCGAACATTTTTCAATTGCGTAGACTCGACTTTCATTTTACAACGTTATAAAGTATTCAGATTAATTCTGTGATAAGATCAAATATATATGGTATAATCAAGAAGCGTACACAATGTGCTGAGTGAAATGCGCTTAGCAACGCTACACTCGAATAACGGCGGAGTAAGATTTAGTTCACTTTAGGAAAAGTGAAATTGAATATTACGCGATGTTAGCGAAGACAGGTGTTCATCATTACAACGGTAACAATATTGAATTGGGCACGGCATGCGGGAAATTGTTTCGCGTTTGCACATTATCAATTACGGATGCTGGAGATTCAGATATTATTCGAAGTATGCCATCTGAAAATGCATAAATTTATATTTGTTTCTTTGATGTTACTTTAAGAGTCGTAAATAAATTTTTCCTTCTGTTTTCTTTGGTGTTCTGAACAAACCATTTAAATACTTTAATATTTTCCCACTCAGAATCTAGAAGTCTTTGTGACTTTCAAAGATACAAAAGAAGGAATGGTTTCAACAGGAGGTTTATATCCTAGTTATCAGTTATGTTGTTGTATCTGTGGATTAAAGTTGGAGTCCTGTTAGTATTGGATTGAAATTGGAGGGAAATAGTGGCAACGGGATTAGATTAGGTCTTGCTTTTATTACTTTGATCACACGTTAATATATAAGCAGAAAAGATGTCACGTATCATAAAATTGGTGCAGATGAGATTTGTTAGGTAGATAATTGGAGAAGGTAATATTCCTTCACTGATCCGTTCCATTACATAAATGAAATTTCCTCCTCTCCATGTAGTCATATCAGCAATGGAAATCAGCAATTTAAGTATCAATTGGTACACGTCTTAGCTACCGTTATACACATCATAGATAAGGCAAGGAAATAAGCTGGGACATCCTAACAAACTTCTGTATCAAACTGTCCCAGACATCCCGTTAGTAGATCTCAGTATATGTCATTGGAAATCTAAGTTTGTTTTGGCACTATTTATTTAAAAATTCAGGGGATATAGCGTTTCGTAGTAGGCGGCGATAGAAACAAATGTTACGTCTTGACGGTATTCGCTGTAAGCATACTCTGATCGTTGACCCTAAGTGGTGCTGGTTTCCTTGACTTTCTGGTCCTTTGAGAGTGGTATTAATTGATTCATAAGAGTCATATCTTTTCTTTTTTTTCATTGTCAACTGCTTTCAAAAAAAAATCCAAATTTCATGGTCTGCTTTCATGATATTGTGCGAAAATCAAAAATCATAGTTCCTGAGATCTCTCAAAACATGAATCTGTGGTGCTTGATTATTAAATTGAAAATAATTTTAGTATTTCATTGATAGGACTGAGCCCCATTCTCTTTTCCATCACGTGAAAATAATGGAAGTATTAGAACTTTTTCGAAATGTTTTTACGTTTGAAGTAGTTCTGTATACTTCAAAACTAAGGCCAAAACTCTAATCCAAATATGGATCACAGATCACGGTTTTAAGCAAATTGGAATGATCATATGAAGTGATAATAGTTAATATCATTTTCGAATGGTGGTAGCAAAGTAAAAGCGTGTTATTTGTGCTTGTTTGCAGTTGCATATTTTGTTACTTCAGGTACAAGGTAATGCCAGTAGCTATAAGAAAGTGTGAAACCGAAGATGAGTATAGTACATGATTTCGAACATTTTCCTACTGTGACAAAAGTTCCATTTATTATTGGTGTCGCTGGTGGAACAGCATCCGGAAAGGTTATTTTATTTTATATACATGCTGAAGAATGATGCCCAATTGTAGTCTCTCGCCATTATCATATGGCTTTATAATATGACAAATTTTAAACCGCACAGTGGTATAGATGACAAGATTTAGTGAAAATAAGCTTTCCAAGCAAAAATGGCGCTTATGAAAATAGCAGTAAATGCAAATAAACCGATGTGGATAGCTATCACATAGTTATTAACTGTTTTATCATTTCTCCAATGTTTATATCACTTAGAAATGATCATGATTTGTAATGTTCAGTCGTCAGTATGTTCTCGAATAATGGAAAAACTAGGAAAGGCTCATGAACGGCGAGTAGTGACCATATCACAAGATTCATTTTATCGCAGTTTATCAGATGAGGAGATCAGAAAGGCAAATCGCGGGGAATTTAATTTCGATCATCCAGGTTCCATATCTTAATTCATTGAGGTTTTTCATAGGAAATTTCATTTGCAGCTGTTTCAATGTCGAAGAAATAAAGCTTTTATTTCCTTGTTACTACACAGTGTTTCTAATTTTCAAGAGTTTAGATGCCATTGAATTTACCCTTATGATATCAATTCTTCACAAAATGAAGAAAGGTGAAAGTGTCATCGTTCCAAAATATGACTTTTGCACGAATTCGAGGTTAAGCTTTCACATTTTTTAATAAATTTCATGTATTTTGACTGTAATTTTTGTAAAAAAAGTGTTTAATATTTAAGCTCATATAGTGTATTAGTGAAGTGATAATTTTTTCAATCTTTCGTAATATTTACGAAAGGATTTTGCTGTGACAGACAGACTTGTTCATAGTATCTGTGCTTCTCAAAGTAATTATTTGAACCAGTTTTTATTTTTACTAACGTTGGTGATTTCCTTAGAAGTTTTTGCAGGTCGAAGGATTCTGATGTGATTGAGTCAGCAGATGTTATAATTGTTGAAGGAATATTGATTCTCTATGACCAAGAACTGCGAAATCTTTTTGATATGAAACTGTTTGTTGATGCTGACTCCGATGATCGTTTAGCTCGACGTGTCCAAAGAGATACACAGGAAAGGGGACGCTCGCTCTCCCAAGTAAATGACTCAAAAAAATTCTTATTTACATGTTATAAAAGTAAAGTTTCTTGTATAAAAATCGATGGAAACGTGCAATGCAAATAGACCTAAATGTTTCAATTATTTTTCTACTTTTAGGTTCTCCATCAGTACCTGAATCTTGTGAAACCAGCATTCGAGGAATTTTGCTTACCGACCAAGAAGTATGCTGATGTTATTGTTCCACGTGGTGCTGATAATAATGTTGCTATCGACTTAATTTTGCATCACATTCGCGAAATATTACGTATACCGTCGTCTTCAGTTGATTCTTTGTCGGATGAAACTTGTTACATCGGTCATCGTGCTGCGTCGTTTAGTCGACTACATTAATTTTGACTTTTTTTTTATTTATAAGTTTTAAGTAGTTTTAGGTAGCCTTATTCGGGAAATAAAAGCAGACATTCGTCGCTGTCTTACAGCATTATGTCTTTTCACCGCATTATAGAGTACTAAATTTGTTGTTAAGCGAAGATTGAAATACTTGTTCATGTTTTGACATCTTTCTTTCTACACTTGCCGTAGTTTTTGCTAACTCATGAATCGGTTCTATCAGTTGGTCACTGAAGTATTTTTTTAGATTCCATTTTCTTCAAGTTTTTCAGTTTTTCCCCAAAGTTATTTAATCTTTTTTTAAAGCTAATTTGAAGAAGTTATTTCCCTTCATGCTGCACTATTATTGGCATTATATGGAAGCTCATAAAAGAAAGAAAACTTTTGTGATTCTCATAACTGTTTGCATTACATTACCATTGATTTGTCATTTGCTTGTATTGTGCAAATGTCCTAATTGCAGCATTCTATTTTCTATAAGTGCCAGTTTTGATAAAAGCCTTTTTGTGAGATGTGATGAGCATAGTATCCTTTTTGTCAATGGAAGTTACAGATACATATTGTGTCTACCTCAAAGTAATGGGTAATAGGGAATTGTGGGAGTTATTCATTTTCCCAAATTTGGGAGTACATATTTGTTATGGCAGGTAGTATTTGCAATGTCGGCTTCTTCACCTACCTCTGGCAGTGAACATTGTCGTGCATGTGTGAGCGTTGAAGAGTTGATGGAACGTGCTCGAAAATTAGCCGGAAAAGTGTCCGCAGAGAATGGTGCACGACAATCATTAACTATTCAGGCTTCATCAGTTTGTATTTTGTTCATTGCAGCATGGAAGGAATGAAGTAATGTTCCTGAAGAGGGTTTTTTTTTTTATTGCTGATTATCGTGAAAATGATTTATGACTTGAATGTGCGTTCTTTTAGTCGTTTTTACAAATAACCGTCGTATTCTGGAATATTTGATGAATTTCAGTACCCATCAGGTTGTCTTTTCATTGCAACAATAACCCATGAAAATAAAAATTTTCCTGAAATATATGGTTAGTTCTTTCAGGGATCAGTTAAAACGAAACCAGTGAGGAGCGACTGTCCTCTTACTACTGAAAAATTAGGAAATTCAACTTGGAATCTGCTTCATACAATAGCAGCATATTATCCCCTTAAGCCAACACCAGAACAAAAAAAGAATGCAATTGTGCTAATGGATCTCTTAGGAAAGGTAGTAGTGTTCCTTTTCAGCTGTTGTTTAGTAACCAAGTACTTGTTGATTTAGTACTTGTTACATGAAGATATTTCTGCATTGAACTTTGTACAGTTTTACTGCTGTAAACTTATACACTAATACTTATTCAGTATTTGGAAAGAATTCGCAAAAATTATTTCGCATTATTTTTTATAGGCGTATCCATGCTCGCATTGTGCGGAAGATTTACGCCGAGATTTGGCAAAACATCCTCCAGATGTTGAAGACCGTGAAAGTTTTTCATTGTGGATGTGTGGATTACATAACAGAGTTAATAAGAAACTTGGTAAACCTGAATATGACTGTACTCAATGGAAGGAACGATGGTTAAATGGTTGGAAGGATGGCTCTTGTGAATATTAACTTTTATAGGATTGATATGTTTTGAAGAAAACCGTTTCGATTCACGAATTTAATTTATACAAAGCAAAATACGTAATATATGCAATTCTCGCTAGTTGTTGCTCAAAAGTTTTAATGGGATCAAAATTTTCACTTTAAAAATTTTAGTTGGATGTTTTGAATTGAAATAGAAAAAGTTGAAATGTCATTTCTATAAGAATTGATACTGGTTTTTATATCTATTATACTTTTTTCCTTTTTCTTCATTGTTTCCGTTGATACACTTATCTATCTTCTGTAGTAGCTTTATTTTACTACTTAAAACACATAAAATTTTAATGATGACTGCAGGCTATTTATAACGACAGTTATTTAATGCTAATTCAATCTTTTGGTTGGTGAAGTTTAGAACTTTTCAGTTGCTCAAACTGAGAAAGCTGATTTGTTTGAACTTGTATTCAATGGTTCGTTAAAACTTTGAGTTGAGATGTTTTTGATTTTGATTTCTTCATTCATGGCTCATCGCAAACGAAAAAGAACTTGTAGTTTTTTGCTTTGCTCCCTTCTCTTTTCCTTTCTTTGTGTGGCTGACCTACTTAATTGTGAAACAGATATGTCTTCTCAATTTGAATATTATTCAATTTTCTTGAAGGGAGTTCTGCTGATACTTATTTCATGCTTTATTTCTGCAGCTGTTATCAAGATATTGGAAACGGAAGATTTGACATTTTTAAATAATTATTGAATCTTCCGATTTCGAAGTTTGATGATGTTGATAGAAGAGTAATATAGCGATATCAGTTTGTAGCTATTAGTGTTGAATTATCAGTAACAATGAAGTTATTGAATTCATTGTGGGATTTGTCTCGTTGTTAGAAACAATTCGCAGAATACGATATGGTGCACATTAAAGTAGGTATTCGTTTTTTATTTCCAGTCTTTTCTACATTTAGTGGTCGTTTTGAAGTAAATAAGTTTTATGTATTACTGTGCGTTGATGTAATATATATGGCCTAGATCTGACTTTTAAGAAAATTCCAAAAGGGGGTTCACTAGTTCACTACACCAAATTTTTTCGTCTCAAATGAGTGCTGGAGCGTTAATCTTATAGGAAGAAACACCCATTTTTTATATTAATCTATTTGCTGTTTAAATTATAATTGAGTGAAACTCTTTTTTATTATGAGACAGCATCTTCAGTTTTCAGATAACATTCAGTGAGTTCAATTTATTGTAGGATTGCAGTGGAATTGACTTGTTGTCGGGAACTAGTTCTGAATCCAAAGGCAGCGACTACTCGATAGACGAAGAGAAAATAGTCAAGAAACGGAATAAAAATGCGAAAGATGCTGGCAGTAATGTCTGTGGTTTAAATGCTAATTTGACGTCTGAAGGTTCCATTTTTAATTATCGTGGTACGAATTCATCTGGAAGTTTGCAAATATTTGGACTAAACTTAATTATTTATTAATCGTAGATTACAGAAATGTAGAGTAAGTTATAAATTTGGCTTCCTATACGACTTAATTTAAGTGTCTAAGAATTAAAATCTTAATGTTATAAAAAGCAAGGGTAATATTAATCTTGCAATCTTGTAGTAATGTTTGCTCTCACTTGACCCTTCAGATCGTTTAGTTTGTAATTATGGTAATGACTTCATGCATTTTAAAAATTGAGTATAATACAGTAGAAAAATTCACGAAGTGCTTTAAGAGATATGTATAACTTCTAGAATTCTTTTCATTTGGCGAGAACACTAGTAGCGATAATAATATGGACGAGGAATTGGAAAAATGGATTGTCGCACCAAGGATTTCAACAAGTTTTTCATGTAAATCTCTACTTTTGAAAGACTTCTGTAGATTGAGTTGATACTTTGGCTGCACTTTCCAGCGTTTTATCTCCCTCACCTAAACCTTGTTCCTTCGTGTATGAAACCATTAATTTGGAAGAACGCAGTTAAACTGCGAAATATGATTAGATTATTTGAGATAGTCACTAGAAGATAGATATTTGCCTCTCTAAATTATTCTCATTCTTTACCGTTCTTAACTCATAATACTGTATTCTAAGCGATCGGAATTTATATATTTTAAGTAATTATCATAGCTTCTTTAGAACTTTCAATTAATTTTGTGTTTATTTAGATGGCGAGGATAGATCTCTACATTCATCGAAAACAACGAAAAATAAGGAAAGGACAAAACAGTTTCAGATGGAAATTTTTTTTGCATCGATCATTGAAATGCTGTGCGACGGTGAATTTGAGGGTTTGAATATTCAGTTTCGGGAAGGTATAATTCTCGCTTATGTTAGGATTAGCACAGCTTTTGAAATTTGTGTGTTTCCTCGCTCAAATCTATTTAGATGCCATAATTTTTGGATGATAAAAGATACTTACTGGATCATGTGATTGTTTTAGTTTTGAGGCAGGTTGCTGGACACTTTATCCATTCTTCATATCTCTCCGAAGATTATGGAGCATTTCGCATCGCAATTAGGAGGAGAATAACGGAAGCTTTGAATGCTGCTACAAACCTGAAAATCGGAAAAAGGTATAGTACCCTCGTGCCTGTGTTAAAAATATTTATGCAGAAAAGTGATTGTTCTTTAATCAATATATAATGTCGCTGTACTGAAGAAAATTCATTTCAGATTTTTTTTTTAAAAATAATCCATTTTAGGAATGTTTTCACTTCATGTCTATTTTAAGAGGGAAAACACCCAAATAATTTGGAGTTTGATTGCAGTTTAACCGTTAATAATCCTGAAAAAAGGAATTATTTTTTATCCAGCCGATATAGCGTCGATTTCAAAGAAATCAGGAGCATTGGACGTGGAGGCTTTGGAGAAGTTTTTCATGTAGTGCTTGGACCTTAAATTTCTTAAGTATTAGGACATGCTTAATTTATGAGAAAAATGAACTTGTGGGTAAATTTATGAGAAAAAACCGTAGGTGTATAAATTTTGCTTTTAAAACTTAATTGGACGGAGACATTTCTGCCATGTTCATTTTTTTTTTTTTCCTTTCAAGTAAAATTAGAGTGAGATTTTATAGGTTGGAGAAACTCTTTTCAGCATAAGTTTTCGTTTAAGGTACATTCTAATATTGATGATTGCGATTATGCTATAAAAAAAATTCAGTTCAACTTGAGGATGTCTAAGCCGGTGGCGAAAGTTAGTTATCTCAATGAGTAATTTCAAAAGCGAATAAAATTTCTGTAATACATTATAACTCAAACTTCAAAGATTGATTTTGAGAAAGTGTGAATCTTTATTTTAGCTTTCAAAATTCATCAAATTGTAGATTGTCAATGAAGTTCGCTTGCTAGCAGTTGTTCAACACAGGAATATTGTGCGATATTATGGAGCTTGGCTGGAGTTGCAAGATCTACAAACATCGTCATGCGAAGATAAGGATGAATATTCTAATGAAGAGTGAGTAAGGTCGTTGTTCTTTTTTATTTTAAATGTTATTTTCTCCAAATGCGGTGTTGTTTCCGAATTTTGTTGTTTTTACTATCAGTAGTTTTGTGGTTCAAATAAAATTTAAAATTAAGGGAGGAAGTTGTTCAGAAGAATTCATCTAAAGAAGAAAGAAAAACTATTTCTTTGGCAGTTAATGATTACTCAAAACTTGCTCAGATGGTATGCATTGCCTCACAAAAGATTGCATTTTTTTTTCAAGATTTTTTTCTTTTTCTTTAAATATTTTTGCACAAGATGGCTTTTTGTTCAAAACCATAAAATTCGTCATTTTTATACAGAGATTTTTTTCTTTGATTTAGGCTGGGAAGGGTAATTCCAGAAAGGAATTTAGCACAATTCCTGTAAAACGAGATCGTTTTTGGACGCAGGAATCTCCATTCATTTCGAGTTCAACGGTTTCAAGAGGGTGGAAAATGAATCAGAGTGTTTCTCCCAATGAAAGCTTAACGATTGCAAGAGGAAGTGCGAGGACTGATCCAGTAAATCTAATGCTACCTCACTCGGTGAGCGGAATTCATTGATTCTGAAATTGAAGTTTTCTGCATCGAGAAATTTATTTTTAGGGTACTGCAGTTATGTTTGTACAGATGGAACTTTGTTCACGCACTCTAAATGATTATTTTGCTGAACGAAATGCCGGTATGTTTTTTATTCTCATTTTCTGAAGATCGTTATTGATCGCTCGACTGGAGTGTTAAAAAGGGTTGCAAAAGGGTTTTTAAATGTATGCCGTTAGATCAAATTCGTTGCAGAAATCAGGCCGAAAATAGATCGACAGCTGAATAGAAACATTATGAAGCAACTAATGTCTGCCGTGACTCACTTACATTCCAAAAAAATTATCCACCGAGATATCAAAGTTTGTTTTGTTCTGTTAAACTTCAGAAAATAGTTGGTTATCGTTTTATGTAAAATTCCAAAAAATAAGCCCGAAAAAGCAACGATCTGGTGTTTTTTATTGTAGCTTAGCTTTATTTTAATTTCATTTGATTGGTTTTGTCTCATTTCTATGTTTGTAAAAAATAATTTTGTGCAAATGGACGTTCGAAGCGCGAACTATCTGAGCAAACTATCTGCGTCAACTTATAACTCATACATGTATTATACCAGTAACTTTTTTTGATTGATGAACTCTTGAATTTTTCGACATTGTAATCTCGCAATTATATTTTGTTTAACATCATAATACATTGATTTTTGATTGAAATTATTAAGACTCAAAATTTATATTACAGCAATCTGAAATATAATTTAATTTGGTGAATCTTCAGATTTTGCTAGGAAAATTAAGTATCTGGCCCAATTGGTAAAGTAGTACTTTAATCATACTTCTTGATGGGGTGTGATCATTTTTTCGAATTTAATTGTTCAAACTACTAAATTCATGCTTAATGACATTGGATCCATTCTAATATTGATATCAATGTTTGAATGTAATTTGGTTTCAGCCGAGCAATATTTTCCTTCGTAACGAGAGTTCTCCAATTCCATCTGTACTTTTGGGCGATTTTGGACTAGCATGCCTACATTAAAGTAAAGTAGTTTACAGTGCTGCAGTTACTGAAAGTGAGACAACAACTACACACAGCTTAGGTGTTGGTACTTCCGTATACGCAGCACCCGAACAACAGAATTCTACTGTATACGATAGTGCAGTGAGTGATTGTTATTATTTCTTTACGTGGAATTTAGGATATTTTATTTGTATGATTAATAATTCTGAACAGTTATGATTTAACTTCCACTGAGAGTCATAAAAGCCATGAATCCATATATAAACTGTTCAATATTCAGTTTTGATTACTCCTAAAGTGTTTTGACAATTTTAGATTTCAGCAATCCCGAAATTTCCACAATTTTCTATCTAGTTAAATTTTTGATTTAGAAGGATATAAAAATGGGCTGGAGATATATTTTAACCATCTCAGGTAGATATCTACAGCGCTGGAATTGTGTTTTTTGAACTATGTATTCCATTTGGTACACAAATGGAGCGATTAGAAGCTATTGGGGAATTGAAGAAAGGAAAACTAACCGAGGAATTCAATACTTCTTTTCCCGACGAGGTTCACCATTTGCTGATTTTGTGGCTGAAAAAAGTAATGCCAGTCTATCATTTCGTCAGTATTATTTCTATTCAAGTTTTTCAATGTTTTTACAATTTATCATAGCACTTATATATCCTGATTATATTCCCAAGGCTTTCTTCACCAAGTTCATCCAATCCTCTATTTTTCACTGTTGAATGCAGATAGAAGAGACTAAAATAAAAATCTAAAGGCATTTTCAATACATCCATTATCTCGTCATTTTCATCATGAGCGTTACCACATGAGTGAAAATTTTTAATTTTTAATTAACTTTCAGTAAGCTGATAATCATACGTAGTGAATATCCGTATCCGTGTAGAATAATAGTGTGAATTCAAAGTATTTAGCTTATGATACATAGCCTAAATAGTTGGCTACGAGATTTATGTTTGAATTCGATGATACCAAGAACATTGCACTGAAAAACCTATCGATAGGATATTTTAACTAATTATAAAACTCATAAAGCTAATCAAAAACATTTTTCTTCTAACAAATGTGCAAGGCCTCGTTATATTAGTCGTTTCTTTCGACCATTTCCACCATTATTACATAATGCAACGACCGTTATATCCATCAATGAAATGTAGTGCTACGTCAATGTTGCCGAATGGTGCATTTAGAGTTGGCGCATTATCTTTTAGGTTGCTGGAGAAGCAGAGTAAAGCTTTATCGGAGTTCGAAGGGCTTTTGTCGGTTTCCACTTTAGTTTCATGATGGAGTGGAAGATTTGCAAAACGGACTAATCGAGAATTTTAATTGCTTATCACAGCGCAGTTTGTTTAATACTTTACCATTCTACTGACTAACAGTTGTTGATCATTGTCTTCTTTCAGGCTAATTTGATTAAAGAAATGTGTAAAGAAGATCCACAGGAACGAATTCATGCTTTTGAAATTACCTCTAAACTTGGTAAAATTGGAGAAAATGTGGAATCTCTTAAGAATCGTATCGAAGAACTTGAAAAAGAAATTGTACGACTGAGGAACCTTTTACTCGATAATAATATTACGGAAATTTGAATATATCTAGCAATTGCAATTGGTTGCTCTTATTGCTTCTTGGGAATACTCTCACTCAAGGTTATGTCAAAAGTTATGTCGCATTTTGTCTTAACTTTGCTCAACTTTATTTAGTTTTGTTTTTAGGGAATAATTGCTTACTTTTCTTGCAATAGTAAATTAACACTGGACAACTAGTGCGATGTTTACATGTCCCTTATTTCATCGTCAGTTGATCTTACATCATGTTGAATAGGTAGCAAAGTTGTATTGCTTGATAATCATTCTTCCTTATTATTTTAAGTATCGAGTTGGTCTCTTTTATTATGTTATTCCCTCTCTTGTTGGGTTATGATTACGTTGTTTAGGTATGATTTTATCTGAAAATGTTGAAGTTCAGTTCTAATGTTAGTCTTATCAAAATGTGCTATTCGGTCTGTATCGTTCTACAATAACTCATGGTCTGGCCTCGTGAAAACTAGGTTTGGAATAATAAAAAGAGAAGATAAGGAAGCAAATCATGTCCAAAATAGTACAGGAATTTCTAAAAATTGTTTCTAGGGATTTTTTTTCTAATAAAGTTATTTTAATTTCGTCGATTTTATCCTTTTCATCAGTAATATTTATCATATCTTTTTTTCCTTCGCTTGTATGAGATTTTCTAAGCTAGAAATAAAAAACTGTCCATTAAAAATGATTTGTATCTTCATTCAGAAGGGATTGCGAAGATTATGGTTTTTTTTTTTTTTTTTGATTATGAATAAAATTTTTATATCATGGTGCACTTGTCGTAGTGTGATTTCGGATTCGATAAAATATTTTGTTATATTTCTCACTTTAGGCAATAACAGTTGAGAGCTTTCGAGGCTTAGAGATCAGGTACACTTCAGACTATAACATTACCGAAGACTGTTTGTTTTGGATAACGGAGTAATTATAAAGCAAATATATAAGAAATAGATGTATGTATTAGAGATATATGAGATTTCTCTAGAATTTTATATAAATTTTGAAACAATCAGAATCGAAGTGCTATCCCTCCCATCCACTTCGTACCGAATTTAAGTCTTTCCCTGTATAATGATGTCTTGCTCCCGCCCATTTCTCCATTTGCCCATCTGTTGACATATTTTTCCAGGGAGAAAAGGATGAAGAAGATGGAGGGTAAGTAAATGGAAATTTTGACAACACGACTGATATACTCTCTCTGATTTTCTCCTTTTTATATACTCCCTCTTCATGCCATGATTGATTGCATCTTTTTTACACGTTTTAATTACCTAATAGTAGATGAGTTAACTGTTATCAAGATCTGAGTGTAATTTTCTAATGAGCACACAATAGACAACTACGGTACTTATCATGCAACAATGTGTCACGCTCGCTCTCATCTTCACATTCTGTGGTATCATTGATATTGTATTGAATACTAGACTGATATCAGAAGGACTCATATTAATTATGCCATGAAGTAATTGGCACTAAATCAGGCCAAGTTATCATTTAACATACACGTTCTTATTTCTAGATTCTCGATAGATGCCAAAAAGTTTGATTTCACAGCTTTTTTTTCAATACAGATATGGATGTAAAAAGTTTAACTCCACTATTTTTTTTTTTCAATTCAGAATATGGATATCTTTCTTGATTATTGCCGTAAAGATGTGGTTATTAGTAAAGAAGCAGCTAGTGAATTGTTACTTACAAAGCACGTGGATTTCATCCACCACTGTGTCGAAAACAAAGAATCTTATGTAAGTGATTCGATTAGTTATTTGCGTACTTCACGTACCACGGTGTTTGCTAGTTCCAGAACTCCGACCTTTTATTTAACTTATATTTTTTTAGTACTTGTATTTTAAAGTTTCTTATTACCTGAATCATAATGAATTTGTTTCATTAAAGTTCGAAATCGATATTATTGTGTTGGTATTAGAATCGATCGTGAAGAGTTGATCGTTACATCATCTGAAATGCAAAGGTCATTTTCTTTTGTACAAGTATTTCGTCAGGTTCCATGCTTTTAATTACAGGAAAATGTCACTACAGAATATCTTCGAATGAGCGGTATCTATTGGTGCTTGCAAGCAATGGATATAATGAATCGATTGACTAAAATGGACACTAATGAGATTGCGAATTATGTGAAACGATGTCAGCAACCAAATGGTGGCTTTGCGCCTGCTGAAGAACACGATGCCCACTTACTGCATACATTAAGTGCTGTGCAAGTAAACTTATGCTTATTGTTCTTTCAATTGTTATAGAAGCAAGTCCAAACAGAGTACACAAACATATGGCAATTTTGCATTTTATGAATCATGTTTAGGTATACTGAATTTCCATTCCAATTTAAATTTTCATTCAGATGAATGCATATGAAATGCTCAAACATGATTAATAATAACTGATGAAAATATTTTTTTCATTTAAAAATCAAAGTAATATAATTATTTAATTCACAAAATTCAAACGAATTAAGCCGTTTCCAATTGTGAAATGTGTATTATATCATTAAACGAAGCGTGTTGACGACTTCTGATGACCGACCCTGATGCACCTGTGACTTCTTTCTTCTAAAGGTTTCCTTTGAATCACCATCTGCCGCTGCGTAATCCACAGTTTGCCGCATGGAAATAAATATGCTAAGGAAAGATTACGTTGCGGTACTGGTCAAAAGAGAGATGATTGTAGAGCGAACATTGTGCAATGTAAATTAGTTCATCTGCTTGGGTTAGGAATTGATGATTGCATGCAATTACCTTGTACTTTGCATTTTCCTTGTACTTTTTGTTTTCCTCACCGCTTGCATATGAACTTACTGAAATATTTTGCCACCACTGATCATCGAGGTTCTTGTCATATGTTTTTTTATTGATCATCATTGACAGTAGCTTAAAATAGACCACTTATCTCCTGTATGTTTTCTTCCCATCTGTCTTTCTTGTTATTTTGCTTCCTTGGAAGTCTTTTTGGGAATATAATCAGCCACGAATTCATATTTTGTGTTATGTTTTCTTTGCATCTCCCATTAATTTTTTTTTTTTTTTTTAAGGAAATAAAACTTGATTCATAAGAGATAAATTAACTTCTGGAAAATCTTGAAAATATCCAGAACCATGAAATTAACTATGAACCTTAACTGTATAGAAGACATAATGGAATTTTCATATAACTGTTTTCAAAGAGATGCCTGTATTGGGACATTTCAGATAATGGTAATGTTGGGTAAGTTGGACGAAATTGATACAGATGCGGTATCCTGCTATGTTGCATCATTACAAAATGAAGATGGAAGCTTTGGTGGCGATGAATACAATGAGATTGATACTCGCTTTTCGTTCTGTGCACTGGCTACACTTCATCTAATTGTAAGCCATAAAGTTTAAACATAATGACAAATTTACTTACATAGAGATCTCCCTCTATAAAATGGAATAACTAGTAAGAAAGTATGAATTATATATAGCAAAGAAATTCACTGAGCATGCGAAAGTTTTTTTTTTTTTTTTTTTATGAAAGGCAAATTTTTTAAAAATCAATGGAAATAAAGAAAGCTGTGATTCATCTTTTCTTGTTATTAAATTATTTTCTTCAAATATGTGTGTATGTGGAATCCTTAGTTAGATGTAAATAATGGGTTTCTGTTCATTTTAGGGGAAGTTGGAGAACTCAATAAATGTTGGAAAAGCTGTTGATTATATTCTTAATTGTTACAATTTCGATGGTGGATTTGGAACCAGACCTGGTTCAGAAAGCCATGCCGGACAGGTTTGCAACCATAATTATTCTGACCTCAGTGATATACTTGAAATTTAATTTAAATAATATTAAGAATGATAAATTTTTTATCAGGTATATTGTTGTTTGGGAAGCTTGGCGATAGCAGATTGCTTAGAAATGATCGATACTCAGCGAACAGCTCGGTGGCTGGCCGAGAGACAATGTCGATCAGGTGGCCTGAATGGTGTGTTTGATTTTAGAGATTTTGTTCGGTTTATGTTATAGTAAAGTTCTATATTGCTTCCAGCTTGAAAGAATAATAATAATTTTTTTTAAAGGAACAAATAGAAAACTTATGTATCTCTCTCATTACAGAATGAGAGTTGCTTAGATTGTTCAAATTTTTTTGCAGTGAATGAGTTTTCTGTAAACATTTTAGAAAATATGAAGCGTTCAGTCAACAAAACGAAAATGATTAAAACATAATTTTATACTGATCAGAAAAAAAGGAAAGATTGAAAATGCATAGGATGGTTGTGAGAGGTTAAACATCAGAGTTCAACGCAAAATGTTGTTAACTCCGTAGCATGTCGCCGAGTTATATTTGAAATTGAAAAAATAAGGGATACAGTTCTCAGCTTCCTGAGCGAAATATACTTTATTTAATTGAACATAATCTTTCCTATAATGAATATGAGTTATTCAAATTACCGGTGTAAAGAGAGATTTAGCAGCAACTAATGACATAATGTATTATACTATTACTGTTGTTGTATTACATTAGTTGATCCCTGCAGAGTGAGTGAAAGGAGTGAAGGCATCACCAGATAATAACCTGACACCACTTTCATTGAATGATTTACTGCATATCCCTGCTGCTTCCCTTCTTCTTGTTAACTATCTTGTCATTCCCTTACAAGCCATTATTAAATCACCAAACTCTGCATTTAAGGGCATTATACAGTTACCGACAAGTGTAGTAGTTATTGCAAAGTTTGTTAGATTTCATAGGGAAGGTACGGTGGCCTTTTCAGAAGTTGTAAAAGACTTTGGTTAAGAATATGTAATACGTTCACTTTCCCTCCGCATTCTATGCTTCTCAATTTTTGTTTCATCTCAACAATAGTAATTATTTCAAGTAGTTTGTCATAATTAGTTCTTCTGAAATTATTTGAGCTGCAATTTGAAAAGCTGCTGTATAATGTTAGTTGAAATCATTTTAATGTTTTTCACGAAACAGTAGAATGTATGACTGTGATATTCTTTAAGAGAAAGGAATTTTTTTTCCTGTGTTTGCATTATAAGTGTAGGTTGTTTTTTGAATTGGTTCAAGGTGACCTTTGCGAAATGATGCTGATGGAGATGTTTGTACTAAGAGGATAACCAATAAAGGGCACGTGGCGTGAAACATAATAAATTAAAATAGTTGTCCTTTACCACTGTTCATCTAACTGTGCATAAATGTTACATTCTCTTTTAAAGGGCTATACGATTTACGCATCATTATGCGCATTATCGGACATGTCATCAACAACAGTGAATAAGGAGAAAAGGGGAAGAATAGAAATATTCATTAAAGTTGTTACAGTGTCTCTAAAGTACTTACTTCCTGTTATATCTTCTAATATATATAAACAAACTGATTGCAATCAGGAAATACTTAATGAGATACATTTTGTTAATGTATAAAGAAATGTTCGTGGGAAATGTCTAATATTCATTTGCACTAGGCAGTAAAAAATGAACAGATGTACATAAAGTTCTGTTTATCTGTATAACTGAGACCGATGTTGTTTTGATCTTGTTGATTTTTGATGAAAATTTTTAGGTAGACCAGAGAAATTACCTGATGTTTGTTATTCGTGGTGGGTACTTGCATCACTGAAAATACTTGGACGATTACACTGGATTGATAATGTTAGTAACACTTCCAAGATTATTACTTAGCATAGTAAACTTTTGTGATTTATTTATTAAATTTGGCAGTTGTTTCAGAAATCAATGATAAAATTCATATTAGCTTGTCAGGACAACGATGGCGGTTTCGCTGATAGACCGGGAGATGTGGTAGGTCAATATTTCATTTCGCATTTATGGTGGTGCAGTTTTTCAGTATAAAAATGAGTTCATTTATTGATCATGGTGCATCTTGGTCTATTTCTCCTTTCCTGAAAAGATTTACTGTTGACTGCATAGTTTTAGTAATTATGCCAGTCTTCTTATCAGAAATGTCTTTTTAGCCTTTTTTTTAGACTGATCCTTTCCATACAGTTTTTGGTCTAGCAGGATTGAGCTTACTTGGTGCTTACAGTAAATCATTGGCAGCAGTCGACCCTGTATTTTGCATGGGGAAAAAATGCCTTGGTGATTTATCTATCTGTTAAAGAAAATTCTTCATTGAAAAAACCATATGGTAAGGTTGCTTCTTTCTTTTAGTTGCTACATTGTTTATTGATACAAACTGCGTCACATCTTCGTTATGTTGTGCAGCATTCTAAATAATACTTTTCTGATGTTCTCTTCTTGTTTTTAAAGTAAATATAGTTTTACAAAATTCTTTATATTAAATCATAACATGCATTGGCTAACTGTTTTAATTTTTTGAACAAAGAATGAAGTGATGAAAAATGCTTTCATTTTGCCTTATTCTATTTTTGGACGAAATGCTGGAATTAGTGTTATGTTTTAGGCATTAACCAGGGCGAGAAAAGATTCATTGTTTTGAACATTTCTTATTTTAAAAAATTCAAAAAATGAATTCTTAAAATGGGTCGTAGTGTGCATTATGCTGAGATGGTGCAAGGAGCGCATTAATTGGAAAGTGGGTAATTAAAGGATGCGGGAGTGCGCAACAGAGTACCTTGTCATTAACGGTGTTGCATACATTTTTATAGCCCTTATAAAGCTTTATATGTTAAATAGGAATGCAGTGCGGCACGTGTACATGGTATATATAGTAATAATGTCATATTTTTTAATTGTGAAATTACAATTTTTCTGATTTTACAGGCGCTTTTCTTTATTGTTGGTGGAAGGATACTTCATCATGTTACACTGATGTTTCATTGATTTCTGAGTTAGTCCTGTATTTTGTTACCGCCGTTGTTTTCCTTCAACTTATTGTTTTATCAAAAAAGAAAAAAAACATTTTTGTAGACGCACAAAATTTACTTGGTAAAATTTAGGGCACGTAACACAAAACTTATTTTGTAAAGACTTTATTTTTTAATAAACATTATAGAACGCAGATTTCATCTAGATATTGAAAACCGCGAAAGACTTAATAAATTCATTTTTATCTTTAGACTAATTGAAGTTTTTTCTGTAAATTGATTCGTGTACGTTGAAGTATTTTCCTAGAAGCAGCAGAAAAATATAGTTGGTGAAATTTTATTTGCGTAAGCTGTCGATTTGTGTGTACTAGATATTTAAAGAAAATAAATGTGATTAATATTATTCTTCTATTCATGAATTAATTTATTCTTGATTCATTCCTTACAGTCTTAGTGGTAGAAAATAGTCATGTATGCATTCTCGAGTTCTTCAACAGCTTGACAAGAATTCAGTTTTGAAGTTTAAAATTTAAACATCAATTAATTGCCAAGCTAAAATGCACAACAGCATATTAGATTTTTGCTACGTGTTCTAGATTGCTTGGAATATATAAGCTATTTACACATATTAAGAAATAAGCAACGTGTAGACAATGGAGAACGAGGACTATACATGTGTGAAATAAGTGGTTAGTTAGTTACTATTGGTATGGGGTTTTAGCAGCAAAAAGGAGAAATTGAAAAAGTTTTGCATAGAAACTTAGTAAAGATGGAGGTCACATAATTTGTAGAATTAATGATCCCTCCCTGTAGATGTTTTTATCATCTTAAATCTTTCGCAAGCTTCCCTCATTTATTCCTTTCATTAAGTTCTTTCCTAGCGTCCTTTCAGTGTACTGTACGTTCACGTACCACGTGGTTTCCTTTGCTGAAGTATGCTATCATTGGCTTTTCAATATTACAATGAACTGATTTTTTGAAAAGAATTTTTTGTATATTGTATGTTAAAAAGGAAAGTTGAATATTACACATCAAACAAAATAAGAAACTCCTGAGGAACTCTATCGTCAGAAACGTTTTAAGAGTTTGCTAAAGAAAACCATTTTTTTTTAATTTTTATTAAAAAGTGATTTTTTAAATTCGTATGAAGATGCCATAATTTAGTTTATGATTAAATTTAGTGTAAATCTTGAAAATTAAACTTCTGCTATCGACTGATTGAGTAAGAAAATTATAAAACAATTGAATAGCGATAATTGTGTACAACACATTAGGCTATCTTGGAGAACTTGACTCCATTATTAAAGTATTGACTTCTTCATGTTTCAGTAATAAGGGTAAGCTTCTGAAGAGTATCATACTGAAAAAAAAAAAAAAAAAAAATTAAACAGTAACAATGCAACGCAACAGATGAGATGACATTCGACAGAGTGAGAAATTGAGAATAGGTTGCTACCGTAAGACTTGATGGTGATTCTCCTCGCCTTTCCCTTCTCTCCAAGGAGAAGGGAGGAAGGCGGCCCGAGTACGGCAGTGTGCTCAAAAATTTATCGCCCCGCCCAAATCTTAAGGAAAATTCGGTTTTGATTGCATGTGATGACATATGGTTCTTCTGCATATTTTTAGTAGTAGAAGTTTGCTATGACAATAACCGATTTGCTGCTGCTCGAAATGTCCTCTTCAATGCTATCAGCAAATTGGCAAAAGCGTTACTATGCATCATCCACTACTGCGCCCACCAGGAAATCTGCTGATTTTGCAGCTATTGCTACAACTGCTAATTATGCTAATCAATCATGCGCATACTGTGATCAATCTGATGAAAATTTTTGCTGCAATCAAAAGTAAGCTCGATTTCAAGAAGTCGTGAAATTTCATTACAAATATTTATACAAATACATACTAAATCCTGTGTTTACTTCCTTTTCTGCTGATTAATAAATGCTATATCGCAGAATGATTAGTACTAGTTTTCAGATACGACTTTTTTGCATAAATCGATTTTTAGTGACCAGAATATATTTATGTAATCTTATTTCAATGTTAAGTAATTTCATATTAACTTTTCTGATTCATTACTCCTTATGCTTAATAGTAATTGAAATGATCAGTGTATGAAGTCCTTACAAATCAACATAGAGTTGACAGAAGTAAGGAATGTAGGCTTTGCGGAAATAAATGAGTATTTCAGTTATATTCAGAAAAAAGAGGAAATGGAACAGTTGGAAATCAAAGTACCGCGGAAAAATAAAATTGGTCCTCGACGATATAAAACACCCAGCCCACAATTGTTACGGATGCGACGTCAAGCAGCGAACGCTCGGGAGCGACGGCGAATGAACAATTTGAATGATGCGTTCGATCGGGTAAATTCATTATTTGGCTTATTTGATATAGTTCAGTGGAAATTGCAGAGATTAGGAAGCTCAAAAAATAAGTAGGCGAGGCCAGAAGATTAAAAAGAGGAGTGAGACCTTTTTATGAAATTGTGTTTATTATATTTTATTTAGTGTTGTAGGCTTCGAAGAACCTGTTAAAGGAAAATTATATCTGAAGTTTTGGAGGCTTCGCTGAAAAGCCCAATTTACTGTCTTCTACTTTGTTAACTGTTAATACAACTCAGAATACTAGTAATGGGAAGTTAATCAGTTAAAACACAATTGTCTCATTTAGAAGATACTTCTTATTTTAATTCGTATTGTTAAATGTTAACAGTAGAACGTACATGATGTTTATAAACTTACGTTCAAGTGACCTTATCAAAAAATCTTATCTTAAACTCCTCTTGTTTCAGTTACGTACTGTGTTACCGTCGGTAGGCACTGGTCGAAGATTGTCGAAATTCGAAACTCTTCAAATGGCACAGCAGTATATTGATTGTTTAGCTGAATTGTTGAATAAACCACGATGATCTGTCTTCTTTGTCTTGTCTGTAAATAAATTTTTCTAACTTATCATTCAACCATTTTTATCTCTTAAAATGAAACAGTCTTATAACAACTGTGATATTTTTATACAACAATGCTTTTACAGGATCTACCCAAATGACTAACTCACTGTTACCTTGCGTAATTTGCTCTTATGCATTGTGACAGTGTTCTGCTGTTACATTATTTTTTTTTCTTAAAATTAGTGCTACTTTTTTAGTACCAAATTATCCTTGTTATATTTATTGTAGTCATTTAGCAACAGGCATATTGGAAGGCATATTCAATCAAAATTTAATGACATATTAAAACAAATATTTCATCTTCTAAAAAATCTAAAACTAAACCAATTAAAATATTATTCTTATTTCAAATTATTACTTGCAATAAAGGAGAGTTAAGTGACGAGTGACATATGCCGCATATAATTAAATCCTTATAAGTCGATTTTTAAACAATGGAATTTCTCATGAATAAATTAAAAACGGAGATCTGCTACTTAAGCAATCCGAGGCATTATAGCAGTTAGTTTTGATATTGCTGAATTCAACTGCGGAAGAGAAGAAATGATAAGTTACTTCAATGTAACATACAGAGATAATTACCGTTTTTTTTTTTCAGTTCAGTGAAAAAGTGGGACGAAGATTTTTTTCTCATTTTGTCTCAGTACAGTGCGTTGACGTATACAAGCGGTCTTTCCTTTTGATGTGAAGTGTGAATTTATTTATTTAATTTTTTTCATTTAAACCAATTGAAAACAGTACTGGAACCACTTCAGGTTTCTTTGTACCCCTGCTACTGCTACTTTCAAAATATTTTCCTATCTTTCTCAAACAGTGGAATTTTTTATCAATTCAATCCAATGAATAAATACCAAATGAGTACTTTGGGCATACTTAATGATCCAATTGGTAATTTGATTGAGGCTATTTCTCTAGAAATCGATTCATATTTCCTAAAATCTTAGGTATAAGATCTATCCATATGCAGTATCGAAGGATCTTTTAACATCTTATGATAGTCACTTTCCTGTTTAGGTTCGTCGTTTTCTTATCTGCTATTTAGTGCGTCTTACTTTTTTCAGAGATCAAGCACAGTTGCACTGTCATATCATAGATTAGTTTCATTCGTTGTCTTATATCTTAGTTATTCCTTTTAGACTTTATTATATGAATATATATATATGTCTGAAAAAAAATTCTCAATTTTGGATCCATTTTCTAATTATTAAAAAATTCATTTTTGGGTTTACGATTAGTAAGGTAAACTAGGAAGTATTATTGGTAGTTGTGATAAGAACAGTAGATTGTGAATTAGTTTGAGTTGATGGATGAATGAATGAATGAATTTCATGTATTATCTCTGATCAGCGTTACTGTTTGTGGATGTGTTGAACTCTTTTACGACATTTGCACAGTAATTATGTGATAAGCCATCATTAGTAAGAGACAATATTGTGAAAGCGTGGAATGAGATATAATTGCATGACCTTTGACCTTTATTTGATGTTACCTGCACATTATTTTATGATAAATCTTTGTTTGAAAAGAAAGCATTTACCACGAATAATCGAATCCATAGGTGAATATAGCTGTACGCACATCCGTACGACAAATGTTGTTAACGGTTCTACAATTTTAGTGTTTTATAGCTACAAAAAGATATCTCGTACTCTTAATACTACTGTCTTATAAACGTAACTTTGGAATTTCATGTTGGCTTAAAACTCACAACATGTTCAAATTTTCCTTGCAACTTTCAGTTTACTAATTTGAATTTCATTCGAGTTCGCTTAAATTTTACTTAAAATTCAAACTCTCAAGCTCAGCCCTCATCTCATTTCAAAACTTAAATTCTGCTGAAAAAGATCTTTGAAATTTAACGTTGTGATACCAATAAATTTTCATAAACGGTTGCCAGTTTAGCTTTATTTCAGTGGTTGACGAAATTTGGGTGTACGATATCATCGGTGTGGTGGAGATCTTAACGATGGCTTTCTAATGGTGTCTCGGCTATTGTTTCTTTAAATCCACGATTTTTAAGCTTTTCCAACATTTCGTTACTTAGAATGTTATTGTCTTGTATAATAATTTTTAAGAAGTCGATAACATCACCGTTCTAAAATGAGAATTCTGCAGTAATGTATAATATATGCTACGCTAACAGTATTTGAAATCTCAATGACGAAGAGTCAAAAATAACGGCAGAAATGACTGATTTAATAATTAACTTTGTTTTTAGATCATTATGACATCAATCACGATGGAGTGTGCATTGTGATGGTTGTGTTATGATCTGATCTTAGGACTGTTACCCGAAAAATTAGCAGAGTCCAGATTGTAATCTTGATAAAGCGTTTTTTGGTAAATCTGCAGGATGCCAAGAGTAGAATATGAGCCAAAATTGGATTTCAAGGACGTTCTTTTACGGCCTAAACGTTCTACACTAAAGAGTCGAGCGGATGTGGACCTTGTTCGTGAGTAAGTTTTTTAACTTGTCATGTATATCCTTACAAAATTTACTATGTAGTCGCTATAGTCTTTCTTCGTCTGTTTTCTTTTTAGTGTCATTGTTTTAGTCGTTTTGGGAAATGGTCTGAAGCACTGCTTTTGTTTTGGTCAATAATTGCAGCTTTACCGTTAATTTTTCTAATATATAGCTAATTTGGTTCAATTGTATGAGTTCCACTCATACATGTCTTTGTTCATCGCTATATATACAAGAAATTTTCCACCACACGCAACACTTATAGAAGTTGAACGCTTCAGTTAATTAAAAATAGTGTTGGTGGATAACTGCAAATATAAATTATAAATCTTCTGATATTATTTTCTTCTCTTTCTTGTTCTCTCACCGCAAAAAAGTCGATAAATTGAAGAAATTGATGCTGTTACGATATTACCTAAGATTCTTCTCAGGTTTATATTTCGGAACTCGAAAAAAAAATATGTTGGTATACCAGTTATTGCATCAAACATGGACACTGTGGGGACATTTGAAGTAGCGGAAGTTCTTTCGAAGAAAAAGCTTTTTACATTTATACATAAGCACTACTCAGTTGAACAATGGGTAGAATTCGTGAGTAGAACAGATTCGAATCAGGATGTGCGTTTCTTTGCTGTTTATGCTTCGATCTTAATTCTTTTTTTTTTTTTTTTCGTTCCGAATTGTTGATATTATTTGCATCAAAGATTTTTTTGAAGGGAATTAGCAACTTTCATAGTTAATTTAAATTTTATGATGAGGACCAGCCACAGAAATGAAGCGAGTATCTGGAAAATTCAAGTTTTATGCAGACAATGTCACAAATTGGAATTTCATCTGGAGTGTCCGACTTTGATTTTGCAAAACTGAAAGAGATTTGCGGATTAATACCTGAGCTTCAATACATTTGCCTGGATGTGGCAAATGGATATACGGAAATGTTTGTGGACTTTATACGACGGGTTCGAGAAGGATTTCCCAGACACACAATATTTGCTGGGAATGTGGTGACAGGCGAAATGATTGAGGAATTGATTCTATCAGGCGTTGATGTTGTGAAGGTTTTTTTGGATCAAATTTTATAATTTAAATGAGTCAGAAAAGTAATGATCTTCAAACAATTTCTTTTTTAATTTTAAAAGTTAATCTTTTTCCACATTGCTACTTTTTAATAAAATCATTACTGCCACCCGTTTTTAAGAGATATTTTGTTCGGTATGCACCTGGTGTACATGGTTTTTTAGGTAGGCTTAGGTCCTGGTTCAGTTTGTACGACACGTAAGAAAACTGGAGTTGGCTATCCACAATTGAGCGCTGTTTTGGAATGTGCTGATGCTGCACATGGTTTGAACGGGCATGTGGTGAGCGATGGAGGATGCACAAATCCTGGAGATGTTGCGAAAGCATTTGGTGCAGGAGCTGATTTTGTGATGATTGGAGGTGCCAAAGATTTCTCTCTTCCACCCTACGATCCTTAATGCCTACATTTGTGCAAAAAAAGAAACAAATAGGCTTCCCTCGTTTCGGACCTATCATGTCAGAACTGCATGTCCACTTAGTCCTACTTTATTCATAGGTCTTTTCGCGGGACATGATCAGTGTGGTGGTGATACTGTTGTAAAGGATGGACAGAAATACAAATTATTCTATGGAATGGCTTCTGACACAGCGATGAAAAGACACGAAGGAAGTGTAGCAGAATACCGTGCTTCGGAAGGCAAGACAATAACTCTTCCATGCAGGCAAGTATATGCTTTTTAGAAACAGTATGTCACTATTTCGATTCTTTCATTATGCAAACTCAACTTAAAATCCAAAATTAGTGTTACTTTTTATAGAGGTGATATTTCGGATACTGTACAAGACTTACTAGGTGGACTACGATCGGCTTGCACATATACCGGTGCGAAGAAATTAAAAGAGCTTTCGAAACGGGCTACTTTTGTTCGTGTTACGCAGCAGACAAATGAACAATATACAACATTTGAAATATCTCCATCAGAATTACAAAAATTAAATATCCGAATCTGATTCATGTTCTTTAAAAAGTTTCATTTCATACTTCAGTTGTGCAGCATTATACACTGGTTAGAGTTTTACTTTAAAATATTTCAGTTTTCGTTTTCATTTGCTGTCCATATATTTTATTGGAAAGGATATTTTCCTTTTATTTCAATAAAGCTTTTTCAAAGCTAATTTAAGAAAAATGTCCACTCCCTATCCAACCCTTCAAATATCTAATCCAAAATTCTCCTTAATTCGCACCACATCCTTACAGCTCAGTCTATAAACAGTGTTAGCATGAGACCTTATCATCCCTTCTTGATTTTTATATTTTTAAATTATTGGCTTTTGTCGATAGAGACACATTTCGGTACTTTTCGATTCCATTTTCCAGAAGATATACATTCGAGTACATTTTCCGAAGCTAGACGGTATTCTGTAGAAGTACAGTAGAATACCACTTTCTCTCCAATGAGATAATATGGTTTAGCTGGTGAGGTGCTATCCCCTTGTTCAGGTTTTCCAGGAAAACGACAGACTGGTATACCTGAAAAATCACCTCGTTAGAATTTATGGTTTTTTCTGTGACCTTTTGCTGCCTTATTAGCCAAGGAGGCAATTATTTATTAGACTTCAGCAAGAAGGGTCGCATTTTTTATTGCGAATTTCGAAAGCATACATTTTACGTCGACAGAAGTCCAGTTACCGTTTGCTTGACATACGCTGTAGTCGATACCAGTTAACATGTAACCATGTCTACATTCAAATACAAGCACTTCCCGTACGTTATACTCATCCTTCACCTCTCCAACTACTGCCACATTCCTCGGTACCTTTGGTGTTTGACATTTCACATCTTAAAATCGATAGTGAAGTCAAACATAGTCAATGAATTTATAAATATATTTGGTAATGTTCAACAATAACACATTTTTAACAGTCCAGGACATACTTTTACACTGCGGTACAATTCCCGACCATTCTCCATGTGGAAGACATTGTAATGTTCGATTCCCATCCAGAAAGTGTGTTAATGAACAAGAAAATCGTGCGGTGCCTCCAACTCTGAACGTTGTAACCACTACTTTCATTTCGTGATCCATAATCACTAGTGGTGGACACTGCAATGCTACAAAAAATCCATGCGAGAATTCATTCGTCCAGAATATAGCGGCCTTTTTTTGGGAAAATTACTAGCAAATACAGCCAGTGATTGGTTGCAGTAAACATTTTTCGAACATTTTAGAAGCAAAGCCTCACACTGAACATAATTCATTTATTATCATCATTCACCCGCGGTACATGTTTTTAGCTACTGATGAAGTAAAAGTAAGTTTCGAGCTAGTTAAGTTGCGCGAATTATTACTATTACTACCAAAATCCAATCATACCTCGACATTTTGGTAAAGTATGAGACCATTTTCCGGAGCTTAGACATGTCGACGAACGTGGTCCATCAACATAAAAACCGCTTCCACATGAAAACTGTGCGACTGTTCCAATAAATAAATGGGGACTTGTATAGAAGATTTGTAAATTTGTTGAGTTTGTAAATGGCATGCATTTCTGATCTGCAGCAGAATACTTTGTCTTTTTTTTCAACAACTTTCTTCATATGTATGCGAAACTTTTTCCTTTTCTTATTACTCAAAAAATTTGAAACTAAAGATTAACCTTTCACAATGATTTTGACAGTATTGCGATGTCCATTCGGAAGAATACAATGGAAAAATCCTCCATCTTCAGGACGTGCTGCTGTTACAGTCAACTTAAAAATGACCATTATTATTTCCAAGTTACCTGGAACTGTTACAAAGAAATTTAAAAGAGTTGGAAGCTTAGAAATGGCGCTAAAATTACTTCGTAGGCATCCATGTCGGATTTTCCAGGCAAATTGATCTCAACCCATGATTGTGGATATTTACGGTACGTTGTTGAAACTTCCCATCTGGGCTGGCCTTTTTTTCGAGGAAATAAACACTGAAGTCGAAGAGTTGTTGATATGTTCACCACAAGGTGCCCACGTGGTGTTATTGTATGCAAACCTCGTCCTAATTCCAAATTTATTGGTGGCGCACCATCTGAGGGAATTCAAAATTCTGAATTTTATTACACAGCGAGAGATTGGAGTCCTTGTAAATTCATACAAAATAGAAGATAACGATACCTAAACAATCGTAACATGTGTAACGTGAGGCAAACAACAATTAGTAAATGAACATAGATGAATTTACTGCTAGTTTAGTAAGCCTCTATAAAGACTTCTTACAAACGCTCATTCTGACTGACTGTATAACATGGATTTAAGATCAATCAAAGTACCGCCAACCATTTTCATTATGCGGATCCAGTGTGATGCATTTGGGTATTTTCGGCACCCATGTGCCTCCTCTACATGTGATAACAGTGTTTCCCATAAACTGTTGCATACCATATTCTTGACACGAGAATATTAATTCTGTGCCATCTACACATCATTAAGAGTATAATAATTGACAGAAAAGACACAAGAAAAAGAAACCTACTTAGAGAACAAGAATGAAAAATAACATAGAATCTCTAAAATCCTGAAAGCAGTCAGAAAATTTACCAATGAATCGCTGATTAAAAGTAATCTGTTGCCTATATTTGGAGGAAAATGCAATTAAATGTGATTTCTCACTCATTCGATATTCACACGAATGTACATCTGTAAATGTTCATAGTGCAAATGATAAGACCAAAACAGAGAAATCCTTCACTAGTGTGCAATTTTAAAGATTATAAAAACATTACAATAATTTAGTGTGATGAGTCTCACGGACATATATATGTTATAGTTTAATAAAGAAGTTTATCGCATAGCATCATTAAATCTTTCTAATTAATTTAGTATCGATTACAAAGAACAATTACCGGTTTCATAACTTTTAAAATACATTTTTCTTGAAGTTTTATAAAAGATAGTATACTAGTGTGTATAAACACTAGCAACGCTAAATGAATTTATTATAAGGCTCAAATTTTAATAATTATTAATATTACGCAATTTTTTTCCAACCTGAATAGCAATGCAGCATACCAGCGGTGACCCACTTGCCTCTACGACAGCGCATTTCCATTGTTTTAGCTTCTTCTATCAAAAACCCCACAGCACAGCCTATCTGAATTTAATTGCAAAATTTTGCTCCTAAAGAATTTAGAACTCTAATCAAAACTACATAACTTAAAGCAACCGCTCTAATAGTCAGAAAAAAAAAATCAAAAAAGCTTGATAATCAAGCTTTATCAAGTTTTTTTTTGATAATCAAAAAAAAACTTGATAATTGTCAGAAAAAATCGCAAAACGTTAAATAAAGCTTTTTCTTAAATTGATCAGCAATAATTTAAGGAAAGAAAGCGATGTTAAAAAATCTGAGCCAAAAAAATTATATTTAGAAATATCTATCCCACACATAATTCGGCAATTCTTTCAAAAATTAGGAAAACCTTTAAAGTTGTCCCTCGAGCAAAGCGTGACTTTGTTGAAAAGTGAGCATTTTTGATATTAAGAATTTTGTAGAAGGAAGCAAGATTAGGCATGTTGCACATTCCATCAGACTGCGTGGCAAATGCAGCCGCAGACGCTTTTACTGCAAATAGCACTACTTCTTATTCAATTTATTCAAGCAAAACTTGAAGTTGGATAAAAAATGAAACTATGGAAATTAAAAAGAAAAAAATCTTTTTTTAATCCACAATCACATTCTTTCAAACCCTATAATCTGAAGTATAAAAAGTTACCAAAAAACCTTTTCCCAAAGAAATAAAATTGACGTGCTAAATGTTTACGCATAAGTCAGTAAGCATTATCTTTACAATTAATTATTTAAGACTATAATTAATGTTACATTCAAGACTATCAACTTAAGACTATAATCAAGAATATCTTTAAAACTTTATGACTACAATCATATAATAATATAATCAAGTTTTATCTTTTACTGCTTATTTGTCATGCTAGATTTTCACACTCTTATAGGAGTGGCATGAGATACATCCTTAAGATGCAAAAAATTACCATACTGAACAGTGCTGAAACTCAAACTCTGCACGGAAAGGAACACTTAGTAGCTAGATTGTGAAATCTTTAACTACTGTAACAAGTTTTTTTCGGAAAATGAATGCATGTTATAACATTGCATTATGAAAATGCTAAAACGACAAACAAATATGACAATTATACTCTTTTCGCAGTTATGACAATTATTAAAACGAGTCTTTTCTCAACAATGTAATTTATGAGAGTCCAAGTACTGTAGAAAGTGCACAGCCTAAACAGAATTTAATTTTAACAATAAAAAACTTACGACAGGGTAGAAGACGTGTGAACCATTTACCATTCCGACATTCGATAGCATTCGCTTTATTTTTATATTCATTGTCCACACAGATATACTGAATTATAGTATTTTTCGGAAAAGTGGCCTGTTGTACGCTCATATCTAAGCGAATCGGATGGCCACTAATATTTGTTGTACGATATGCGACAAATGGCTGGTCATCATTTGGACGAAGACATGATGTCGATGGTGATTCTGAAGATAAGAAAATGATCCAAGAATTTTAATATCTCACTAACTAAGTCAATACAAATAATGGAAACTGGCATGTATTAGCGACTTCGTCTTGAATTAGCCAATCTAAAGCTAAGCTACTTTAACTTTAATTTCTAACTCCATTTAGTTAAAGATGTACAATCTATTTCAAATAACATGAAAACTGAATGATTTTAAATAAAAAATTAATAAAGCATCAATCAATTTTAACGTCTAATAAAACCAACCATAATCATTGCACCCAAAATTGGGGTGTATTTCACCAAAGCGACATTTTAATCGAACAATGTTTGTTCCACACATCATATCAATTTCTTCATTATGGTGCAATTCTGTCTTATTAGAATTGTACCTGTTGTCCTCACCTGCTTCAAGTTTGCAATACTCTGTAGAAAAAACCATTTCTTTTATCTATTTATTTATTGTTAGTTTGATCAGTTCATACTTCTCAATTGTCAAATGTCAAATAGATTAGAAGAATAAAACCTACTTGGCCTACAATGTCCGACTTGCTGAGTAAACACTCCATGATTGCATTCGAATTTATCATTCCCATGTAGTTCATAACCGTGTAAACAAACCATCCTCGTCCTACTACCGTGCAGCATAATATCACCTGATTGTAAGATTCGCTCTGAGCGTATGTCAAGGAAGAAGACGTGACTGCGTATCGGTATCCGACAATCATCTAAAAACCACTTATAAATCTGAAAACTTTCTTGTTGTTAAATTTCTGTTGTCGTTCTCATAAAACAAGTAGTAAAGAAAACATTTTATATGTCCAAAAAATACCTAGAAGAAGAAAAATCTTACCGGGAATACAATTAGGAACTTCTGGAGTCCACCGTCCATTTTTGCAAAATGCAATTCCATCTGCTCGCGAGTCTTCGAGGTGAAAACCTTCAGAACATATTACCTAAACGGTACCTGATAACATAATCTATAAGAATTAATAAAGACTTCGTCAATTTCAATTTAGTTTTTTTCTTCTTGCGTGGAAAAAAAATTTTATGTAACTTGCAATCGAAAGCTTTGATGAAAACAAAAATTTCCGGATGTTTTCACATTCAAAATGAATTGAAATAAAATATAGAAAAAAAAAAAAAAAAAAGATATTGAAACTACATTAAAATGAAAGAAAGCGTCAGAAAACTAATTTAAACGAACCATAATTTCAGCTGGATTGTCATTACCTTTCGTGACAACAATTTCTCGTCCGTAATCAACTAAAATCGGTTCACACTCAACAGAACGGCGACGTCGTATCCAAGCAATTTGTCCTTCCACCATCGGATGAGTTTGTGACACGCATTTCGGCCTCTTCCGTGGCATCCAATTTCCATTGACACATGTTGCCTACACAAGGAAACTGTTAGGAGGTAGTTGACGTAAAAAATGATAAACTTTAAGCGCTTTGGGAATCAGATCTGCACGAATTCCGTCTAATTCAAATTCAAATTTTAGTAAATTTAAAAGAAAATACATCCATATTACGAATGTTATAAGGTAAAGAAAAAGACAGATTACTTTTGGTGATCCGAGTAACACAAATCCTTTTTTACATTGAAATGAAATTGAACGACCTTCTTCCACTTCCGATATATATTGAGCATAGTCATAAGCCCCCATCTGTCCTTCCAGCATTATTTGTCCACCTTCCAAGACCCCAAATGTCTTAAGCGGATGTTCACAGAGAACTTAAACTTCATAAAAAAAAATAAATGAATAAAAAAAAAATAAAAAAAAAAAAGGGCTAATGTATTCATATCATATAACGAACAGGTTAGCGTTAAATCTCAAAAGGTATTTTTTTCTCGCAAAGTTAATTCAAATTAAGAGTAAATGGTAGTTGATTAAAAAGTTGTTCAGAGCAGGAATTCAGTTCATCGGTCTGACAGGAAGTAATTAAGTCATCTAAGCTTAACACAACAGTGCACAAAAATGGCAATGGCAGCAGAAATACCTGGGAGACATGAAAATGTCTCGCCTTCACTGGACCACTTCCCATATAAACACTTGACAGTATTATGTACCCCGGATGGTCGATAGCCCTCATTACATTCATATCGCGCAAATGCTCCGTGCGACGATTTTGTGAATACAACTTTGGCATTTGGCATTCTTGGTGGCCAAGATTTGCATCGCACTTGAACAGAAGCAATTTGTAAAAATTGTAATTTCAAATAAGTTTAAAAATTCCTTGTTATCTGTTGGCATATTTAAATCAAAGAATAATATTAAACAATTTTCAGGAGTAAAATCACGTATATAACAGCGCGATTCTTGCTAAAAAAAGGTATGTATGAGAATAATCATAATGATCTTTCTTTGGTAAAATAAATGAAAGACCTGGTATGCAAGTTGGCATATGTGACCAAGTACCATTTCGACAGACTATAGTCGTTTCCATTTCAGCTATTTCATGCTTTGGTGCACACTCTACTCTCAGTCGTTCTCCGTGTAAAGCAAGCTGTGAAGGTATATGGTTAACAACGTGTCCATCGCTTATTTCAGGTATACGGCACCCACCTAAATTTTAAAGAATACTGGTCATAGTTTTTGAATAAAAAACAATTATTTAGCTAAACTCACATGATTTTTTATAATAAAGAAATTTAATCGAATGTGCTGTCATCAATTGTACTACCAATGCAAAATGTTATAATTAATGGTCTAGCATCTTTTTCAAAGGTATAATATATTAAGGGGGAAAGAGAATTGGAACGAAAATAATATATTATTTAAAGTTGAAACTGATCATATTTAAAAAAGCACTTAAACAAATAGGCATTGGATTTGACCAGCGTGCATCGTCTTCACATTTTGCATAAGGTGCACCAATGTGATTCATTCCTTCTAAACAACGAAACACAACAACTGCTCCGAAATGCGTGTCATCACCTTCGATGTATCCATTGTGTAGTTGAGGCAGTGGTGGGCATCGAATTTCTCAAACAAATTCCGTGATTTACTAATCTTTTAAAATTTTTATCAATGCATTTATTGGTTTTTTTAGTTCTTTTTTATTTTGTAGAAATTTAAAACTTCTCTCTTATGTCTCTGTTTTTCCTTTTTCTTTCTTCTTATAGGCACTTTTGAAACCAGAAAAAGTCTCTCAACTAACCTTCACAAGTTGGTTCATTACCACCCCAAACACCTTCGGCAAGACATATCCTCTGCACCTGACCAACAAGTCGGTAACCTGTTTTGCATGAATATGTGATACGAGACTGATAAGTCAATGAACTACCAAGTACTTTGCCATGCAGTGGATCCGATGGTCTTTTACATTCCGTTGCTGAAAAACTAAATGCATTAAAAAATTATCCGAAATATCTCGTTACAAATTTCATTAACAGGTCTTGTTACAGTGAAATAGGTCTACAAAAAAAAAAGCTACCGCAAATTTAAAAATTTACCTTTGCAGTGAGGTACTTGAGCACTCCATTGTCCGCTGTTCAAGCAACGAAGTGTTGGTGATCCAATCAACTGATAACCGGGAAGACATACTATTTCAACTGTGTGTGGATAATAGTATAGTTCTCCTTTCCGCACTCCGTTCATGATATTCCCCGGATCGGGACAGCTCCGAGCTATATAAAATATGGATGATGGAGATAGTATATAAAATGTCCCGGCTATTAGACCTAAAGCTTATTTTAAAGATTTGTTTTTTTAAAAAAAGACTTGATCAAATGCAGTACTAAGTATAGTGATCTAATCTAAAAGATTAAAAGCAAAATAATTTAAGAAACGGAATGTATACCTCGACACCGTAAATCTGGACCAAACCATTGCGCTGCTTTTTCTCGATTCAGTAAACATTTTGCTATCGTTATTCCTTTATTGTTATAACGATGATAACCTGACACGCAATTGTAATGCACTTCGGTCTCTAGCTCATATTGACCGCTGTATGAATTGCCATCATGTTGTGCATAAGGTATTTCTGGTGGTGGACCGCACTTTTCTGCAATTTTTCTTGTTTTACAAATTTCCCAAATCAAAAACCAACAATTTCTTGCATCTCTGTAATGTTGTGAATCCGTATCCCTTAACTTCATATCTAAGGCTACTAACAAAAGCAGAAATGAAAAACTTGTCATTCAGGTCATCAACAGTAATATAACATTGTCATCGATTAGTTGACGAACATAAAACGAAGTATTACTCACTTAGTAATCTGCACTCAGGCTTAGTACCACTCCATTCACGATTTGCTTGACAACGTCGTTGTGATGGACCAACTAACACATATCCCTCATTACAACCATACTCTGCATTCGAGCCGAACAGAAAATCGCCAGGTGTTCTGATAAAACCGTTCGGTAGATCGACCAATGGATGACAAGTTATTGCTGAAACTTCTTAAAATAACTATATTCTAAATATCTCCCAACACAGCAGATGAATTCAGGTCATCGACAGCAATATAACGTTGTCAGTTATCTAGGATAAAAATATTAAGACTTCAAAATATGAAGAATCACTTGAAGAAGGCATTCTAAGCCATATAGGTATGTAATGAGTATATAGAGTTGTAGATGGAAAAATGAATAAAGAAATGTTGACATTGATCCTGCTTGCTATGTGAAAGAAAGGATAAGATTTACTTACATGGATTGACGCATGACAAGCCGCAAGGACCATCACAAAGGCATCTTTTACTGTTTTTCTTGCATTGCTCATCTCTTGTACAAGCTTTCTTGCAATAGTTGGGACGATTGGTAGCACTTACATCAGGACATATTGTTGTCGGAGAAGAATAAATTACAGCCATTAATGATAACAGCAACCACAACAGTAAAGTAAGCATTGAAGAGATGAAGAGATCGTGAAATAACGGCTTCTGAAAGCTGTTTCAACCATAACAGTCGTATTCTCTTCAACCTGAGAGAAGTAATAGTAATCAACAGATGACAGAGGTTTACTCACGTCGTAGTAGAACTAGACGATTTGTTTACTTAAGGTATTAAGGTGAAAGAAAAATGATGTGAAGTATTTAAAAAGTATAAATCTTTGCTCCAAATGAACTAATAGCTGTTTGTAAGATGAACAGTCCTGTCAACTTGTTATCTATATCTACCATGTGATGGAAAATCATGTGATGAGTTTATCATTAATTATTTATTTTTTGATCAATCAGGTAATCCTTTTTGCTCACAGATATAAAATGAGAAAATATTTAATGCATATTACTCACTACCACACATGTTTCAGATCAATGATATAGTCTTATCCAGAAAAATCATCGAGCAGTTTTGGAATTCAAGAAAATTCCTTTATTTCAGAACTTTTTTTTTCGCTTCCTCATGATCACATCAATTCATCCTTAAGCTCGTGACAGCATATGATAAATAGACATTTTACTTTGAACATTTTACAGTAGTTACTCTCACATGAAATTGAGGTTGGACTACTGGATACTATAACCGAGCATAGATCATCGAGCTCGGAAACGTTTCTGAGATTAATGTTAAAACATCTAGGTCAATAACAGTTTTCACTAGGATCTGTATAGGTGAGCCACAGTTGATCACTGATGGGTGATATCACTTTCCCATTGAGCCAAATAAAGCTGGGCACTAGATAAGTCCTGAAGCTTGATCTAATTAATCAATATTTCCTGATTAGCCGGTGAAAAAGTTGAATCACTAATCATTATTTAAAACCTGACCGTGAATAAAAATAGCAAAAAAAAAAGACTCAGTATTTAAACTCGTTTAATTATTGAAAAGCTCTCAACCGGAACCATCTGATCTACAGCAATATTTTCTAGAAAAGTGCATTTATTCAATATTCCATATGTACTCATAAGTGTTGGAATGAACTGTCGGAATTAAAATATTTTTTTTGAAATTTCTTGTAATTTGCTAAGTTTTTACCCCGCCCAATATGTCTTTCAAAGTTCTGACCAAACCTTCAAGATGATATTAGTCTTTTATTGAATATTAATTTAAAATACTAGGGAAAATGAGTGACTGAAGAGACTTTGAAGGATAAGCCACCGGAATGTTATTCAAAATGCACAGCTTTAAATTAGCTGCACATGATCAGTTTAGGAAATACAGTAACTATGTTTCTATCGATTATAAAACTCTTAATAAGATAGAGGTGGTGGTAATGAAATACTGTGAAGGGTAAATATCAAAGTATGTTACAAAACAATTTAATTCTCGAGGATTAAAACGCTGGGATATGGTGGATCTCAAGGATCTCCAGAGTGAAAAAAGAATGAAAATTTATCCAATACGTAGAGCTGAGAATAGCAGTGAAATAACTTAATAATAATAAAGAATAAACTATAAGTTATACTAAATGGCAGAGAGTTCAATAATATAGTTAGTAGGAAGTGGAAAGAGAACTAATATGTTTATCTTATCAGGTGAGATAAGATAAATGAGCTTGTTAATTAGAAAGAAAAGTACAGCAGTTATGAAATGAGATGAGAGTGGATCTCTTGTCTAAAGTGGTATGAGATAAAAATTTACGCTAATGGAAAGACAAAAGAATAGAAGAAATGTTGCTGCAAGAAACAGGTATCAGAAACCTGCGGTATATCCTCAACTACTCGTCAGCGTGCAGCTGCTTCTCTCGAGTTATCGTCAGCATATTTAGTTCCGTTTCTTGTAGAGCTGTAGTTGCTGCTACTGCTCAGTGGCACTTCCCTTAGTTTAAAAATGTAATTAAAGTTTGTTACGTCAATTAACATTGATGATATGATATCATTTTTAGACTTGCTGGTTTTATTCTAAAATCACTAACATTTTCATATCTTGAAATAAACATACCAAGATGCTCAATGTATTTCTAGTAATTCAAAATGTATTAAATGACAATGGACAATAGTTTACAGAGAGTGTCAATTACTAATAGCTTCAGACGATAAGTTATAAGATAGATAAGTTAACTCAGAACAGAAAGGTTTGTGAAAATGTTCTGATATGAGTTGTCTGTGTTATGTACCTCGGAAACTATTTCGCTAATCACATTCAGACATTTATTTAATATGAAAGATATGAACTGATAGTAGTAGTATGCCATAAAATTTGTAAGAATTGAAAGCAGCTTTGAAATCTAAATAATTTTAAAATTATTTTGAAGGTCTTGAAAAGGTCGTGGGTTGGATCAAATGTGTCATTTAATGTTGCAGCAGGTGAGAAAGCTAGTTTATATCCTAAAATTTATCTATTTTCAATTTCTTAAGAACTATTTAGATTTAGGTTTAATGAACAAGACTATGGAAATGAGACAGAAAAATCAGATCAAATGTGTTGTCGAAATCTATACATTTAATTAATGCATCTACACCCCTTACGAGATAAATTTATTGCTGTTATAGAAGTGAAATTAATACTCCAAGTGGCACTATTTTTTAATGTTCCAATTCTAAATTTGTTGTCATATTTCGTTATAATTTCTATTTTTTTTTCATGTTTTTTTTTTCTTTTTCATTTAAAAAATTCACTTTTTTAATTTGAATTTTGCATATGCTTCAATCGAAATTGAAAGGTTTGAATGGTTAGTTCTCTGTTTGTAATAGAAGATGTAAAAAAGCACGTAAAATGCTCAAAAAAGAGAAAAACTTTACTTAATTTACGAAAAGGACATATAGTTCTAAAGTTGGCCGGACAAAACACTGTTCATATTCCTGACGTACCGGAAACCTGCAGTTCTTAATCGGATCTGTCAACTTTTCGAATTTATCTCTCATTTTTGCTTTCTAGGGCTCCCAATTTTTCCAAAGTCTTTGAATACGAATGGTTTCACAGCGAAACCTCTTTATTGGTCATTTGAATTAGCGCAGGTGTATAGTTGGTGTGTGGATGTGAGTGGAAGAGGTCAAGTGGGTTCGTAAACTAAGTTTGCTTTAGTTATGTTTCGTTTTTGTTCCGAAATTTCCAGTGAATGGATGCTCGCTGTACGTTTTATCAGTAGAAGTTATTGCACGAAGAGAAGATCTCTCCAACTTCATCTCCTTACCACCAATTGCTGTCCACTCTGTGATCATTTCAAAGAACAGCTTGATAGTTACATCTTTCATCAGAGGGAACTTACTTATCTTCTTCAAGTGGAAACTATCAACATAGCCAGCAACACAAATTTCGAGGTATTTTCTCCAATCCATCGTTTTTTTCTCCTCTCCTCGTCGACACTGTCCTCGTCTTCTCTTGTCCTTTTATTTGCAAGTACCAGCAACTGATATTAGATGATGCGAGGTGACAGAATGGACATTAAATAGCTTCAATACTTTTTATCGGTGGCAAATTACACATTAAGCACAAGGAAAGTTATTTTAATAGCACGAGATAGCATATGGATGAAGTAATTAAGAAGACAAAGTGATTAAATATGTATATCAAAATGATTGGTGTTCAAGTCAAGCAATAAGTATTTGGGTTACAGTTCTTTTTTTACATTTTCATTTGTTCATCTTTCCCGTTTGTCATTTTTATACGCTGTGTTGTTTATATCCTTACGTTTACATCCTTTTGTTTTTCTTTTTTCCGCACATTTTCCTCCATTACTATTAGAAGTCAAGACTATTCTAGATTTTACAGAATTACTTGCAGAAATACAAGTGTGATGTGCCAGTGCTTCTATTCAATGACGAAGTTCTGTTGAAGCATCGATTTCGCAGGGAAGAATTTGAGAAAGCTCTGGTTAGCATTTTGCAGTAGGTGACAGATGTGTGCATTTGTGGCTGTGCATGCTGGTGCTGGGACACATTCACATAAGACGGAAGATGTTTGCCTGAAAGCAGTATGCAAATCGAAAGGCGATATTATTGAAGCGGTTAAGGTTTGATCTTTATCTTTTCTTTTAGAGCTTTTTAAAGAGAATGCAATTATCTCTTTTCGTCGTCTTTCACGATTTATATTTGTGAAATAGAAATTTGAGATAGTGTTGAAGTGTCTGAGGCTTATGATTGACGATTAGTTTAGTGATTTCATGAGTACATATTATTTTCCAGGAACTTGAGAACGACTTTAGAACAAACTGTGGTTTTGGTTCAAACTTGACATTTGGTGGACATGTGGAATGTGAAGCAGCTTTTGCATCTTCAGAAGGTCAAAATTTATGTAAATTATCGTAACTTTTGAAATCTTTCAAAGTTCGTTTGGAAAACCTGAAAAAGTTAAAATTTGAAAAGGTATGTGTGGTCCCATTCAGGCTAATTGATCATGTTCTTCAGTACTTAAGTTAGATATTTGAGGATATCCTGATTTTAGACCAAATATTATGGGTGCAATTAATATGTTCCTGTTTAGGTCATGTTTTTGGTGCCGTTGGAGTGGTGTCTCGGCTGCGAAATCCCATTGAAGTTGCTGCAATGGTTGCAAAAGGTTAAATTTTCTTACAAACATTTTTCTTAAAATAAAATACTTGAGTTTATTCGTCTTTGGAATATATATTGCTGTCGTTCATTTTATGACTTCTCAACGGCTTCGTCAGAATTCTTGTTAGAAAGCTTTTGTGCTTAGTTTTCAGAACCATCATTGCAGAACAGTTGTGCGGTGACAAGAAATTTGTGCTGCCGACTGTTTTGGTAGGCAAGGGTGCTGAAGACTGGGCTCAAAAGCGTGGGATTACACTCTGTGATCCAAAATCATTAATATCAAAAAGGTCACAGCAACAATGGCAAGAAGCTCGAGAAATTGTGAAGGACTGGGAAAAGGAGACGATGGATACCGTAGGCGCTGTATCGGTAATAGCTATGCGTTGCTTGTGATTTAGATAAATCGGAGAATAAGTCATAACAGTGAAGTCTGCAGTAACTTATCATCATACAAAATTTTTTCACTTATTTTGTTCAGTATGAAAATGGTGGTTGTAATGCGGCATGCTCCAGTGGTGGAATTATATTGAAAGCTGAAGGACGATTAGGTCATACGGTTCAAATTGGTGGTGCTATTTGGGCTGACCAGAGGGATTCCAGAAGTATTGCAGTTGCACTTTCTGGCTGTGGTGAATACATCGCTCAAACATTGTTAGCAAAGACTCTTGCTGAAACCTTATTTAGTTGGTAAACGTTTCCTTCCAATAAAAGCCGTATTTCAATCTATGTTTTATCTGGAAAAATTGGATTGTAGTTCTGTTTCTTGAATTAAAGCAATAAGGAGACAGGCATTCTCGTATGGCTACTAGAAATTTAGTGTTAGCAAAATGTAGTAATTTCGTTCACATTAATTTAAGGTGATTTTTTGAAAAATCAGTTCAAGTTTTTTAGGAATTGTGAAGATGTGATTCTGGATAAAATCAACCATGTTTTCGATGCTGCATTTGTACATTCTCCGTATCTACAAACTCGAAACAAAAAGCACGTCCTTGCTGGTGGATTGGTGCTGTTTGTTGACAGAGGTATAGGGATGATTCAGTTATTATCAGAAAAAAAATTCAATTTCCGTAGATACTTTAAATCTTATCGCTATTAGAGACCGTGAGTCGGAATCTAAAGATTTTTACTCAGCCGAGTATACTAATACGTATCAAAAAAAAAAAAAAAGAAGTTTGGAAGACCGAATTCTCTTCACCTGATATGAAGCTGTTTTGTTCTACAAGTTCTGCATTAGGAATGTTGAAGTGTACTAATTTTACCTTCTGACTTATTTGTTCTGTGATATTGGCCAACATTGTAAGTGGAAAGTCCAAGTCTTCGTGACAACCTGATTTGATTGGAGGTTTTTGGCTTTCTTTCTCCAAAATCAAATCTGTAACGGAAGCTGGTCTGCAAAAATGCGAAGTTTTCTTTCACTGCTGAAGCTTCTTTTCATTATTCTGATCCCTGTTAATTGTCATCCTCTGGCTGATGAAAGTGAAAACGTTTCCAGCAATCTCATAACTGATCATCTCCGTTTCCACACGAAAATGCACTTAGAATGGATTTTGCTTTTTGGCTTTTTGCTGTGGGAGCTTTTTATCTCAATATAATCTGCATCGGAAAAATTGAGTCCTTGTAACTGACTTCACAGTATAATAAACTGAGGATTTTCTAGCTGGTTTCGATATTAGTGAAATTCAATTCAAAGAACGGCTTGAATAGAAAGATATTGCAAGAATTCCATTTCAGAAAGCAGGTGTGCAGAACTTGTTTCATTTCATAACACAATGGAATTGACTTTTGCGTTTTTTGGAAATGGAAATAAGATGAAGTACCGTTCTCGTTCATTTTCCAGTGATTTTATTGCTCATTCCTTTTCTTTAAGAGATTACATCAACTTTTTCTGATATTTTCTTTGAACTGCAAGTTGTTGATGCGGAGTTGAGATTATTTATTGTGTGGTTCTAAACTATTGCTTTGAAATAAAATATTCAGTTTTGATTATATCTGTTTCCTTCAGCAGTTTCTTAGTGCTTTCGACTTATCTGATGTTATCGGAAGTAATCAACAGCTGAACTTTAAGGTATTCCGAATAATTAGTTTCGTTTGAGCAATATGATATATGGTGAGAATCTGTGATAATATTGTGTGAACCATGCTAAGCTCATTAAGAACGCTGAACAGAGATTTACAAAACTAGACTTCTTTAACATATTGGTGCGTTTTGTGCTTGTTTATATTTTATATATTTGATTCAATAAATCTTTTGAAGAATGCATGGTTCAGCAAAGAAGTTTGTAATCCCTTCTCGAGATGATGACTTGTTGGAAGAAAGCGATGATTTTTACACGATTAGCAAACGTCCTCAACTAGATGAAATTATTTCAAAAGTGTTTCGTAAGTTTTACCCGTACTTTTTTATGAGGATAGAGGTCTTTATTTTGACCAAAATATTCAAAAATTAAGTTCATGAATGTGGGAGCGAGCAGCTTGCTAGAACTGGATTTTTCGAGTAACTCTAGTACTGAAGTATATTTTCGGAGTTGGAAGAAATATTATTTCGTTCGTCTGAAGAAATGTTAAATGATAAAACCAGCAATGACTTGTTGTCTCACTAAACTATTAGCTTTTTTTTTTCAGAATTTCACCACGATATAGATGCTGGCAGATGGTCGCGAGTCATTGATAGATTTGATCACTTATTTTTTACTATAAAGTTGGTCATTTTACGGTATGAATGGAGGGCGTATATTTCGATATTTGTTTATATTATATATGTCTAAATCTGTCATTAAAGAATAATTAATTATGAATTTCCTAAGTTTCAGCAGGATGGACTTCGACATTTTATTTGCCCATTTAGTATTCTATTTCATACTGATATCAAAATACATTGATATTTCTTTAGTGAAGTATATTTTTTTCGTCGTTAACTTATCATCCTATGTTCCGTTTCTCCACGATTGTTTTCAGACCGTTTTCCGAGGGTGAACCATGGCGTCTTCGCGCTCAGTTAATCTCGGTTTTAAATACGGGTATATTTTAATTATCCGCCGCAAGCTTTTTATTATTGAGTTCTCCTGAGTTTTGAAATGTTTTGCAAACTTTAAAATTTTTATTTAGGCTTAAAACTGACGTTAGACAGTATCGAAGAACTGTTACCAATGCTTACAAGTGAGGCGGAAGCTGATTTAGCGCAAGATTTATTTACTGAAAGAGAAATGCATGCGCGGGCATTTCTAATTTATGTATATTTGTTATGCCGACTTGCTGTACTTTTTGAAAAGGAATCGTGTAATCGGTTCGTATTAACTTCCTTCGATACAATCGTATTCAGCCGTAAACTTTCAATTTCTTAGATTTGCACTGTTATATCTGCTGCATGTAGGAATCATTTTCATAATTATTGCAAAAAAGGTGGAGTGTTAATTTGCTATAACTTATTTCGTGCTTCATTATTTGCCACAACGACTCTACAGTTTACTCTCTCTTCCGTAGTTAGATCAACTAATTCGTTGTTCAGTTCTTTTTTATTGAGAAGGTTTCCAATTTACGCATAGAAAATTATATTTGCACTTTCTAATAAATTTTAGACTGTCAGAAGTGTCGAGTACTAAGAAAGGCCGTAAAACAGTGTCAGATAAAGCAGATGATCAATATATGGTCCAGTGGACATGCGACCGAGCCCATACTTTGAAATTATTGCGCCGTGCATTTTCAATGAATAGTATCGATGCGCAAGGACGACGACGTAATACGGCTATTCGTTTTCTCTGGCAACCATCTATAGTACCTCCGGAATTGTTAAAGTATTCATCATGATCCTATAAAGATTTTAAAGCGTAGTTTACATTAGAAATCTTTGAAATAACCAAGTCGTTAAACTAATTTCAAAAGATGCATTTTTCAGTTTGGATGTGATATGCAAGTTTTATGAGATTTTGATTTAATGACATTGCCATGAATTTTTAATCAAGCACCAGGATTTTGTAATTTTTTTAAAGGATTTCGAAAGATTTGGCTTACAAATTTCTTGAAAACCCAGAACTCAGCAAAGTTAGTGGACGTGATTGGCTGCAAGCAATATTCGGCTACCTCAAAGTTATTTGTATTGATTACAGTGAAGTTGCTAGTGAGCATTTTACTTTTTTCTTTATTCAATAAAAATGATTTCTTAAATTCTCGAGAGAGAGGGAGTCAAAAGAAAAAGATTTATGATACTATGTGACTGAGTTCGTTGGTGAAAATACTGTACGAACTGCCTCACGAACGAAATTTCAGTTCACTTTTTTTTATCTCAGAAGTTGGTGCTAAACTGGTGAACTTGATGAAGCGTCTTGATTATTTGTCACTTTCTTCCTTAACTCAGTCACCATTTGTTGATGCAATCGAATCGGTTTCTTATTATGATGATATGGACACTCTTTTCCAGTCAATGCTTTCGGCACTTAGTAAGTCGAGTGTGAAATCATAAATTTTTATTTTAAAATGTAGTACTATATTTCAAAGAATATGTAGTACTTACATCATTTCTCGTTGATTGTAACACATTAGCTTGCATGTTTCTAAAATGGAAAAAAAGGATACTGGAGGCTCATCATATTTTCTAGTGGCAAAGTTAAAGTTAGTGCTGATAACAGTAATGTAGATACTCAGTTGTTTATGACCAATTTTTGAGTTTTGTTGTGTTGGGAAGCTTGTGTCATTATTATATTTGAAATATATGATTTAGGTCGCTTATCGAAAAGTGATTTTGCTCGTAGTGATGTATCAGCTCGACCATTTGCTTTATTTATTGTTTCGTTGGCCGAGAAGAAGCCATATTTGTTAAATAAACATATTGTCAATATTGCTCCGTTTCTATCAGATGATGTAACTTTCTCCTAATATTTGTCTTGTTTATAATATGCTGTTTCTAACAGAATTGAATTTCTTGTTTTTAAGGAATTTTGAAGATAGTGAACTATAAAACACGGTACACTTTCAGCCAGCTACTCTTCGTTGTGCCGTTCTTACTGCCTTTGTCGAGATCGTTATGGTAGTATATAAGGGAAATTTACCAGAAGGCAATTTTCGACGGTCGCGCGATCGGCTTCTCCTTCACTTACAGGTTTAACCAATAGTAGTAGTAAAATATCTTCCACTATGTTTTAAGAAAATGCCTTTTTCTCTTTTGTTTTTTCATTATTTCAGGACTATGAGTTTTCAAGATTTCTCAATTGTTTTATATTATTCATGTTAATTGAAATCAGTTAAAGGATCATACGGTTGATGTAAATGCAGTAGTGCGTTCTCGTACGTTGCAACTTTGGACGCGTTTGGCTCGTGCTTCACAAATACCGATAGTTTTTATAAGTGGTGGTCTTATTCGCGATGCCGGTGGTCGTTTGATCGATAAGTCGGTGTCAGTTAGGCGGAATGCCGCTACATTTTTAAGTGCCATTTTGGAATACAATCCGTTTGGAGCTTCCGTAGGTTACAATTTATTTTATGAACTGATTTGCATAATCTTGTCAACGATTGTTGCTGTAAATTCACGATGCTTTATGTCGTCTTAAGAGCAGTTCAGATTTGCTTTGAATGAAAATTTTTTTGCTAAAATTTTTACAGTTGAATGCTGATGATCTGGCAGATGCTATCAGCCGTCTTGAGGCAGAACGATTTGAATTGAAGAATACCAATCCAGGTGAGGAAAAGAGTAAAGACAAAAAATTGTTTTCTTTTTTGATCGGTCAAAAAACTTTATGCAAAAGTGCAAACTGTTAAAGATTAATGCATGACTGCTTATTTATGAGTAAATTAAATAAATTATAAGATTTGACAGGGAAGTACGGCATGTATTATTTCTAGGACATTTTCCTAATATTCACTAACAAAGTAGATTTATAGTCAGTTGCAATCATCTGTGTTCCTCTCTTACTGAAATCTTTTCCAAACCAGAATTATATATTGTTTTTAGAGAAGGAAGGAATCAGAAAAGCATGTATTGAGTGGGCATCTATGAAAGAAAATTTGATTCAGTGGATTACAAGTTCAGTTAAGCAAAGACTAAGCAAACAGAGTGCGGAGGCTAGTGAAGAAGAAAGTGTGGGCGGAGCCATTGATCAAAATGGGAATGAAAATGCCGCTGGTGCTTTTTATATTTAATGTTGATTACATAATCTAAATATTTTATTTTGTCGAGTTTTTAACAAATTATTGCTAAATGAACAAGCAAGTTTACAGGCGATACGGAGAACATTTATATTGAGATCAGTGAAACAAATGATATTGGAACTACCGCCAACGAATGCATCATTGATGATGATGTCACGCTCGAAGAGTATATTTTGATTTTTATGTTCATGAATTTTAGATATTCGTGGTCTCTATTGAATCCCAATTACATAAAGTGAACAAGTACAATTATCCGGTTGCTTTTTGGTTGTTTTCAGATTAATAACAAAAATCGTGCATGCTCTTGAAAATCGTGGAACATGCCGTGCGGCCATCGAAGTACTTGTTCGAGCAGCTCTCGATGGCAGATTTCCTACTGTTAACAGGCTTGTTTTTTTGGTTTTTGTTGTTTTGTTTAATACAAATTTGTATACTGGGTTACAGCGCCTAAACATTTGTTACTGATGGAAATTTTTCCATAGTTTAGGAATGGGACAGCTGATGAAATCATTAAGGAATGTTATGAATCGCTGCAGGTCTATTATTTTGGTATGGGTTTGACTTTGTAAATTGTTTTTCTGAATAGTTTCAAATAATGAAGTATCATCCATTAATTTACATTACTTAGATGAACATAAAAAGATGCAGTTAGCCGATGACGAAGAGATGCTTGAACTGGAAGACCGTATTGGAGATTACCAGAAAACGATGGAGGAACTGAACAATAAAATCAAACTGCATGAAGTGAGTATGAACAGTTTTTTACATCCAGGAATAAAAGTGATGCTTTGATAGATATGGTTAATAATGCTTTAATATTGGTAGAGATGATGTCGAGTTCAACCCAAATTATTACACATATTTTTAGCAAATTTATTCAAAATAATAAAATGATTTTAGAATGCTATAATGTTTTCATTGGAAATTGAAAACTGCATGAAACTAGCATTACGATCTGTAATGTATGGACAAGCTAATGAATTGACTGAAATTATTCACTTTATTGTGGAAGCTAATAAGTTTGGGATCCGTGGCTCGGAGAAAAGTGTTCGTGAACTGTTCAAGGTGGTTTGGAGGCGCGATAATGCTGTTAAAGAAATTATTATAAATGCTGCTCGAGATTTATTTATCTCTGCGAACAAGTCTGTTTTATTACTATCCGATTATATACCCTGTTCACTTTGAAAATCTGGAAGATCTCTTATTTTGAAGGAAAACGCCGTTTCTTTCATTCAAAACATTCAAAGTTTTTAATGAAATAATCTTTTATTCACTTATTTTGAGTGGAATGTTTACGACAAAATCGAACAAGAAAGCAACGCAGAAGTGAAATAAAGGAAGCCTACATCAAGATCTTACCTGTAATTACTTGTTAAGGGAAAAAATTATGTCATGAAATTACTATTTGAGTTATTAAGTGTAGGGTTAGGTACTTTTAATCACCAGTGTTTACTTCACTTTCACATGCCCTCAGACAGAACTGAGACATTTTAGGAATGTTTTTTGTTTAATTTTGTTTAGAAATCTTTTTGTGCAGAGATCGAGATGTAAGTGCACGGCGAAGTGCGGAAAATCTTATCAAAATAGTTCTTGGTATCGGTGAAGAAGAAAGAGTATCCGTTGAGGAGGTGGGACTATTATGGAATATTTTATTAAAATATTTGAAAAAACCTCATTGGTGTGGGTAGTTATGTGGTATTTTTTGGGCCCTCTTCGATTATTCTAAGTAATATGCAGTTGTACTATTTATTTTAGGTGCTTTGTTTGATGGCTCGGGAAAATCGCTGGGATATTGATTTGCTTGATGTACTCTCCGCAGTAGTATTTGAAACTCAAGGCGCATCTCGCATTGCAGCCTTGCGTCTCTTCTCTATTATATGCAGGTATTACTTTGCTGAAATAGTCTAATTTTAAAGATTTTGAGAATGGAGAACACTTTGTTATCACTGACTAATCGTTTTTTCTTTTTTTTTTTTTTTAGAGCTAACAAGGAATTTATGCGAGAAAGATTAAATTTTTTCGTTGAATTAACTCAACGCGAGGGTTTTTTTGATAATGATGATGGCACGTTAGCAGCCGAATTCTTTAATGCAATTGCAATGTTAGGAAGTACACCGAATATTAAAGATGTTGGCACTCTTTATGAATCACCGTTTCGTCTGACTGAAACACACCGCATCCTCCAATGTGTGCATGCTGTATTAGTACAGAGTAAGTTTTTATTGTCAAAATTTGGAGTTATCACGTTGTTCTTGTCTGGGTAGTTTTTTAAACTTATTGATTTCAAGTTAGTTGTATAAGGTGCATTAGTAGTCTTGCTAATTCATGATACAAATCTTTCAGATGTAGCAAATATATCATATAATTGGTTAATTATGATGCAAAAGGCAGTGAACACAATATTCTATGTAGCTACGAGACCATCTCTTTGTTGTCGACTTATTGCTAGTGGCTTAATGCATGAAGCAAAACGGTCGCTAGCGTATTTTTTCCTAAAGAAACGAGAAGTTGAACAGATTGAAAAAATTGACTTTGAGTTTGTTTGTTTTTTCTTCTTTTGTATTTTTTTTTTTTTTAAAGGATGTTGTTTATCTGTTTGTTAGTTTTCAAAAAAGAAATAGTTTTTGTTTAGAAATCCTCCAAACAGTGCAGATGTTGATGAGTTTGAAGACCTGCTAACAATGGGAAAAGAGCAATTACGAGACAGTAGCGAAACTGAGGATGAAGAACTAATTGCATCACAGAGTGTTGGTCTTGTTGGCAACGACAGTCTGTCGAGGATGAAAAAGAATGCGTTGGAATTAATGGATAAAGATAAGGAACAATCCTTTCTGGCTTGGGAAACAGTGGCAGAACGAGTTTGTGCCTTTGCTGGTCAGGTTAGTTAGATTTTAGACAGAGGCGAAGATTTAAAATATCAGCAGAATAATGCAGAAGTATAAGCAAAAAACAAGTGATGAATAATTATGATAATGGCAGCGTGATGCATAGTGACAAGGGAATGATTTTGAGGTTGCTTTGAAAACGTTAGTCCATACTGATGTATCCTTCGTGGCCGAAATGAAAAGAAAAAATGAAATCTTGCATGACATTCGAACAAATCTGAATGACATCGTCCATAATAAATTGGAGAGGGCAAATTGTGTTGAAGAGTTTTCAACGAGCAGAATTCTTTCAACATTGGAGGCTGAATCAGTTGAAAGGCGGGGTTTTTTTGAAGCTAATGAACAGGAAGAAGGCGATCGCTTGGGCTTAACGGGTTTGTGATTTTGTCTTAACTCTTATATCAGTTTTAAACGTTAATAAATAATCTCGTGGATACCAGCACTTGTGTTTGTCGTACATTACTATTAGTTTCATCATATTTCATAGGATATACTACATCTTTGACTCTGTAGTCTGATCTTAATCAGGAGGTGACATACTTTTTCTTTTTTTTTTTTTTTTTTCAGGAATATCGGAAGAAGAGCGCATTTTAGAGTGTGCACAACGAATGTGTGAAAATGCTGTGTCACGTAAGGGCTCATTACTGCATCGTTTAAGCAAATTTTTAGTTGCAGTTGTAAAATCGAAAAAAAATACATGTTCAGAAAAACTTCGTTCAACGGCAATATTGGCATTATCAAAATTCATGCTTCTAAGGTTTGTTGCAAACGCACCTTAATCTTGTATTAATGATGCACTCCAGATAATGACAATACCTATGTAATGTTGTAAAGTTAATAGAATTTTCCAATCTTTTTTTCTTTTGTATATTATCGTTTCCATTACAGTATGAAAACATGTGTGCGTTTTATGCCATTATTTCTGGAATACTTCAAAAATTCACCAAGCTCAGAATGCCGTAGCAATTTAATGATTGCAGTTGGTGATTTATGTTTTCGTTTCCCGAATGTGATCGAGAAATATAGTGAACATCTCTATCATGGGTTAGCCATTTTATATGTTAGGAAACTTTTTTTCTTAAATAAACTTCCTCATAGCTCCGATTATTCCTGTAAAATCTAAATATAACTTTGAAACACTATCGATATCCGATTTCTTGCAAATGTTTATTCGCTCTTAGAATAAATGATAAAGATGATTATGTGCGGCAAACTTCCATTATCATACTGTCTTATCTTATGTTGAATGATATGGTAAAAGTGCGTGGAACAGTTGCCGACCTGGCGCAGTGTGTTAATGATGAAAATGTTAATGTTGGGCAGCTTGCAAAATTCTTCTTTTCGGAACTTGCAAAGAAGGTTTAGTTTAGAACTTTTAAAACGTTTTTCTAATCCTTTTTTTTCCCAAATTACTGTTTATTTCATTTGACTTCACAAGAGCCGCTGATCTCATGCCACATCTTCATTTCTTTTTTAACCAACAGCAGTGGAAAAATATTTAGCAAGGTAGTCAGCAGGAGAAAAATGTGAAACTTTGACATCCCTTCCATGTAAACTCTTTGAGAAATTACAATTTTTTAATATAATATTTGAAACAACTAAAACTGTATTGGTAAAATTACCTAATTGATTAAAGTGCTTATTTTCAGGGGAACATTCTTTATAATTTGATGCCTGACATGATCTCACGTCTTTCGTCTAATGAATCAGTGACTATCGATGACTTTATAAAAATTATGAAGTAACTTTTTAACAAGTTCTTGGAATAAATAATAAACCATATGTTCATAGATCCAGTTACTTTTGTTACTCTTAAAAAAACCTCTAAATTATGCCGATTATTTTGTGTGTCATAACTTTGTATTTCCAGATTGTTACTCGCATTTATCAAAAAGGATAAGCAAGCTGATAGTCTGCTTGAGAAATTAATACAGCGCATGCAGGGAGTTGTTAACAAGTAAGGAATAATTTCTTATTTCCAACTTTCTTGGTACAGTTTTCGTTCTAAAATAAGTTAACTTGTCGAGTTTTTTTTCAGAGATGGGCTATTTGACACACGGTTGGCAGAATGTCTATCACATTGTATTTCTTGCCTTCCATTAAGTGAAAAATCGTTCCGTTTCATGGCGGAATCGCTACCGGCTTATTCAAATTTGTTAGTTTTGGAATGTGTTTTTACGAATTTACAGTCAGCTGTTCTCCACTTCAAGAAGTATTCCGTACGAAACACAGAGCTTAAGGTTTGAAAACTATTCTTAGATTTTATATTTTCTTTTTTTCTTGTAATTTCATTAACTTGTTTTTCATTCACTGGCGCAAAAGTAAACTTACAGGGAGAAGTGGATGATTTTTTGGATTCGCTGACTAAAATGCATCGTGATAAACAGGAACATGAGGGCATCGCTAATCGAGGATTGATTCATAGAGTAAGCTTCCATGTTTTATTTCTAAATTAGTCGATTAAGCTTGTGGAACAATAGGCCTGGTGAGTATAGCTTGCACAACTCTTCTATTTAGAATGAGGTGCAGAATATCAAGTTTAAATTATATATTAAATTATTATAATTTTTGTCTAGGTTTTATCACTTATTCAGCATGTGACAAGTTGGCCAGGTTTCTGTTTCTTATTTGTGAATAATATTTCTATGTTTTCTCCCAAATAAGTTGACGTTTTTTTTTTTTTCAGAAGAAGTGCAAAGTACCACTGAAGTTAAAGAAAGTTCGCTGAAGCAGTGTTTATTGTACACAAAGATAAATATAAGAATACTAAGTAATTAAAATTCTGTTAACATAATATGACTAACATATTATTCAACATGTAGTTATTGTGAGTAACAAAAGTTTTCACTTTTTTATAAATGCTTTCTTTATTTGCTTGTTTTTTTTTTCTCATAACTGTAATCATCTACTTATTTTTATGTGTATTAGCGTTAAGATGCCAGTCAGTTCTAAAGTATTTATTTTGAATTTTTTGAATTCAAAATAAACAATGGAGTGGACATATATGGACTTCTGAACATTTATTGTGGTTATTTTCTTTATTAAGATCTTCGAAAAATGCATGATTATAGTTATGAAGTTCGTTTTAATTATTGCTACTAACAGCTATTTTGACGTTCCTGCTATGTAGCACAGTGGGTTGAGAGACTCTTTTGTCATTAAAAAAGTTGTTTTTCTGCCGTAAGAATCGACTATTCTTAAATGTGCACACTGCAAGAAGATGTAATGGAGCATTTCCTATGTGCTAACGTCATAAATGTATTTTGCTGGTATTTCAGGAATGAATTTATTAGGAATAAATAGTATGCTCTAGTAATTTTGCTTTAGCTGACAAATTGGTAATTTTTCACATTGTCTGTATTGTCCACTGTGTTTCATTCTTGGATTAGATTGGACATATACTCTACAGTACTTTGTTCACTACATTATTAAGTAAAGTCGATGGGTAATCACAAATGGTAGTCCAGAGAGTTCGAGTTTATTTATCATTGTTTATGCTTCAGCTTGTTATTACTGATGCTGCATTGTCCCAACCTTGAAAAAGGTCAAAGGATGTGAGTGATCATTTTTGTCAACCTCTTCCATTCAAGACTGGATAATCACTAAATTTAATATTTAATATGGCCAGCAGTCGAGAGTTACGGCGTTTATAAGCACAATCAGTAAGAGAATGAAGAGCCAATTCGAAAGGCGGGGTGCTAGTGTAATAGGTGCTGGAATGTAATGCACCTACCACATACATGCGGAAATGTAATATGATCTAGCAGCTGCCGTTTGCTTTGCTTTGCGCCACTTAACAATCGTTTTGCTGAGATCACTGCTCTCGGGTACGGACTTCAGTTACATCTGGATATTGTTTAGTGGATGGAGAATGGATGAATTAGTGGCACAATCTCCAGAACAACAGGTACCTATCGATTCATTTAAGACAGAAGTTATCACTAATGGAGAGTCAGGACTCGACAAGAGATCAAAAAGCTATTGCTTTGTACTTATAAACACATTTCTCCATTAGTGATAACTTCTGTCTTAAAAATAAGTTAGAATGATTGCTGTATAACTTTGAAATGAACAACTAGAAAAAAATGTCGATAATTTTCCTAAATACAGTTTTTTCCCAGATCAGTTTCCCATTTTTGATTTGTAAGTTCTTTAAAAGATACTAAATCTTGGCCTGTCATCATAACTTTAGTGGTGGGATGTTCGAAAATGAAATTTTTTTGTTTGAAAGCTTTTTTAGTACTTGAATTAAATACTTCAGATAATTACAAGCGCGCCCGTAACTTCTGCAATTCCAACAACAGATGATAATGATGTGGTTAGTTTTACTATTTGTGTAAGAGTGCGTTGATGATAATGGAAGGTATGATTTACATGTAATTGAAAGTCAAGTATGAGGAATGCTTATTTGTATTTATTCCCTTATCACTATCATTATCACTGCCTATTACACTCACTATGCTATTTGCTTCGTAAAGAACTTTCTTTGCAATATGCACATAAAGTTGCAGTTACTTTTGCTACTATCCGATATATTCAGTGGCTGGATGGTAATTATTCGGTGGCTAACTTTTCCCACTCTTCATTCACTTTCATGTTTATCAATTTACCAGTTGGGCTTTGAACTTATGATTACAGCATTTCGATTGATAAATATTATACGAGAAAGTAAATCAAATCTAATTTATTTCCTACGATACCAAATGTACTGCTTGAAAATGGGTTGAGTGGTTTTGGATGGTCAACGAAATGAAATCTTTTTTTAGTTTTGAACCGCTTTTTTAGTATTTCTTTTTTTCGTACAGTAACGTGACTTTATTTACATGTTCATTCTATCTTGCTAATTTTGGTCAATTCCAAATTTAATGTTAGTCCTTTTTGTGCAGTATTCAAAAATGTAGTATAAAGTTGTTCGCATTTTTTTAGCAGGTAGCCGAAATAACCGTGCAAATTGAACTGAAAGGAAAGGAATCGACAGCAAATAATTGATTGGAGACTATGCATTTATTTGTATCTTCTTTAACTACTTTTCCCAAATTACTTTTGTTTTCATTACTGCACCTGAAGTGTTATTATACGTGCTTTCCTTAATTCTATTTTGTTGAGATTTGATTATCAAATTGATAACGCGGATTTTATAAAAAAATTCGGATTTACAAAGCTGAAACGTCAAAGGAGGTCCAACAAACTTAAGGAACTAAAAGGAGATAAAAGTGAGAGTGATAGATGATTGGTGATACATAGAGTCGGAGTAATCCTTCCTACAAGTTATTTTTTCTTGGGTTTTTAAGTACTTGTAAACTTCGGCAATTTGTTTACAGTTTTAATCAATCACTTTCACTGCATATGAACCACCCTTTTGGAAGTTGGAAATTGATACTAATAAAGTCTTCTTTTTGGATTTCGTTGTTTTCAGGAAAACCACAACATACATCTTTGAACTTCTGGGCGAGATGTGTTACTTGAACCTGCTGTTGTTTGGTTTTGTCTTATCAATGATAGTTTAAAAAAAAAACTTTTAGAAGACTTTAGTACTACATACCTTCCTAATAAAGCATAAGTTTTGTCTCTTCGACGCACACAATGTAAATATATTGCCTTCATTCAACAGCTGGAATGTTAAAAAATCGAAAGGACTGTCACTTAAGACAGTAATATGAAGTGCAAAATACTTATATTCACTGGGAGAAATGGTACTTTCTCCACAGGCTGCTATTTATATACTTCATTTATTACGTTTATCTAGGCAGAAGTAAGCTCATCTCGTTTTCTGCAATGCATTTTATGGTTGAAAATGATATTTCTTTCCTTTTCATATTTAAAAATTGAAGTTATGGCTGTATGTTTTTTTTTTTTTTTTTTTTTTATTTCATTCATCCATACATTTTATTATCAATTTTATCATCCATTTTTGAATGCTGGATTTTTGTAACTAACTCGGCAACTTTCGAAAACGTGGCTGTGTAACTTGTAAAGTGGAAATTTTTAAAAATAGTTCATTAACTTCACTAGAATTAACCAGTGCACTTACTGTTTATTTTTATTTTTCCATTTATTTTTTCATTTATGCAGCCCAATAAATTAAATTAGAGTATCTTAGCAAGTCCAGCAAACATTATTATTGAAAAGCTGTAAAGTTAAGCAAATTGAAATTCATGGATGTTCAGTTTCAGGGAATAATATCAAACTGGCAATCTAAAATAAATACAAATGCTGAGCCTAAAGAGATTATTTTACCGTCAGCAATATCGACGATGACTAGTACGACACCACTGGTATGTTCTTTTAGATTTTATAAGACGTTTGATTGAGTAGTTGGAAGCAATGAGTTGTTGGGAACATTATATGTTGATTAACTATACGAGTTTTTTGTTCTTGATCCAGAAGATTTGAAAGTGGAATAGATATCCAGCTCAGAAGTTCCATTTTCAGGATTTACAAACAGATAATCCTTTGGAGCTTTTCATATGTCCAACATTCTGTGAAACTTTGGCAATTTCGCCTGCTGAAACGCCATATGCACCAATCGGCGCTTTGATTCCATCAGTATTGAAGCAAGTAAAACACGTTGACACTGAAATTGAGGTAAAAGAACCCGGACAACAGTCTGCTGTTGATCAACAACACAGCACAAAAGATCTTTCGACCTTTTCAAGAAATTTGGAACAGGTTTCCAAGCCAGCTTCAGTGACCATATCAACATCGATAGTACCGATAGACGAGAAACCTGTGAAAAATGCACGGGAGGACGGAAGTGATTTCGTTTTTTACAAGTGTCGTTTCTGTGGACTTACTTATAACTATCTAACAACGTTGCGGGCTCATGAACGAGTACACAATATCGATGAGGTTCGCCATCTTTTGAAAACAATCTTCGATAATTTGTTTGGAAAATTTTGTAGTTTTGAATCCTTAACACATTTTTTGTACTATTTCAGCCTTACAAGTGTAATCGTTGTTCGGAATCATTTCATTATATGTGTGAATTGGACTACCACGCCAAACAGCACAGCGGTAAACAATATTGCTATTCATCGGGGTATATAGTCTGTTACCATATTAAAATGTGGAAGAGAGTGGGAAGAAATGGAGTCGAATCCCTATTGAAAGTGGCACAGACAGAACAGTAATTAATGATAGGGAAATCTGATGACGTATTCCTTTTGATTCCTATTAGAATTTTAACATCTGATTTCAATTTTATTGTTGCAGATTTGAAAGGTTACAAGTGTGAGTGTGGCAGAACATTTCATTCTTACACCGATTTGCTGTATCATAAACATCCAGGTGATGAGGATAAAGAATCAATCACTACAACGGCACCCATTGCTGCAAAATCTGCTCCGCCTATTCCAGAAAGTGATTTTCCTATTCCAAAATTCATTGAGGAAGGATTTGAACCAAAGCATCCTCTGAAAGTTTATTCCGATGTGCGACTTAATCCATACATTTGTCAATATTGTTCGAAAAGTTATCCAAACAGTCGGTAAATTTCAATTTATTACATAGTGAGCAGACAGTTGCCTTTTTACAGTTGTCTTTTTTCAACAAACTATCTACAAAAGTCTCCATGTTTTATTTAGAGTGTAGTGCTTGTAATAGCGAACTGAGTTTGTCTATATTAAAAAAAAAAAAGTAAAAAAGGGATTTTTTTTGCGGAGCTTTGCTGTTTCTGGAATTATTTGGTATTTTTCTTAATCTTGTGTTAACTTCCAGTATGTTAGCATATCACATGTATGGACATCGAGGTGAAAAGATATTCAACCCTCGTGTTTCAAGATACCTAATGGCACGTACCGAGAACTCCTACATCAGTCCAAGATCTTAAATGTTAAGAAAGACTTCAGATATCTCTAACGAGAACAGTTCATTTCAATTTGTACATGACCTATGCAAATCATGAACTTTGCTTTTAATCATTGCTAATTAATAAATTAAAGTTTTAAAATAAAGGTAGACAGCTGCACTTGGCCATCTCATGACTAGCCTGTTTCTTTGCAGATTATATTTCTGCATGCAGCAATATCACACGAATGTCTTGATTCCTAATATTCAAAAGAACACAGTCAAAGACAGTTCATAACACGTAAACTCATCATACCATAAGAAATAGCAATTTATTTGTTGATTTGACAGTATTTCTGACATTTGCTGCGACTAATGAATGGGAAACGAAATACACAGTAATACAATGCATTGAAAAGTTAACTGGTTCAATGTAACTCTTGATAATTATTTATACATTGAATTACTAGACCTGTCCTCATATACCGAAATTCTTTAGTTTCAGATTTAAAAATCAAAAACTGGGTGATGAAAGCACTAATCATTTGAGAAATAATCATTTCGATTTACCTCTTTCAGTTCACCACGTTGATCTTTCCAAGTTATGGTGTCGTGTCTCTTTATGTGTTGGTGTTAATATTTTCATTTCAGTCACACTAGTATTCATTTCTTGCATAAGCTCATGCTGAGCCTATTTACACCAAATATTCCTCCATCTTTACAAATGGATTGACCTCTCGTAGTTTGAACTCATCCAATAAGATGCATGCAATATACAGGAACACTGGGCATATTATTCACTACGCAATAAGTAATGGTACAATTGACGCTATTTCCAATTTCTTACCTCAACCCTATGAAGAGGGTGCACTGACGATTTGGAGCAATTGTTGTATCATCATCATTGTCAACGGTAATGGGTGGCTCACTGCTAAGCGACATATGATCGGCATCCAATTCCATCAGCTGTTCCAAATAAGCCCAGTCATCAGTAGTCCACCCATTATCCTTCACTATTTCTGATGCCTGATTGGCTGGTTCCTCTATTGGTAGCTTATCATCAGTGATGACATAGTGTTTTTGTGATGAAGGTTCCTCGCAATTACTGGATGCCTTACGCCTTGCTAATTTAATTATATCTTCTAAAGTTATGGCTCGTTCAGGAGTCGGTAATGATGACCTGAATACAATTCCAGAATTATCATTAGTAGCCAACACCGGTTCTGGTTTTCTTCCAATTTCTGAAATTTTGATTTTTTGAAGAGATAATGCGATCAAATTTAAAGAATTTGTTAACATAATCTACAAAAGAGCCTGTAATTATCATCTCATCAAATTCCAAACTGGATTTGTTTGTAATTTTGCTTACCTTTTACAAAGAAATCATTTTTCCGGCGTAGCAGTCTTTGCTTTGCTTTCAAGAAGTCGGATGATACGGAAGGTGGAGAAGGTTCTTGATTTCGACGATGTACCTGATGACATGACCGGTTACAATCGGTAATGGTACAAAATGGTTGTAATTGCGTGCGCATCGCCCTATACATCAAGATTATGCTCACAGCAATATAAGAAGAGCTGCTAGGCAACGCTAGGCCTCTCAAACAACGAACATATCATTAGTGTACTACAAGTTATCCAATTTTACATTCCATTTTGTGGTGAAGCGAATGTACTCTCTCTGCATGTAGCAATTAAACTAGTTCAATAAGCATGGCGAGGAATGGGTAAAGTTAATGAGCTAATAACTATCTAAAGACTGAAAGAATATTATGCATCTCTCAAAGAGGAAGATAAATTGTGCAATCGATGCATTTTACAAAAGGAATAGATCTTTCAGACAAACTTAAATCCCTCTTTATTTATCATTTCAACAACTCAATTTTAACTGAGTATATGGGAAGCTATATTAACTTATCAAATCTAAATTTTCCGTTACAAACTCGCGGAGGAAATAAATCAGGCCCCGAGATGAGTCATCGGGGTCCACTTCAATTTACTAACTTTTAATCTTTATTTTCGGCAATAAGAGGGTACTGGTTATTCCAAAATCTATCTTTTCTTCACAGACTCTCTGTTTTGACAAATCCAAAGTGTAATCACGTTTAGAAATAGGTCACTATGGCGTCAAGCACGTGTCCGTTCTTATGACCACTGAACGATATAGGAAAGTCACAACTGTAAAATGCAAGCCCCGCAGACCCCGCACACAAACACCTTAATGGTTGGTTCCAGTCGTCCGTGCCAGGTTTCTCTCTGCCAAGAATTATGAGTTGTGGGAGGGCCGCGTTACAAAGGCTCTCTAGTCAGGAATTTGAAAGTATTGTGGTTGAGGTAGTAGTTTGGAGAGGAGATGCAGCTGGAAGCGTGGTTGTGGTTCGGACTTTTTATAACTCCTTTTTTTTTTCACTTCCTGTTGTCAAAGTAACAGAGCCTGACGTCAACGATGAGCGGTACTATTAGCACGGAACGGAAAATGGAAATTATGCAGCTAGAAATGAATGGTTTTGTGATGCGTTTGGAACCGCGAATACGTGGTCGATTCAATGATTCACTTCGAAAGGTTCTGGTCGAAAGTTTATTGGATGGGACTGTGTTTGCCATTGTCGAATCACTCAGTGATTTGCAACGCATGAATGAAACGTAAGCTTTATTTTGTTGCTTAAATTAAAAACAAGAAGATTATCCGCTCAACTTTCCTCGTTTATGATGCGTTCTTGATGATAGCCGCTTTTGGAATAGCATGCCTAATACATATACTGAGAGTACAGTATGACCATTTGTAGGTATAAGTCAACATTGTTATTGCTACTTAAACGGGAACATACATTTTCGATGAGCTTTAAACGTGTTTTTTATTCATGAACATATTCAGACAGCTTTATAACGATCGCCACCAGCGACTAATGGAGTTGCAATGCATTCCTGATTTGGATGAACAAATGAAACAAATTGATATTAATATTGTGAAAGAGCTCGATAAGGTTATTTTTATCACAGTGCTTTAAATTTATTCGTTCCATTCAGAGTTCGAAACATCAGCAAAAAATGGTAGATGGAAGCTGCTTCTTTGCAGATAGTTGCACAACAGCAAGATACATTGTGCCGTGCCGGTGTTCCAGCATTTCGCATAACTACTAGTCCTCGAGAAATCGAGCTGCAGATGGCAATTATTAGTTTTATTTTAACAGTTCGTACAAGACTTCTGTGATTGTTATTGATAATTTTGTTTCTCCTATTGTCAAATGCCACTACATTTGCAACTTGATTCAGTTTGCATAGTTATTACTGGTGATGATAATCTCATCTTTCGACGAGTATTATCTAAAAAGCATTTGATGCTTTTTTTTTTGATAACAATAGTTTACAAAGACAAGGATCATTGGAAAAAAATTTAACGCTGACTCTGTCGTCTGAGTTTGCTGTTAATTATGCCAACAGTAACCTTCTGCATTCATTAGCGAAAAAAAAAATAAATGGTTTCATGACAACTTGTCAGGAGTGCATAATTCTGCTGTTTACTTTAGAATGCCTGCAAAAAGTGAATACGAATACTGCTTTTTCCCTTCTGCAAAGTTTAACCCAAAGCTCAACAAAAGATTGATGGCTCCACCATCTTATTAGCAGAAATACCATATTTGTCATGATGAATGAACTGGATAGTTGCGGTATTGTTTACTCTATTAAATTGTAATACTACTGCCGAATCAATTAGTTCTACTTACATAGGAATTTATGTAAATAAAAATGAATTGTGTTTGATCGCTTGATAAACTTTCTATTTAGCTCATATTTACTCCATTTTGTTCAGTGTAATGAACATCGTAAAGTTTTGTATTAGCGTACCAAAATCGGTAAGATGACTCTATCAACAACAATTATGCATGCACCGTCACCAAGTATCCACTATTAGTGGAACTAATCAATTATTGGATTAATGCAACCTTAATTGGTATAATCGTTCCGGTTTTTCGGATCGGGTTTGTATACATGCTACAATAGAGGGACGCAGTTCTTCTATTTTCATGGTACAGGCATTGGGTGCTTGCAGAGTGGAGCAATGTCAGTGAGTGTTAATCTAATTATTGTATGGAGCGAATGTTGTGATACAAAATTTTGTGAGATTTTGGTTGAGGAGCTTATTCAGCTTTCTTTTTTATATTGAAAAGATCTTTTGTCTCTGCAAACATATTTCTTGATTCAGCAAAGAAATAAGCCATTTTTGGCCTAAGCCTTGACTGATGTAATTTCGACCAAAGAAAGGTTTATTTCGGTGATTGGAAACATTACCGTAATTTCGTCTTCAGTGTATTTCATTTCAAAAAGAAAAGAAACGATAAATCAGACCTGTTAACAGGTTCGGATGAAGCGCATATCAGTTACTATGTACATTATGCTTTGACTGCAATTGTGATGTAAATTCTCGGGACGATGACTGTTACTGTTGTAATGACAGCGATTCTTGAAAGAACGCAAGGTGTCGCACAACAGTTGTAACTGATCAATTCTAATTTATTTCGAGCTGCAATAGTCTCCATTGTCTTTGCGGCATATTCTACTCTACTGTAGTTCGTTTGGTTGTAGGATTTGACCCTAAGTTGGTTGTGCCCATGTGATATAGGTGGTTGTGTTTCGTTGGCTTTTCGTTAGGTTGTGACCAGTTACTGTTCACTAAATAAGAGAATTTATTTATTGCTTACGATGAGTGCTTAAAAAGGCTACAAACGGGCAAGTTTATTTTAGTGAGATTGGTAATGTGATTGTTCGTCTCTTTTCCACTTTCATAATATTGTTGATTATATCCTCGGTTGTTGCGCGAGCATTGCCTTGGATAATAAAAGTTGAAATAGTCATCTGTGTCGTTCTCATATTTCTTTAGTTAAAATTAGTTTAGTTTCAGGCACACTATGGGTTTAGTTGATAAACCTATAATTGTTGATGGGAAAGATCATCTATTGGGACGGTTGGCATCAGTTGTTGCCAAACAGCTTCTCCTTGGTCAGAAAATTGTTATTGTGCGATGCGAAGATATTGCCATTTCTGGTAATTTTCATCGTTCCAAACTAAAGTTTATGAGCTTTCTGCGTAAGCGATGCAACGTTAAACCGGCGCGTGGTCCGTACCACTTCCGTGCACCAAGCCGTATATTTTGGCGAACTGTTCGTGGTATGTTACCACACAAAACACATCGCGGAAAGGCAGCACTGCTTCGTTTGAAAGCGTTCGATGGTATTCCACAACCTTATGATCGAGTTAAACGACAGGTACATCCCGCAGCTTTGCGACATTTGGCACTGAAACCACGAAGGAAGTATTGCACAGGTAAATGTTCTTCTGGTAGATTTGTGTGTGTACATTTCAATCATTTAATTGACGACATACAATCTCTTTTGGCTAGTTTTTTCATGTCATATAGCTCTGGAAATTTTTAGAAAAGTCCCAGTAAAAAGATATAATGATTTTAGCGTATACTTTATTGTTGGTGTTAATATACTTGCAAAGGAAAGCTGTCCGTCAAGTGAGTGGAGGGTTTGACTGATTGCTTGTCGAACGTACAGATCAATTAATTTGGCCTGAAAGTTAACACATTTTCAGTTGGACGTCTCGCGCATGAGGTGGGCTGGCAGTATCGTGATATAGTTGCAAAGCTGGAAGCCAAAAGAAAAGTTAAAAGTGCGGCATTTTATCAGCATAAAAAGATGAAATCGAAATTATTCGCAGAGGCATTGAAATCAGATATTGTTAGAAATTCACCTTATCAAAAGCTGATAGAATCTTATGGTTACCAATAAATTTCTCTCTTGTTGTTGGAATAAAATTTTTAATTGCTTGCTAATAAACACCGATTATCTCTTTTTGCAATCAAAGGATCATTATTACGAGGATATTTTATTATATATGTTGGTAGTGGTTTGCCTTTGGTGATGTAGAAATACTGGATTGTGGTAATATAAAGGTGGTCTTGGTTTGATAACGCTTCCAAATATATGAAAGTTTAGCGGTCGAACTATAAGAATATGCTAGCGGAAATTAGCAGTTTGTTGAATGAAAAGCAGTACAATATTATTGTGATCAAATGCGAAGACCTGAGCTCACCTGCTTTCTTGCAACTGTGCATTGTTGATTATGCGATGAAGAAGGATGTGAAAGTCGTCTGTGTATCGGCAATACGAAATATGCTAGCTTTTAAGTTCGTTTATTCTTATCACATTCAATAATAATTGGAGATCGGCTAGGGCTAATCAGAATGTGTCAGTAAAAAACATTTTGGCTTTACGTGCTATTGTCAAATCCATCATGTCCCATCCTCTATTTAATATCATTGGGGTGAATAGTCTCCATTAGAGAGTTGAAACATATTAGGAAGTTTTTCGAGGACGGTGTGGTCCATGCTGTGATTCATTTCATAGTTACCTTTAAGATTTATTCTCTGTAAAGATTTGTCACTTAATATAAACTTTTACACTTAACAAATTTTGACAGCAGATGTTTCCTAGGGCGATGGCAAGTAAAGTAATGATACGACTATCAGAAAAGCTGAAGTTTTTGTCAGTGGGCGAGCTCCTCCCCAATGGTTTTATTAGTGATAATGATAACACGTTTTTCGCATGCATTTTGAAGGTATTATATCTTTTAACATTTTGGGACTTTTAGACCTCAGCTCTGTTTGCACGGTATTATACCCGAGGGAAAAACGACTTTCTAATATATGATCATTTTTGTGAAATGTTCATTGTAGGAAATTAGTAAGCATATTGAAGAGGAGGATAAAGAAATATTCATCATATTTGACAGTTTCACGGTGTTCCATGATTTCACTAACACCGTTTCACATATTCCTGCATTTATGCGGCACCTGCAACAATTCAATAAGGATTTAAAAATCAAATTGGTAAGCTAAATTACTTTTTCATTACTGTCAATCCTACAGGAACTTCTCCATTCCCCTGGCTGTCGTAGAAGTACGCCTTATCTATACCACTTGTCTGATTAAAAATGGTTTAATTCATGTCTTCTCATTTCTAGGTAGTAACTTTTCAATCGAAGGACCAGATTTCGAATATTATTCTCCATGAAAGTGATATTGTTATCAGGATAAAACGTATTGGAAATGGTTTTGCCAAAGACATCACAGGACAGGTGAATTCATGATATTAATTTAGTCTCCTTTCACAACACAATGTTCTATAAATGCTTAACCGGAACTCAATCAATTTATATCGAGTAGAAACATGAACCGTTGATTCTTGTACCAACTTGTGAGAACGTTCCGGGTTACAAAACAGTGTTGGCTCAACTGCATTTTTGCAGTTATATGTGATGGAGCGCAGTGGTGAAGCGCCGTTTGCAGAAAATATTTTCAACTATCATTTGAGCGATCGGTCTGCACGACTTTTTCCTCCCGGAATGTCAAGGCCGAAATTATGAACTCAGATGTTTCGAAATAAGTCTTAACTGCACTATATTATCTGATTATGTGCGCATAATAATGACAAAAGATAGTACAACTAAGTGTTGCTGACTGGCATCCAAATAGATACCTCGAAAAAAAAGAAAAAAAATTGGGAAAATAAACAAATCGAAGATCTGATCATTACCTGTATATGACATCTTAAAAAAATCTTAAAAAAAACATCTTAAAAAAAATATAACAGTTGCTTTATCATCCTGATAACTATATTTACTAGAGATCACATAAGTAAGGAGGACGAATGCACATTTTTTATTTAGAAATGATTTGAATAACTGCGATTGTTATATAACAGTTTGTTTGTCAAAAAAGTTTGATATCAGAGATCTCTTTATTAAATTGCAATCGCATAAATGGTCTTATCACACTAAAAGGTACTAAGGTTTAACTTGAAAGAACCAAATGATAAATCAAAGAAGACCTAGATCCGAAGAGCAACAAAGCAGTAACTGATTTTATTCTATTTTGATGCCTTTAAAAAGCCGATGACAATAACAACATAAATAATCCGATGACATGACTAAAATAGTACGAGTCAGCCCATACAGAAAGTGTATGTCTCCAGGAATACCCTGTTTCTGCAGTGCTGTCATCAAATGCCATTCCAAGGTATACCAAATGTGTTAGAGCTAGAGCTCGAAACAACATATTGATAGTTAATGTACTTAAAGCATCCTGAAACTACAAGTTCAAGGCTCAAAGTGCATCAGTCTACGTAGTACTTTTGGTTTTTGCTTTTTTTATTTCTAGATTTGAAAAAAGAATGATCTAAGACCTCTTTACATGTATGGTGACATTCTTTGCGGCATATCCTTGCACGAACGCATGAATCTATGCGGCGACTCAATTTACTCCTTATTTCTGCAAATAAATTTGATTAGGTCTAGATAGGAAAAGTGCTTTAAAAAAGAACATAATATAATATATAATTTCAATAATCTCAATATAATATATAATTTCATCTATAAAATTCCCTTAATAAACTAACTTGTCTCAACATATGTGTAGAGTCCCAATGAAAGTAGCACAGCAGATAATTGGAAATTGATGCCCTAAAATTCAAGTTTTAATAACAGACTATATTTCAGAGTATCGAGCGTGCGATAATTCAACCGCTCAGAACTTTTAAGGGAATTTTATAGAAAGAGAGGACCAGATCAACTTTAATGTATTCTGAAAACTGAAAATATTATGAAACTTACATGAAAGAGGGAACTAACAACGTAAGTAACGAAAATTGCAGCTGCAGAACCATATTTTCTAGTCTCTCCAAAAATATCTGTAGATAGAATTACAGATTTTATTTGGTTCAAATGAACTTGAGAGTGATAGATAAAAGTGTTGCTTACACTGATGCAAAAATCGGTGCATTGGTATATTCCATGAAACAACAACATCCACAAGCGAACGAGGCAGTTCGATATGAATCCAGTCAGCGACAATACCCGAATCAATACCAGACAGTAATGAAGTACCCGCAGAGAACCAGCTTACAAAATAATGACTAAATCGAAATGATTGAGCAACAAAGTATGCTCCAACGAAAGGCAATTCTATAAAACTATCGGCAATGCACGACGAATAGATAACAGCGAATAATGATAGAGCAATGTAGCTGAGACCACGGAAAAAATTAATAATTTCTGCCTGGAATTATCTCTACCAATGATTACTTTTATTTTTTAAGCCCTTAAATAGAAAAAACTTTCAGGATTTCCATCTTTTTTCAAATAAGGAAATAAGAAATAAATACCAGACTTACTTTGAATTCCTTCAGATACAACGAATCTTGGTATTGTCTGTAAGTAATCCATGGACCAAACAATACAGTTGAACTATCAAATATATAGGAGAGTAAGTGCAACAATGTGATGTTGCCGTAAAATTCATTGGCAAGATCAAACGATAGTGAAGTAATTTTCATTAGCACAATCATTAGTATACCACGCATTGACATAAATTCTTTAGCCGTAGAAAAATACTGCCTATATAAAATCATTCATACGCAGCTTACAAAATAAGTCGACAGAGAATATCATTAAGTAGATGGGCAACAAAATTAAATCTTTATAATTTTAGATTTCAACACGTTCCAAATATCAATTGAAAAAAAAAAAAAAAAAAAACAAAACACCACTAAAATGACCGCTGGAGTCTACGAATTCACACATATAAAAATGAAGCTCACCAAACTAGAAGCATACCGATCGAATACGCCAACATCACAAACTTAGTCTGCTTGTTGAAGAGGAAGTTATAATACGGAAATACAACAGTCAATGCAATATATATACAAATCGACGATAAATTATTTTGGGTTCCTATTACAAACAGCCCAGAAGCTACGAAGGTTAAATGGAGTGTGAATTTACTTACTATCTCTGAAACGACTTTCAACAGTTTAAAAAAATGAACAATACAAGACAGGATGTAGGGCTATTAAGTAATTAAAAAAGGTTCAAACTAATAAAAAGAATAAGTAATAGTAATTTAAATGAATGTGACACTGACCTCAAATTTGTACATAAACTTAATTTGCATGCATTAGATTTGAAGCGAATGTTTACCTCTAGCATGTAAAAATACGAGAAACCGTTTCAGAGCAGAAAATAGCAGTAGTTTTACTATGGTACCACACAAAGAATCAAGCACACTTATTGGACATCGCTGCCATTGATGAGTGGTATCATCTTTAATATACATGAAGTCGGTGAATTCCTCATCAGATAACTCCAAAGCCTCATCGTAGAACCATATTTCTTCGTCAGCCGCTGAAACTGCCATCCAGTTGCAGTTTGATTTATAAAATAGTGCTGGTTGTCACTTCTGAAATGAACTGATCTAACAAAGATGCTGCCTTAAAGTTTTTCTCTACAGTCATCCCCACTAAGAGTAATTATTGTAGTTTAATTGTATGAACTGTGTTAGGGTAATACATTTTGGGCAATGAAGTAAAACAATTAAGTTATTAAACATTTAGAATGAATCACTCGAAATGTAAAGTGATCAAATCATATCTAAAACCAACCGGTATAAATTTGCGGTGAATCAGTTCAAATTTCAGTCAGTTGAATTGAACCGTTTGAGAAAATAGGAATGGCTAGACCTTCGTTCATTCCAAAGGAATCTTAAAAATTTCTCAGTTTCCATATCCAAAGTAGACGAAGTATGATGTTATGGGGCAGAGAGTGAAATGAACTCTACAAAGGTATCTCAAGATGACAATCTGTAGACTTCGAGTTGGTGCCACCGATTAAGGAAAGAGTGTGAAGTCGTAACTATCAGTTGTCATTGACAGGTGGGATTTATATTAAACAATAATGAATATCTTGTAGTAATAGTGGATTGCAGAGACTAAATGGCGCAACGATGACAACAGGGACAGTATCCACTTGTTTGGCTACAGCAGCAGATATCGCTTGCATAGATCCTCTTATTGGCAGTGATCTCTGTCCTCTTCTTCGGGTACAATTCATTTTCTCTCTTTTTTGAAATATTTCAGTTCCTCATTTCTGATGAATGAATTCATTTTCTAACATAAATGTAGTATATTAGTTTATTTTCGCATAAATTGTTCAGCAATTCGGTGCAGCGATGAGCAAAGCTCGGTTCGATGATGCTCGAGGACTGATTGAATCATTTCGAGGAACGCGAGTTCCAATATCATCTAGTGCGGAAGATTGTCTTTGCCACTTGCTTCTTTCTGCTTGTATTCAGGTTGTTGATCTTTTACAACACAGAGATTCTGAGAAGAGGATGATGCATCTAAAAGCTTTATTTTCAGATAGTAAAAGCAGAGAGCGCATATTATTCCCTAAATTTTATGGTAACAAAGGCCTTTTTTCGACGAGAAAGCACTCTATTGTTAGCTTATACACAGATCAAGTGACCTCTTCATCTAATTCTTTCCACATCTAATGTTTTTTTCTATTTATTTTGAATTTTTGAGCTGAACCTTTATGAGTAGACAGTTTGACGTTTAATGTGATTGAGTAAATACCTTGAGAAGACTGTATAGCAAAATCATGAAGGTTCTAAAAAATTGATATTTTGAACCTTTATTGAATTGGTTTAAATTAGCATTGTCTAGGTAATTATATTATCAAGAAATTCTTATGGATTTATAAGAGCAGTTTTTATATTTCAGGGCCGAACTATGTCAAATGGATGATGTAATAGGAAATGCTAAGATTTCAGCAGCAGAGGATATTAGACGACGTCTGATTGATTTTACCAGTGCCAGAGTTTCAATGATTAATGTTTACAATTCATTTCTAGTTGAAAGTAATATTCTTCCATACTTATTACTTTACTGCTTTACACAAAGCATTATTAATCTTAACTTTTCATGTGGCGCCAATATTTTGTATTTATATTTTATATTATTTAGGTATTTCGGCCTAGTTATCATTAAAAGCATTTAGATTTTGGTCTTCCAAGTGAACTGACAGCTTTGACGACAGTCCTTTCATCGGTCGAACATCTATTAATGCTTTTAGTTAACCATGAATCGCTTACATTTTTATTTACTTTTGTCATTAACGAGGTAGTGGTAATGAAACTGCTTTTGGAGGTACAGCTGACTCTCATACGATGTGAGGTTCTGTTTTTGTCGTTTCGTAAAGCTCAGCCATTTGAATTAAAATGGCACCTCAGCTCTTTATGGACTTATAAGTTTCTGTGAGTAAGTATTTCTTTACCTAATAAAGTATTTCAGTTCTTGCAGTCACTGATTAAGTTGAAGAGTGCACACATTAAACTCCAGTCTTGGTTTAATTCTGTCGGTTATAAGCATGCACAAATCAAAGCAACAGCGAAGTTCTTTGGTCTCGGTAATGACTTATATTTTAAAGTTTCAATTATCAATCTTTTTCATTTATTAGCTTTGAAAGTAAAGGAATTTGCTTCGTAGTTTTTATGGCAAACTTTTAACATTGCAATTTCAGGACCTCAGGTTCAGTGTTCTTCTTTGAGACTATGTGGTTGGACTTATGAATTTTACATGCTGTTATTGGCGAAGTTTTCCTTATATTTCCATGATTCGCTACAGCCACAATGCTCATCAGGCGACTTTGATCATGCAATTAGTGTTATGAAATCACCGAATTTTGTTCAATTATTTGCTACATTTCGTCGCAAAATGGAGCCTTTATATATTCTCTTGATTGCTAATCGTTGCGATGCTTCAGATATATCACCTCGTTTGTTTTGCTACCTATTATTTGTTTAATTTTTATCGTCGATTTTTCCGCGTTTTCAAATTTTTATTTTTCTATGTATAATCTCTAAAACAATTGATTTCTAGACTTAATAAACTTTAATGCGTCATCATGTATATTTAAAGTTCCCATTACTTTTTTAATTACACCTAATACCCGTTTTTGTTTCCTTTTTCTTGTTTGAAGTATTCAAAATATTTTCTGTATGATTTGTTTACTTCATTTTTCTTATCATTACGTATTTGAAAAAATAAAATGATTCCAGAACTATGTTTTCAGTTATTGGTTATGGCTGCGCATCTGATCTTGACGATGGAGAAGGTGAATTGCGAAAGAAATTTTTAGTTTTTTTCAAAATAGGTGGTGAAGCAAAAGAAATGAATATATTGCTTCCGTCGATTTCTATACTTATACAAGAAGCAGGTGCTAAAAAGTCTGGAACAGATCGTATTACATACTGTTATGATCAACTTATGTCCAGGGTACGACTTTTATTTTGCATGTATAGAAATAAGAATTTGCTCAGGTTGTCTAAATGCCAGAATAAATTCAACATCAATATAATGGTAAAATGAGACAAACTTTGGCAGAGATTTTTCTTCAGTGTTTCTCAGTGAGTTCAAGTGTAATGTATGTGGAACAACCGCTTTAGTCATGTTAGTCTCAGTGGTTGTGCTGATGCAATTTTTTTTTAATCTTGTTCTTTTCATAGATAGGCAAAAATGGATAGTTCTATAAAGAAATACAAGAAATTTTTCAACTGTTTGCATATTTAAAGCTATTAATTTGCTTAGATTGCTTTCTTTATGTTTTTTTTTTTTTTTTTTTCTTTCTAGAGCTTCTTCGTATTATTGGTGGAATATAATTTATATGTAACGATTATTTTTGATCGAAGAGTTAGCGAACGTGATAATACAGTGGTTAGCTTTCTGTTGAATAGTTGCAGTCAGTTGCGATGCACTAAAATCTGTCAAAGTTGGCGGAAATTTTCAACATAGTTTTTTCTAAAGAAAGTTGTATTATTCTGCATTATTTTTATTTTGCCGGATTATATAAATATTTTTTAATATTTACTATACATCACATTTTCATATTTTCTATGGCTTTATGTAAACATTACTTCATGGTCAATCATTCTACTCCCTGACAAATATGGATGCTTCTCCAAGACATTATAAAACTACATTTCAATTTTATTTCGAAGGAAAAACTAGTCTCTGGAATCGGTAACAATTGAAGATTGTCTTATTCTTAACCGGAAATTACTAAACTTTGTTTGAAGGACAGGTGATTTTTATTGAGAATTATATAAGAATTATTGAAATTTTCATTGAGAATTATATGAGAATTACATTCTTATTGAAAAAATTATATATTTATTGAGTCCGAAGCAAACATGTGTAAATAGGAATATATGCTTTGCTGTTGTACAATGCCTGTTTTTCTTATTTTGTACCGAGATTTACTTGTATATATGATTATAACACTCCTGGAATTTTTATTTGAAAGTGATGAGTCCCACGGTTCAAGCTCTTTAACCATTTGGAACAATGAGTTATTTGCGTGCATGAGCAAATACTTTAGAATATTACATGCAGAAGTAAAACATGAATTATCTTCATTGGCTTTTGACGTAGTTGCTAGTGTTGCTCATAGTTTGAAGAAATCCATATGAATCTATGACATTAGTAGTTCGTGAAGAGTTGTAGTTTTAAATCAACAGACCATGTTGCGATTGTTCGATAGTTGTGAGAACACTTCACTTGCAATCATATCCTTCAGCAGTTGTTTTTCTATTTTTTAAAACTGCATCCCTGCATTTAAATGGCAATGCTTTTAAAGTGGTATTAGTTTTCTGTTGCAGTTTATTTATGACAAAATGAACTGAATGCGAAGTAATTCTAACTTAGGCGCAGATAATAACAGCGCACAATAAAAATATGGCTACATTGTTCATAGTCTTTTTCATCCTACTTGACCTTTGCTCTTCCGGACAGAGCGTGCATTTCTTGACATTATCATTCGGAAATACATACTATCATGAGTTTCCTTGATTGAGTTGTTTCACCTGGATAAGCAATTTTTCGAAGTGGTGAGAGACGGGAAGGAAGGAGGTTTGGACTGCATACAATGGAAGCAGTTGAAGTGTTAGTTCTGTTTTAAAATTATCAGCAATTAACATTTGTAATTCATGGAATTCACCGAAGTACAGGTTCAAATATAAATCATAATAACGTGAAGCTATTAAAAAGTTCTTAAATCCCTGACCATTCTTTAGCTAGGTTTTCAAACAAAAAATATGGTGGGTCATTGAAAGGAAATTCTGGTCCTGATCACTATTTAGTCTCGACAGTTAATAGTAAATGATACCCTAGGTGATAACTCAGCAATCCTGCTGTTTTGTGGTCGGGAAGATTTAACTGAAATCTGTGAGAACGTGATCAGTGGCGCATATGATTTGCATATGTTAACACTTATTCGTTCCATTTCACTGTACTCTTCGCTCCCACACATCAGGAAGTTCTTTTCAGCAATATTTAACAGCTCATTTCACTATAAACTCGAAGTTCCCCTTATTTCTGTTAGGAACACGTGTGACATCAAGTGAAAGATAATAATAAACGAGACACTGTAATGCCGTGCTACCAAATATCCTCTGTCGTCGCATGACGATAACGTTTCGCTCTTCATTCCTCCAAAGCACGCTTGCAACGATATCGTGCGGTGCATAATGACAAGTTAAGCGTCGTTCTCTGCTGCTGTCACCGTTTGTCACCCATCACCGTGAATAGTGTGCCTACCCCTTATATCAGGTGGGTCACAGCAACAGGACAAGCCTGTACAATCAACTTGTCACCACCTCTCCCACACATCTCTCGCCAGTATAGCCAATTTAATGCTCTCACTTCGCTCACTCTCGTCTTGTCTCTGTTCCTCATCCCTCTTCCTTTGTATGTATGCATCTTCATCTTCTGATCTGTCTGTGTTTTCACCACATTCTCTATTGATTCTTCAGTACGTCGTGCATGGACTATCTCCGTCGTCTCCCTGTCTGTCTTACACAGACGCGGATGCACACAATATACATATGACACAGTCATAACGCTATCGATTCACGAGACTATGCTTTGTTAACTGTAAGGGCTGAGTAGTTGCTGCTACAATAAGGGCTTCCTACTCCAGGCTTTCTTATTGTTTGCTGTTTGTGATTTCATTTATTGGAGTTGCACTTATTTACAACTTCGATGATGGATCGTTACTTATTATATCTGCTTCAAGGCCATTGTCGTGCCTCAGTCGAGGTTCGATTATTCTAACGAATAACTGGCGTCAACAAAGTCACTAATTAATTGATCAACTGTCAGTCATAGCTTAATGCTTAGTGTCATTTATGGGAAGGAGTAAATGTCTCTACTGCTTTATCAATTCCTCTTTCAGTTTTTATCGATCAAAGCTTACTCGACATCATTTTTACCTAACACTTCACAAGAATTCTGCATTAATATTTTCTTGAAGAGTCAAATGAAGAATTTGAATGACATTAATGTTACTGAGTTCACCTCTAACATTGTGGCTGATTGTTGTCCATAATTCACTGGTAATAACCGAAGTTAGTGATTTGGCGACCAAATAAGATTCCACTGCAGATGTTCAAAGATTTGCCTTCTTTAAATTATAGAAGCTGCTTCATATTTTTTCATCCTTTATTTTTAATGACACTTGTGTATTGGCCTTTACACATTTCTGTCCTAATTATGTTACGTCACGTTGCACATCACAACTCTCATTAAGTTGAAGTTAGCTAGAGCCGAAATTTAACTCTTGGCATTTCAATACTGTTAGGACTTTCCTCATTTAAAGTTAGAATTCGGTACACACTGATTGTACTTCCACTAATTAGTTCGTTTTATCCTTTTCTCTACATTTATAAAAGTCTTTAACATATGTCTATCTCGAACAACGGAAAAGAACTAGCGAATGCCCTGGGATACTGATTTGGAAAACTTTTGGAATAGAATGTTCGGTGAAGAGAATCGTCACGAAAAACTAAGTTCACAGATTAGTTCCCATCTTTCCATTTTTCATAGTACAAACTTTCATTCTAAATTTCCAATTTAATTTGTATGTGCTCTTTCCAATCCTTATTATTTAATAAGTATGAAGGACAAAACTCTCAGTCTGCTTATCACCTTTTTTTGGGTGTGATTGAGTTCAGTAGTTCATGTAAAAGAGGTGAAAAAGATATTAAGCCACGCGGTCAGACTCAGCTGCTTTTTTTTTTTGGACATTACACTGGTTTCAATATGAGCCAGAAAAGTGAATCCTTTTTGCAAACAGAATATGGAAGGTAATATCTATTGGAGAGATATTGCTTGGGATTACTTCTCTAAGATATTAAAAAATTCTGAAATAGGCGAGGAACAGAGGACTGTCCGTGCGTTCTTTTCTCATTTCCTTTCAAACAGGTTCCAATTTTCGTTTGCGCGCAAAAGTTTCAGTTTCTTCAGCATATAATATTTTGCAATATTGCACCCTTCGTTTATCATTTGTTTCCATAAGACAAGCACAATCAAAGAGAATCTTTTTGGGCCTAAGTTGTATCACAGCATTTGACGTCAAATGTTCCTTGCTTAGTTACTAGTCTTGTAGTATTTCATCTTTTCGTACTAATTCTGTCTTTTTATGCTCACCTTAGAAAATACAACTTAGTTTTTATATGTCTTAAGTTTTACCAACTTCACCATAGAATGCTTTAGCAAAAATTTTTTCGAGGTCGCCATTTTGTCACTTTGGTTGGTTGTTTGTTATCAGTTGAAGAATTTACTATTTATGGTGAAGAATATTTATGATAATTTTATGGCACAAACACTAAGGTGATAAACTGATAAGCTACTTTAATCTTTGTCCCTCTGTCATTATATGGAAATACTAAACTTCAGTGCCTTTCAAATTCTTCAGTCTTTTTATATAATGTTGCCTTTTTCCAGTTCATTTATATACCGAGAATAATCGGCCGGTTTTAAATAATAAAGCCGTAATAGCTTTAGCATCTTTTTTTTTTTTTTTTAATAAGAAAATTTCTTGAGTAGAAATCAATCAATATTTGCAACATTACACCCTCAGTCATTAAAGAAGTTGCATTGATGAATTGAGAGTCACGCGGTGAAGTACGTGTATACACTTATCCACCAGAAGCCTGTCTTCTGAAGATAGAATAGCACTGCAAGATAGTTTTTTCCTGATACTTCCGAAATACATGCACTTGATATCCGGAAATACTGGAAAATGTTTGTATTGGGGCTTCATTTGCATTTATAAGCAAAGAGTCTTTGAAAAGAGTAAAAAATAAGCTAATTGTTGCAAGTTAATTCATTTGTGGTTGCTTGCCCACATTTTTCTCATCTTCACTTCAAGGACACTAAAATTCGCTTTCTGCATTATGCATTGACACTTGGTCGATCAGGGTTTTTCCTTTTTTCTCCCTCTTCCCCTCTCCTTCGTTTTTGAATTCTCTTGTATTTCCCATACGAATGTGTTCGGTCCCGGCATTCTTTTTTATTTCACCACTTGTTATATTTGCAGTAGCTGTTTTTCATCGTAAATTATTTTTCCTATTTTTTCAAGCGATCTTTCTCCCTTCTTCTGTCACCCTCTCTCTCTTCATTATAAATATTTTACCCATTGTACTATAATGTTGAGATTTTGAGCTTTGTGTCTATTTTCATTGCTCTAAGTCCAGCTCTTCACTGAATCGTTTTCCGGTATTTCAAATTGTATACCACATTTACTAGCATTCTGTGTTTTTAGGGTGCGATTATTTCTATCTTTACATTGACCGAATGTTTCAAATTCATCATTTAAATGATCCTCACTTCACTGATTCGTTTCCTGGTATTTCACTGTTTAGAATTCTTCCATTCTGTTATGTTATCTAGATATGGCGTATACAACCTTTTCATTCCATTGTGGTTTCATTCTCCAAATTTGAATCCACTTCTTTTTTATCTGAAAAGTGGGAGGATATACTGTTGCTTCTCCCACTTTCATTTTCACTACTGTCTCTGGAATCTGTTATAATTTAAAGTAACGGAAGAAATGAACACTCCATCATAATTTAATTAAATTACGAGAGGGTTAAAAAGTGTTTTATCATTCAGCGCTAATCATATGCTGCAGAATTGTAAGTTGATAAGATGAACAGGACAAACATGCAATCCAAATCAAAATACGCGCCACTGTCTGCTTGTCAGACATTATGTGACAATGTGAAAGAGCAGCATAAGCGGTGACATAAAAAAAAGGGAACTAAATCCTAATGCAAGAGTTAATTCTTACCCAATTACTTAGGCTGTGCTCTTTGGTCTTTTATTTCTCAACGGATTTTAACATTTTGCAGTTTGAGAAACTAAGATTTCAGTGAATGTTAAGGAGAGCAATGAGAATATAAAAAATTGATGAATTAATTTTGGAAGTATCTCGAAGTCAAATACCACCTTTAACAATGGCAGAGGAAAAGAATACGTTTCAGCTTGTTGTATCAGTGATTTTATTGTATAATTTAATTTTTGAATATGTCGATAATCGCTAGCTGACATGGTCATATATTTGCCTCCAAAAATGACTTATACACAGCGACTTGAGAAAGTGAAATTCCTTCGGATTGGTGACAAAGAATGAAATCATGCAAAGTAGTTGAAAGTCTGTAAGAGCGACAAGAAATTTTCGACAGAAATGCACAAAATCTCGTATGTTCTTAGAGAGGAGCTGTATAGAGTAGTCCAAAACTCTGATTCTTTATTTATTTTTGCAGTATTATGAATTATCATTCCCCTCTTGAGCGATGTAAAGAACATCTGAACAAATTTTCAACTTTGGTTAATATGAAAAAAAGGGACGGTCCTGGACCCATTGCTCTTATTGCTAGTGAACTATGCTGGCCTACTTATAAATTTTTTGGAGATCGTTTTCATACTTGTGATGGGATTACTGAGCTAGTCACTGTTCGTTTTAAAAGTTAATGAAGCTATCCCCTACCTTAACAAAATCATTAGTTGTGTGTTGCCTTTCTATGAGCAAAGATAATTTAAAACATGTTTTGCCATGAGGCCTATGTAAATATGGGAACTGGAAGTAGAATGTTCGGTCTTCAAGCCACAAGATATCAGACTAATCTCGAGGAAATATTCTGCAGATGAATGATATTTTCTCTTAGGCGTTTGGTAATTGGTAATTGTTCATTAAGGTAATTGTTATATATGAAGGAGGTGAATATATCCGTAATGGTGGCCATTTCGTCGCTCAAATTATAATTTCTTTTTCACTATAATAAAATTTTAGAAGTTTAAGGTTTTTCAAAGAAACTTATTTACAAAGTCATTCTGGGCTCGAATTCTCACAGGACGTGAATTCTCGCACGGCCTTTAATTTATGTAGATGATACCTTTTATTTCATTTCAAAAGGGAAGAATTCACTGCATGTGGCAGTAATTCCTTCAGTAGTAGTAGTACAAATTCGGTATGAAGAAAGTTGTTATTTTCGTATTCAATTTATTATCATATGAAGCACAGGAATGGTTGTAGTTCATTAAATATTTTCTGGACAGACTGAATAAAAGATGAAGAATTTATTGGTTGAGAAAAGAAAGTTAAATAATATTTTACATACTGGTCGGTGCAAGCTGTAAGCATATCCGGTATTCGTATAATCGTAAAGGATGAAATTAGCAGTATCCATTCCTGGAATGCCTAACTTATATCTTATTATTTTACAATCTTAAATCATTGATTAATTACACAGCTACACAGCTTGGTTTTGAAATCCAAGATTCTGAAAAATTGGAGAGACGAAAGTGAGCTAGGATCAGCTCAAAATCACAATTAACTTCTATTATTATTTGCAAAAGCTGAACTTACAAACTTTCTTCCATATTAGGTTGGTTATATTTTCAATGATGACAAAATGTCACTGAGAAAATGATGGATAAAGACTGTTGTGCTAGAGAAAGTTGCAAACAGTTCAAAATTGAAATCGATTAGTTTAAGAGTTATAGTGAGAATGATTTCTGCATAGTATTTAGAATTCGAGGAAAAGAAATGGGAAGAAGGAAATTCAAGGGAAAGTTGGACAAATTAGAAATTAGAAGGGAGACAAGGTAGACTGAAATTCCTTTATCCGTAGTATCCTTGATCATCTCTCTGACGAAAAATATTGGGAAGAAAGCGGGCAGTGAAAAGACTGGAAAATATTCCGCTTCCAAAGAATGAATAGAGCCAAACAGAGTGTGATTTTATAACATTGTATATATTTTAAACTTTTTAATGCGATTTAAATGATTGGTATTGTGTAGTCCTGTGTTCAGATGTCTTAAAGAGTCACTGTCACTGCTGTTGCAGTTCATTTGCTTTGCATTTTTATCGAACTACATTACCTAAGAAGTAGAACAAACGAATGAAACAGGAGAGTGACTTATTACAATGTCTAAAGGAAGCATTCTCACTCTTCACAAACTCATTCCTCTTATTTCGGCATCTTTTTATTACGAATTACTTTCGTTCCTAGAGAAGCGCTTGTTTTGCGAGTTCGGTCTTTATCAGAGGCTTGGTAGTTTTTTCTCGTTTTTTTTTTTCGTGCATTGATGTTTTATGTTTAATGACACCGCAATTGTTCCATGATTGAATTATGTATTGGCAGTTTTAGTCATTATTAGAAGTAGAAAAGATGGAATGAATGGCATAAGAGAGAAGTAGATAATTGTTACAGTTTGAAGTAGCACAGAATGAATTATAGTTAGAGTCTGCTTATTTTCGCTACTTCAGGTTTTTGATTACAGAAATTTCTGACATTTCACTCATTTCAATAATTTAAAACGAATCAGGATTCTGTAATGTGCAGCATAAGTTCGTTTAAGATTCATTTAAAGGTCCCATTCTTTTTTAAAAAAAAAAATTGATTTAATTTTTTTCATTGCAGTGTTGGAAAGCATGCATAAAACCGGAATAAATCTCGTATATGACAACTAAATAAACTAATTGTTTACAACATATATTTTGATTGAAATGTATCCTTCTTCAAAATAATTACATCGTTGTTCTCCTGGAAAACATTTAAATTCATTTAAAGGCCTTTTTGTGTCGTATGTCTATTCTATTCATCAACTATTGAATGTAGGATCAAAAGTTATTGTAAATAATTCATTTATTCATTCATTTACTATTTATTAGCATTGATTTTTTTAATTAGCTCCGTTTTAAAATTTGGTTTTTATTTCCCAGCATTGCTAAGTTGCATTTTTTTTTTTTTTTTCAGGAGAGGAAGTGCACTTTCTACTAGCAAAGTAAAGTAGCTAGGAAGGAATAATCGAATACACACACTGTCATTAACTCTCAAAAGGCATTTAAAGAATGCCATTTTCATGCTTGCCTTTTTTCGCCTGCAACAGGCAGGTGGACATGTTAGATCGCCGACAATGTAATCTCCAATCGATACCGCATGATATTGATCGTAATGCGCGAACACTGGAAGAAATGTACTTGGATTGCAATCATATCAAAGATCTGGATAAGGTTTGGTTTGTGACAACCTTTTGCCAGTATAAAAGTAAAAAGCTGTTTTTTTCTGGTGGACTATTAAACTTGTGTAAATGCGCTATGTAAAACATTACTTTTTTTTATCCATTTATCTTCTCTCGTTACTACTACGTTGCCGTAAACAAAACAAAAAAAAAAACAAGAAGTCAAGGCTATACAGTTATCTGGCAAGGTCGCTCTTATTTACCGTACATCTGCATAGTCCTGACAACTGTACTATGATTTGCAAAGATATGTCAAGGTCAAGCATAAACGTGACTTTAATTGCATCCCTCAAGAGGTGCAAATAGTATGTTTTTATCGATTCTTAGCCAATTAAATAACAATATATGTATAATATTGCAGCCACTATTTCGGTGCCGAAAATTAAAAATTCTAAGTTTGAGTGAAAATGAGGTTATTCGTTTGCCTTCCGACATTGCTCATCTTACTTATCTCGAGGAGCTCAATCTTAAAGGGAACGGTAAGTGCCAATGATTAAGCCTTCTTAGAAAATTTTTACACACAGATATATTAGTATATTAAAAATATATTTAAGAAATTTTTAAATGAGATGAAATGAAGCAAATAAAGTTGTGAGAAAAACGAAACTTATTTGACAAATTTTCTTTTAATAAAATTTTTATCAGTTTCCATTTCTAATCTATCCTGTGCGATAAAATAAAAGGTTTTTTGTCTTTCTTTTCGTAAAATTTTTATTTCTGCAGATGTTTCGGATCTTCCGGAAGAAATAAAAAATTGTATTCAGTTGAAGATTCTTGATCTTAGCTCAAATCCTATTACAAGGTTAGTAATCTTTAAAAAAAATTTAAGAAAGACTCTTTTATCCAGCTCTGTTTCATCCATTAGTCTAGTATTACTTGTCTACTGTTGTTTGCTTTCATGTTCAATAATTCAAATTTTACCAGAATTTGGTAAAGGAAAAAAATTAAGGAACTCAAAAAATTACAAGATAAAGGGTCATTAGATTAATGTTTGCTAGAGTATAACTATCAAATACAAAAAATGTTGTTTAGGCTGCCACAGACAATAACTCAATTAACATCGATGACAAGCCTTGGTTTAAATGACATTTCACTTACTCAAATGCCCCACGATATTGGTCATTTGCGAAATTTGCGATCTCTCGAAGTTCGCGAAAATTTACTGCGAACAGTACCTCCATCAATAAGCGAATTAAACCAGCTGCGAAGGCTAGATCTTGGCCATAATGAACTTGATGATTTGGTTAGTTTCGTAGTTTTTTTCAAGTCCGTCGTTTATTTTTGAATCTATTAAAACAAAAGTTATAATGTGTTAAATATCTGACAAGTTCTTTATTTAAATTCATCTGTTTTGTTCTAAATTTCAGCCAAACGAAATAGGTATGTTGGAGAATTTGGAAGAATTATATGTTGACCAGAATGATTTGGAAGCTCTTCCCGAGTCGATTGTTCAATGCCGTTCGTTGGAACAACTGGATGTTTCCGAAAATAAATTAATGGTATTGCCGGATGAGATTGGAGATTTGGAAAAGTTAGATGACCTTACCGTTGCTCAGAATTGTCTGCAAGTGCTGCCGAGTTCGATTGGCAAGTTCTGCCCACATTTTCTCAGACTTTTAAAAACCACATGGATGAAAAGCGTCAGACTGTTTTCTTCTGATTTTTTGTTGGGAAGATTAGCGAAATCAGACGTTTTTCAATGTTATTCAACTGAAATATGGTTCCTTGTTTGAATGTTACCTGACTCAGATGAAATTGCGTCCTATGAAATGATTAATTGTAAAGGCTTTAAAGGATTTTTTTTAAGTGAAATTTACAGTTTATTATAGAAAATGTCCGTTAGCAATCATGTAGGATTAATATCATTTTTTAAAACTTTTTTTCTGGGAATAATAATGATATATTCTCCAACAATGATATAGTTACAGGACGCTTGAAAAAACTGTCTATACTGAAAGCAGATCGTAATGCAATTACGCAGTTAACGCCAGCAATTGGTAGCTGTCATGCATTAACAGAAATTTATTTAACTGAGAATTTGCTCACAGTAAGTTATTGTCTCTTTCATTTTTGATGTTTGTGATTAAATTTTTTAATGGATGAAAATTGATTATGAAATTAACTCCAAACACATAAAACCCATGAAGTTCATACTTAGGTAAACAATGCAACGAATTTTCAGGAAATTCCAAGTTCACTGGGTAATTTGAAAAGCTTGCGGACGCTTAATTTGGATAAGAATCAGTTAAAAGAACTTCCTCCTACTGTTAGTGTAACCATAGTTATTTGCACAGAATCACATTGTTAATTTTGTACTTTTTTTAGCGTCACATTTGCGTTTTTTTTCTATTTCCTTGCAAAAAAAATCTTTCATTAAGACGATTTTAAAAGTCGTCCTGAAAAGCATGAAAGTGATATCGCTAGAAATGCGACCTATTTTCAGAAATAGCTTGTTTCAGATTGGTGGTTGTACATCTTTATCAGTTCTTTCACTTCGTGATAATTTAATAGAACAACTTCCACTTGAAATTGGGCGGCTTGAAAACTTGCGAGTATTGGATGTTTGCAACAATCGTCTCAATTATTTACCGTTTACAGTAAATGTTCTTTTCAAATTGAGAGCTTTGTGGCTGTCTGAGAATCAGGTGAGAACCACTGTGATCATTTTAAATGTAAACGTCCGAAATCATTGTTTTGATTTTTTTTTAGAATAATCCTATACATTATTTTTCTCCTGAACAATTCAAGTGAGATGGCCTCATCAATATACAGTTTACTAGTCCTTCTTTAATAAGCGACTTATTCTATTTTGATATTCCTAATTGAATCCTTTATCTTTGAATATTTTTGTTTGTCTTACTACCATTATTTAAGTCACAAGCAATGTTGAAGTTGCAAACGGAACAAGATCCGAGGACAGGAATCAAAGTTCTAACTTGTTATCTCTTGCCGCAAAGCAATTCTCAACTTGGTATTTGTCCTTATTTTTGATATTTTTCGTTACCTCGAACTAATTATTAAATGGATGACAGATCACATTTGCATTAAGGATTGTTTTTACAGTAGAACAAGCTCCGCCAAGCCGTTCGTTTATTGGTGGTCCAAAAGTACATTTTGGTAGTGATCTGGAAGAAACGCATGAAGATGAAGAAAATGAATTAGGACAGTTTTCGCGACATGACACTCCTCATCCAAAACCGCACTCCCATGCACCAAAATTCAAAAAGCAGTCTATCGATGGTCACATCATTCATCATGATGGTGATGTAAGTGGTACATCATAATTTTTTTTTCACAGTTCATTGATGGGTACAGTCTTTACTGGTCTATTTAAGAGATTGCAGTGAATTAATAATTGCATTCTAGTTTTAAGTAACTTCAAATAAGACTATTTTTTTGATTTTTTAGGTTAATAGGGAACTTGAACCGTTTTTTTCAGGATTTATAGCGGTACGTTGCTTACAAGACCTATCGGAGGTTTGCGCACGCCATTTTCCCTAGCGACAAGTTTTGTTGCTTACTGTTTTTTTGCACTGCTAAAAAGAGCTTCCGTGCCGTTATGCTTGATGAAATTTATAGGAATTTTTTCCATCTAACGATCTTTTTGCAATATAACGAATAAGTTAATGAATAGGAGTTGATTTTTTTTTTTTTTTCGTTTCATGCTAATTTATCTGGGAGACATGCTAAACTGAAATGATTCCTGTTGATATTATTTGTTTACTGATGCCATTCTTAATGTATCCAAATAGAGTGAGACTCTATGTTTTGCATGTTTTTGGTGTCTTATTAACTCAGTTTTTAATTTTCAATTTTTTTTTTTTTGAACTGGTTACTCTTTCTCTCTTTTGCAGCAGTCCACAAAACCACCAACACTGACGTTAAATTCTGCTCGAAAGCGTGGTACTGATGAAGGTTCACCTCGTGCTCTGTCTCCAACTGTACCGGCAGATACCCAGATTACTTCACTTCGAAGTGCACTGAAGCATCCACCTGTACTTCCATCTGCCAGTAATTTTGATCACAGTGTAAGCTTTCATCTCTTTATATTTTATCTTTTGATTTATTGCTTGCATTTATGGAGCAAAGATATGACTTACTGGGTCCATCGATCACTTGTCATTCTAGAGATTATTTTTGTTATGCTATATCGTATGAGACAGATCGAGTTTGAAAATTTTTATGGATTATTGCGATTGATTTTATTAAAATTTAAATGTTGCACTTCGGCTTATGCTACTGCGAAACTATTAAATTCACAAATTTGAGTGCAAATTAATTTATGATTAATGTTTTTTGGCTGTGTTATGGGAAGTTATTTCATTATTCAAACAAGAGCTATCATATGGCAGCCTATAAAACTCTTAATTTAAGGAACTTTTGCTCTAAGGCAGACATATTAGGAAGTCTTAGATAGTAGGATTTTTTTTTTATTAAACAGAAGCAAATATTAGTGATAAGAACATGTCAGTTGCTTACGCCGAAAGATATAGACATGATAGTATACGGTTGAAGTGATTCAACACTCCAACTACCTATTCTGCATCCATCTCAGTTAACAAGTCTCTGTAGCTTAGTTAATGTTAAATAATTGTTTGAAACATTCTATGAACAAGCAAGTGGTTTTTTGACATAGTTTTTGACTGCTGAGTTTTAAAACAAGATCATTTTTCAAAAATCTAATGAAAATTTATGGTTAAGTATATTCTGCATCAACCTCAGCATAGTTACAGAAACTTGTTTAGAAAACTCACGAGAGTCCTCTTTGAATATCTTATTTTCATTCTGACAATAAAACTTACGGTTTCATTTTACTGTAGTGTTATGCCACTGAAAGTTTCGTTTTGGAACAGTCATTCTTTTAGTGATTTTTTGTTAAATGAAGTCTTTATTTGAATCCTTAAATGATTTCCAAAACTTTAGGTCGTACTTGGAGAAGACGTATGTGTCCTTACGCGCTTCTATTTTTTACTTCGACCCACATTATTTTAAGTATTATTGCCGTGATTGGTTTGTTTCATACACCACTTTCAGATTGAACGCATAGTAGATCAACGACAAAAGTTATCACCAGGTGTTGAAATACTGAATATAAAAATTCGTCGTGATACAAATGGAGGTCTCGGCTTGTCCATTGCTGGTGGTTTGGAATCAACACCTTATAAAGTCAGTTTGAAAAAAATGTCACTTAAACAAGTTTTTGCTGGGTTAGTTTAAGATATTATTCTGTACTATTTCAGGATGACGATACTGGTTTATTCGTTTCAAAACTTACTGATGGTGGCCCGGCAATGATTGCCGGACTGCGAGTTGGTGACAAGCTACTTCGTGTTAATAAAACTGATGTAGTCAATGTACGACATCAGGCATGTTTTCTTACTCTTCATTCATATTTGCTGAACTTCTGAAATATTAAGAATAAACAATGTTTCACATTACTATTTTCGATCATAAAATAGCATTACGTGAAAATAATCCATGTTGAATTTCACTGAGCAGTTTCTTCTACATTTGATGTTCAGGTAGCGGTAACATCAATGCAGGATGCTCGAGATGTCGTAGAGTTAACAATTTTGCGTGATTCGCGTGATACGCTGTCTTCCTGTATTGCTGCCAGCGGTTACACTGTAGAGTTTTGATTTTCGGAGCTTAAATTCTGCTTCCCCAACTTTGAAATTGAATAAATGTGAACATCGTTTCAGATATCTCCAAATCAGAGTATTGATAATTCATTTGTTTCGGACTCAGTCGAGACGACATCATCAATGACAAAGGAGACAATTTCAACAACAGTTCGCAGGGATGTGAATGGTTCGCCAGGATTCAGTGTTGCAGGTGGTACAGGTGATGTAATTGTGATATCATGTATCGCTTCTGGTGGTGCGGCTGAAAGAGATGGCAAGTTGCGCGTTGGTGATCGTGTACTTTCGGTAAGATTTTAAACAAATCTCTAAAGAATTTTCAGGCAAAGTTTTTTTCTATATTTCCAGTGAGATACACATTGGAAAGATTGTTTTCAATACGTGAAATATATTTTGGTTCAATCGTTTACATATAAACTCAGATAAATGGCACAAATATGAAAGGTGCACGACATGACCAAGCAGTAGCATTACTAACTGGGCATAGTGGGAGTGATATTTACCTGGTGGTGCAGCGAGATCGTGCAAATCAGACCGTTACCATACCTCCTTCTTCACCGAGGTGATTTTTTCTAGAAAATACATCTCATATTTGATTAATTTCTAGTTGCTTTCTGGAAATTTTCTTCCAAGTTTTTATTTTATTAAATAATTTTAAAAAGTCTTATTTAAGTTTGTCTTCAAAAACACTCGCAGTTGAACGGATATCGCCACCAAGGAAAAGTGGTTTCGGTGATCCTTCTTGGGATGGTAAAACTGAAGTTAGTTATTAAATTAAATTATAATTTACAAAGAATAATATCTGTTCTTTTGCAGTAAATGTAAAGATATATTGGTCTATTCTTCTTTGTTCATGAATGTTGATTCATAAACTTTGCATTAGAGGAAGCAAGTATTTCTGCAGTGCTATTTGACCATAGCTAGCTTAATTTCTTAGTGTGATTGAAGGATAAATTCACCAAGAAAATGTGGGAAGCAAATTGAGAATCAGTGAAGGGAAGATAAGCACCGTCGAAAAAGCTATACCAATGATGCATTATTTAGGTTTCTCACCTCTGCAGGTTTTTTTTTTTTTTTTTCTTTTTTTTTTTTTAATATAGCTTATATTTTTGTGTGCATTGAATAACTTTACAGGAAGTAGAACTTATGCGTGATAACCACTCGCTGGGCTTATCAATTGTTGGTGGTAGTGATCATTCTTCGCATCCATTTGGTGTCAACGCACCTGGCGTATTTATTTCAAAGATAACACCTAATTCACCAGCAGGTCGTTCACAGAGACTACGTATTGGAGACAGAATATTATCGGTGAACAATATCAATATCCGTACAGCGAAGCATCAAACAGCAGTGGAGGTATTTTACCATAATTGGTGTATTGTTCATATATTTTAGAGTCGTTTTTGAGTATAATTTTTCTTGTTAATTCTCATTTATCCTTAAAATTTTAGTACACTGTTTATTTGCCATGACGATTTACAGAATAAATTATTTAAATGACCTAATAAAAAAAAAGTAGTTTATCTATGAATCCTAATTAGCCTTCACACAAGTTTAGACGTTTCACGAAGTTTTGGAGTTTCATTTTCAACAGTATAACATAATTGTTATTACTTTATTTTCGTTTAATTCTCTACATTTTAGGCCTTGAAACAAAATGATAGAACAGTACGTTTGTTAGTCATTCATGAACCACAGCCACCAGGCTTAAGGCAAGTAACAATCAAGCGAAACGTTGGCGAAGCACTAGGATTAAATATTTGTGGAGGTATCGGTAGTCCACCTGCCAATCCTCTTGACAAATCGGATGAAGGCATCTTCATCGAAAAGGTTCGCTTCACTTATGAGGAAATACAAAGGTGTGGTAGTAATAGAAATGAGAATAGCATACTATTGAATATAAAAACTGCATTGAAAGGAAATCCCTTGTGTAAATATTATGTAAATTATATGAACATTCTTTTTTTAGGTCGAACGAAATGGTCCTGCAGCTATTTCATCGTTGTCGGTAGGAACTCGAATTCTGGAGGTTAACGATGAGTCTCTCTTGGGATGCTCACAGGAAGAGGCAGCTCGTATTTTACGTCAGTCTGGCACAACTGTACGGCTACTAGTCTGTGATGCTTTTTGTATACCTTCTACTGCTGTAAGTTTCGTCTGTTAGCCTTACTTATAACTTTTTTCGGTTTTTCATTTCTTCATTTTACTCTAATAACCTTCTAGTATTTATGTTAGGCAAATATAAATATTTGATTGAAGCAATTTCGATTTAAAACATTTTTGAAAACAGGTTTTTCTTCCCCTTCTTTTGTTTAATTTTCAGCCTTTACAAAAGTATTTTCAAATTAAACATCTGATTCTTTCTTGCAGGTGTCTTCCACGTTTGTGAGTCAAGTTAATAGTGATACCCCTATTGTATCCAGCGAACGTCAGACTACTGTTTCCAGTAGCCTTTTAAATACTGATGTTCAAGAATCATTAAGTGGCTCTTCGTCACAGCAATTCAAGCAGTCTTCATCACCGGACACTGGAGTTTCCGAAACAATCAGAACACTGGCTTCCATTTCGACTGATAGTCCCTTGGCCACTTCTTCTCCAATTCCGCCTTCTTTATCGTCTGTTGTGGTCAGTATTCTTTTACACAATTCATCATTTTTTTTTAACTTGAAGTAAATATGGAGATATTGATCACATGATTAATTCAACTGGTTATTAACATCATAATATTTTTTTTGCGAAACTCTTATGTGGCAAGAATAATGTAATGTAAGGAGAGAAAAAAGCACATTTGAAAGATCAAGATATATTCATACTAATATTGCTTAGCAAAATTAAATAAAATGTAATTCAAAAAACAAAAATCTTTTTATTTTGGAATTGAAATCAATTTCTGCTTCTCTAACTGCAATTCTGACATGTTAATTGTTAGACAACAATAAAAATTGTGGAGAAAAATATCTCAAAGGAGCTATGAGATTTGGAAATTTTTGCAAAATCAAAATGAGGAAAATGATTTCGTACATTTTTTGTGCAGTCTAACTTAACAGCAGTGTGGTAGTCCATGAATGTCTAAGAAATAATTGCATCGTAAAGTTCATTGTAAGATATTTGAAGGTTTTGTATTGAAAGTTGTACAAACTATACTGAGTTGCAGTTCTGTATGTCTATAATTTTGCTGTATAACTTTCACTTACGGATACGAAAATTAGCACTATTAAGCTGTTTCTTTTCGCAATTTATTCTGGATTTTTAGGCATATTCATCAACTTCGAGTTTACCGCAACCTTTATCTCCGTTTTCATCATCAAATACAACTACTTTTTCTACGTCAAACCTTCATCCAGCAGTTCCTCCTCCGATCGCACCAAAGCCGAAAATCATTCCAGATCAGGTAAGAGATTTGTTATGATTTTTTTAAACGGTACACATAATTTTTTGTTTGATTGAAAACACTGATTTTTTACGATTTCCCTGCTGTATAGTCTAGAATGGTGACTATGAAAATTTTTTTGGGAAGTATCAGGTTCAATACAACCATCTAAATGGTGATGGTCATTTATGCTATTCTTTGCTTATGATTTCTTTTTGCTAGAATTCGAAAAAATGGCCTTGTCTATCTTCCAAGTTTAATTTCTTCTATACAGTTCGGTTGTCTTTTTTTTTTTCAAGTTTGATTTCGTTCCCTTGCTCATTTTACAAAACTTTCAAAATTTTATTAACTTTGAGTTAAATTAAGTGCATTTAACGGCCTGACTTACAAGTTTTTCACATACTCCATTATTAAACTTTTTTGAGTCTAAATTAGCTTAATATTAACGTTGGGCCACGTGCTCGTGCTTTTATTTCCTCGCTTTCCTATTCATATACATATATTAACACTTATTACTGATATCCCATCATAGTAAATCAAAATTGCACTTGCCAAATCTGTCACAAGTATAGTTGGGACATTTCTAGTATACTGTAAAAAAGAATGTAAGGGGATTCTGTCTTCTGCAGTAAGCTACGTCTTTAGAAGTAAGATTGAATTATCAGTGCAACCTAAATGGATTCAGATTATCTCGTTCTTTCCTATTAGTAATTAAGTAAACCTTAGTGCATTTTTTAAAAAACGAGATGGACATTTCTTGGACTAAATTACTTCAATATATTTATTCGTAGAATGGGAATGCAGTTGGTGCATCTTCACCGCTTATTTCTTTTGGTGAACAATTTGAAAAGCAAAAAGAACGCACAGTTTCGTCAGCGCAGGTCTTTTTCTGAAAAATCGTGTTATATTTGTTCTATTTTATTAAAATTTTCGTTATAATAACTAAATTTTGTGGGCATCTTTACGTTTTTTAAATTTGTGGAATTATTACTTCAAAATATAAGTTTTGCAGACGAGGGTGATTTTTTCAATATAGAAAAAAGTATTCTGCTGTATCAAAAATATGAAATAAAATGTTGACGAACTGAACGGCGTCATTCTGCTTTAAAATGTTTCGAAATTTAATTGGCAAAACTAAATTGAAATAAAAAGAAAAATCCGTTTTCAGTCCTCATCTCCATCCACGTCGTCCTGGTCGTCGACTCCGAATCCCGAACGGTTGGCATTTTCATCGAAATTAGAAAAATTCGAGCGCGAAATTGAAATTAAAAGGCCAGATGCTAACCCCACGACAAAATCCACCCTTCCTCCCGGTTAGCACTTTTAAATGAGATTTTTTCTGTATTTTTAAGATACTTTTTATTGTTCATGTTAATCACTCACAAGTGAACAACTCTACTAACGGCATTAATTTTCAACTTTTCCTTTTAATCGCATGATTTTTCCACCGCTTATCACATAAAATTCTCCATCTTGCAAGATTTGCATGCTCTGTAAGCTTGTATTTGAATAATATTAAGAGTTCATCTCTTAAATTGTTAGTTTTTGAATAGACAGAAGGCGTTTTATAGTCAGTTATGAATTTGATTGTCAGAGTGGAAAATGAGCACGACACTGATATTGGTTTTTTTTTTTTTTTTTGAATTCTAATTCACCACTTGCTCTTATTCTTACGACGTGAATAATGCGATTTTGGAAAAAAAATTCTTTAACGGTACTTATTCCATTTCTGGCAATGATTAGAAGCTTGAGGTTTTGTGAGTAAATATGACAGTGAATGTGATTTTGGAAATGGGAAGCACTTTCCAGCAATATTATTAGACATAATATGATTTGTAGTTTACAAACTAAGTCATATTTAACAGTTCTGTTCAGAAATGATTTCATTTCTAATTGCTGTTAAATAAAATTCCATTTTAAAATCTTTCTAAAGTTTTCGAAAATATTAGAAAAATTTCAGTCGTACAGGATGCCTGCGTATAATGTAAAACGATCATGGCCATCAACTTATATTGCTGTGGTATCTGTTGGATTACTGCTTTTGTAATTTATTGTGCGTTATTGTTGTTGTAGTCATTGTTTATTTGTACTTTTACTTATCTTTCCGGTTTTGCTATTCTTTTAGCCGTGTGCAACTTCAGATTCGAAAATTTTTTCAAAGGCAAATAAAAATATTTAATTATTTCCCAAAGAATTACCTCAAATTTATTTTTCATCCAGCAGACTGTAATATAAAATTTAACTATTCATGAAAGTTTCGTGATACTGTGTGAAGTTCTTTAAAAATTTATTTTTCTGGAATTATGGAAATAAAACAGCTCGATTTGATGAAAATTACGTAATCCACAAGTATTCGACGAGTTAAGATTTAAGAAATTAAACGCTGTCATATCTGCTACCTAAAAGCAAATTGTCTTTCTCCTCCTTTTCTATTGTCCCTTTTTTCTTTACAATTCAGGTTTTCCGAACTTCCTTTCCGAACTATTAATGTTTTTCATCTTTTCATCTATAATCCATCAGATTTTGGATTAATTAGCTTATAATTTTCATAATTTGGACTATAGATTATTTTCATCTCATCAATTTTCAATCATTACATTTGTAAGAATATGCATATACATCCAGGTATTAGTTATTAAATACATTTCATGCAAATTTTTTTCATTGTACGTAACTTGTTTTCTAGTTTTTAATATAATTTTCGAGCCTTTTACTCTTTTCTTGATGAGTTGAGATATTTGTATGCCTTGCTATTGAAATTTGTTTCTTTATTTGGTCTTCCTAATGCGTTTACTGATTTTCTAGTAAAGTCTTTAGGCGAAGTTATCATTAAAATTACTGAAGGAACGACAAAGAAACAATGATAAAAGGGAACAGAAAGCTTTTTTGCTCACGATTTTTTAGATCTTGCAATTGTTAAACTGCTGTTCTTTTAATAAAAGGTTTAAATTCAGCAATACGATAATTTCTAGCTCATTTGCAGATTAAAAAAACGATAATGAAGGAATCGAACGATTTGAAATAATTTTCTTTCAGTCTAATGATTAATTAAAAATAAGGACTCGTGTTGCAATATTCACTTTCACTAATGTTTGCATGATTCTGATTTAGCTTGCAGTTGTCATCATTTTGTTCGTCCATTTTCTAATCTTTGAAAGTTCTTTCATTTCGATAATTTATTGAATGCATTACAACATTCTCATTTATATGATATTACAACAGTGTTACTGTTTTTGTAATCGCGTTGGAATACTTTGTGATTGTTATCATTTCTTCGGTTAAGGTAAAACTTTCAACTTATTTTAATTTTTTGTCCCACAGCACTTTATAAAACTTTCAACTCATCTTAATTTTTTGTTCCAGCACTTTATTAAAGTAACTGTTGAATTACCTGCAAGGATAAGTTGTTCGACTGCTTCCTTAAAATTTTAAAAACAGAACGATCTGGTGCTGCAAAAGGGTAGTGCTAAATATGAACATATCAAATCAATGATGAAAATAAATGCTGCACAGTTTTGCCGGCTTTTTTGAACTGCTGTGCAATTTCATTCAGATTTGATAATAATAGCGAACGCTTCCTTTGCTTTTTTATTCTGGTTCTAAAAAAAGAAAATTTATGACTTAATTACAGAATCACCATTTTTAAAGTGTCAATTTCAGCGAAGAAACCATTTTTAAATGAAGACGAAATTCGGAAAATGAAAGAAGAAGAAACTAGGAAAGTAGCGAGTGGATCCACAAGAATAACCTTCAGCCCCGCAGATGATGAGCTCGACTGTTCATTCGAACATATCCTCAATAACAGGTTTTTCTCATTTTCTAGATTTCAGTAATAAAGTTTTGCGCCGTATTGAGTGCCTTTAGTCTACAGCTGCAAAACTTTGATTTCGACACAAATGTTGATAGTTCCTGTTTTCATGTAATTCTTATATCGAATCAAACGCTCACTTCTGTTTTCTGTTGGATTAACGTGCATTGTATAAAGTAAAAATGTAAATGACAGATTAATTATTCCATCTCTTATATATCCTTTTCTTGTTTATAAACGCGGGCCATGTAAATCGCAGAAATTACTTGCAATTTTTGTTATGCTATAAAGTTCAATTTTATTTTTCTGATTCAACGTGTAATAATTCTTAATTTTTCTTAGGATGGTATTTGCAGTAAACTTCTATATTATAAATTATTTAAGCCAAGGTTGTCATCAACATCTTTCTAAAATTTGTGAGCCATTTTTTTACGTTAAATGTAAACATTTTTTGTAGTGCTGTGCCTCGCACGATGCCAACTGTAATACGCACAAAAAAAGCGGAGAATCGTATGGTAGCTTGTTCTCCATTCCCAGTTCTAAGTGGTGAACCATTAAATTCTGTTGAGCAACGAGCTATGGAACATCAAAAGCGTCAGGAATGGCGGCAAGCGAGGTAATTTACGACTTTAAATAAATGAAATTATTTGACATAATGAAGTTATTATTGTGTTTGTTACTATAAGCAGCTTTTCAAATTTCGGAACAAGGGTTAGCATTTATGAAATTAGAAAGGATATTTAATTTGCGGGCTGTTATCTTTAAAGCAGTCTTTCAATTCATAAACAGTTATTTAGGTTCAAATCTCTGGAAGCCGACTCAAAAGCTGCAGATGAAGTTATGCAGCAAGTTGAGCAAATTAACAATGTAAGTTTTTTTATTTGGAATTGAAATTTAAAAATTTGTATCTCTTTCCTTTATGAAGCAAACAAAATAAATACTGATAAATCCTTGCAGAGACTGGCAAATATTATAGAAGAACACAACAACTCTCCTTTACTTGGAAATGAGAAGATTTTGCAAAATGAAACTTCATTTGAAAGAAATGAGTATGTCGATCCAATCACTGGTGATACGACTATTTCACTTGTTGAAAAAAGTGTCACTCAGAGAGAGGTGAACTAAGTGTAATCTTATGAATTTTTTTTTCTTTTTTTTAGATAAGTATGTTCTAGAGGATTAGTTTCTTTGAACAAATATGTCCTAGAAAATTACTAGTACTATTAGTGAAATAATTCTGTCAGTTCAGTGCTGCGCGATCCAAGTTCAGACACTTCATATATCCGCTAGGAATTAATCACTAATATTTCTGTTACGTAATCCTTCTTTCATAGCTTTGTAAGAAAGGAATGATTTTTGGCTTCTAACACTTTTCCTTGTCATCCTTCATAATTTTCAAGCCACACAATCTCAGTTCTGCTTGATACTAGGTAGCAGACAAGCATTAAATCTTTTTTATCTCCAGATCTTGTGTATATCTGCTTACATATTCCCTAGCAGTGGAAAATATTCATACAAATTTCTATTTATCGATTGTAAAGTTTATCAATCAAGTATAGATGAATTGGTTCAACCAATTATGTAAATTCTGCCTAAATTTATTTTCAGATAAACACATCTTCCACATTAATCAGTGATTTGAGTACAGAAATAGCGAATAATTCGAAAAAATCTGAGATAAACGTCAGTCAAAATTAATATGAAAGCATGAATTGTGCTACGATTATGTGATATAGTTCGATATGATGTTGAGATTACTGTCATCTGGTTCTAAACCATTTTGTAGGTCTATGTTTTTGTTTTTCGGAATATTTTCGATAATTAACTTTCTCAATGTTCACTAAAACATGCTTATCAATAGTACGGGGTAACACTTTTCAGAACTTTTTTCACAAATTTATGGCGCATCAATTAATATGGAAATAATGTGTAGAACTCTGATTTCCTTATTTTTCTGTTTTGTTAAAATCCGTATAACCAGTAGTAATAAAGAATTTAAGATTTGTATAAGGTTATTTTTCATTCAGTGTTTCATTATATTTGAATCCTTGCTGTTGTCTATTAGAGAATATTTCTACAGAGGAAAATAAGATACATTTTTATGAAAACAAAGGAAATGTCATAAGCGATTTCTCATATCGCTGCTTTAGTTGTATAAAATTTGAATAACATCAGAAGTTGTGGACTTTATATTTGATGTCAACAGTGCATAGTCCTCATTGTGAATGAAAAATTGTGTTATTAAGCTAAAAGTGCCTGTCCTTAGTATATTTCCTGCACAATTTGTTTTTTATCGCTTTTATTCACGTGGTTATGTATGTAACAGTAATTCGATTAGGAACTATTTTTTCCTCCCATTTTAATATAAGATTTTTTTTTAAAAAAATGAAAATCCATTTTGCTGCATTGTTTAAATCTAATTCAAATGAGAAATTTAATCAACCCAGTTGTTACTGGCACATAACTCCATTACCATGTGATGCAGAACGAATGATCTGTTTGAATTGCTACTTTCGTCTCACTTTTAATTATACTTTGACAGGTGAAGTTTTCTACTTCCTACAGAATTGACAAATTTTTTATCAGTTTATAATGAGAAAGAGCGAAATCTGAATATACCAGTTATTCAAAGAACAATACCTTTACTTTTATGCATTAATTATTGTTAGAGTTGTCATGCGATATACTTCTGTTTTCGGTACAAGGAGAAATTTCTTGGGTTATCTATTCATTTCGTCCATAAGGATAAGTGCCAGCTGATAATTAAATTGATAAATTTTCCACTGAATTACTATGTTTTTTGAGAGGGTTAAGCTTGTTTTATTCCTTTGAACTTTAACTCAGGATTCCATGATTTCATATCAGTTGTCATGCCGGTTGTGAAAGCTATCGATTGATTATACTTCTTTGTTTGCGTTGTTTATGCAGCGACCAAGTGCTGTATCGAAGTTTCACTAATTTTAATATTACATTTTGTAAATTCTGTAAAATTGCGAGGTGATATTTATTATTCTGTTATTGTTATAATTATTTTTATTGCAATGAATAAAGAGGATTTACCTACACCAATTTGTATGTACGCTAATATAATTAATATAAATCAAGTTTGTTTTGAATTTTTTCCATAGAAGTGGAGGAATAGTGAATGCTTCTAGTATGATAAGAATTGGCCTATTATGCAATTGTGTTTCTATTCAAAAATTATTGAAAACTGATGTCAAGTTTTAACGTTGCTGTTCGTTTAATTTGAACATCAAAGTGAATAATATTTGAACATGAATAATGTTTAATTATTTTAGGGTTTTCCAAATGGACATCGTTTCTGTGTGGGTGCGAATCATGCTGTTTGGTGTCGCAGAATTTTCTTAACAGCTGATTAAAAGTCAGCTTTACAGGCACTAATTTGTACACATTTCAATGATTTATATAAGTTAGATGGAAACAATTTGTATGATTTTTAGTGATGACTGGAAGAAATGCTGTTTTAAATAGATGGTATTCCTCGACCTGCTTGTTTGCATAATAATGATCATTGGACTGAAGAACATCTTTTCAAATTTTCTTTATCATCAATTTGATTCTTACTTGAATAGTCATTAATATAGCTAACTTGATTTGGAGATGTCTTTCACTTATTTCTTCGTTGAGAAATTATAATGTATCAATAGTACTGTTTCAATCAATGTAACAACACACAGTGGCACATTCTCATGCTTGTATGATGTGGAGTGTTACATTTTGCAAAGTTTTTGTGATTCAGAATAAATTTATTTGTCGAAGGAGTTAAATGTTTCTCAGTGTTGCTGTAACTATCCTTGATGGATTATATGCAAATGACAGTCAATTGGTTATAAACAACTATGAACCTTTGACATTTCGAAAAGTCAAAGATTTGCCTAAAGGGTTTGGTAGTCTTGAGAATTTCAGTGAAACTAAATATTTCAAATATATAACGTGTTATCTTCCAGTAATTCTTATTAATTGACATTTACATTATGTTTTTTTTTTTTTTATAATGATAAAATCATTAGTGGTATTGTGAAAATATACAAATCTATCAGTTGTTGATGTTAGAGACTTCGTGATCATATTAATTCTAGTCTTAACTGTAGATTAAGTCAGTATTCATCCTCTAATTATATTTTAATAGTCATTTTTCAATACATTCTCATCATTGAATTATTTTAATTTTTATAAAGAAATATTAAAAAAAAAATACACTAGAGGTTTCTAATCCTTCACTTCCTGCTTTACAATTATTATTTGTTAATTTCATTAGATATTTAAAAGGACTTGGATATAATTCTCTTGATGGAATTAGGCTGAAAGAATTACCGCTAACGACAAAAGCCTTTAGTTTGCACTTTTCAAGTATTAAATTTAACCGACGTTAATAACATTTTCTTCGTTTTCATATGTCCTTGCTGTAACTGTACATTTTTCTGTTCGCATTAATCAACACATAGCCTATCAGCTAAATGTATCGTTAAGAAATGTCGATATGATAGTAGAAGATTTCCAACTGAACTTTTAATTTGTAAGTATTTCAAGTTGACATTTATCAGAACCTTATGTTTAGCAAGACTTTCAATTGTAAAATATTAATGTTACTGTTAGTAAACTTCTATTTTTGCCACGTTCTATTATGTACTTTGATGAACACTGCGGTATCTCTTTGCTAATTCTCCTCCTGCAAAATTCCTGTATTATTTTATTTTATTGCTCTAGCCAACTAAAATCATTTCGTGTTATATAGTACAATATGAACAATTTTTTTCTAATTTGTGTACATTGAAGTAGAAACAAATACTACAACTTGCAGAAGTGCTGCAGCAGCTGCATGAGTATTATTATAGAAAGAAGTATCAATGATTACTTTGGAATGCTGTGTTTTCAGTGTGTTCAGGGTCATTAAGAAAACAACGATGATTGGATATTGGAAGGAAAACTGGCAAGGCCTGAGAAGTGTTCCCTCATTATCATTCCAAATTTCATCAGTTATATGAAATTTAATATATTTGAAAGATAATTACTTCTCTTCATTAAAATTAATTAAAATTCTTGGTCTATTTGTCAAACTTATTTTTCGAACATATATTTTGTTACTCCGGGATTAGTGTTTGAAGTTTCGCCTTTTAATGTTGCAAAAGTAGACATGTTCAAACAGAAAAACATTAAGGAAGTAAATAAGGGGCTGAAACTGTTAGATCAAAAGTAACGTTACATCCAGAATATTGGATTGGTAGTGATAGTATATAAAGACAAAAATTAGCAGTACTAAACACAATACATAAAAGAACAGCTTCGATGATTGTCATAGATGAAATTGTACATTTCAACTGAAGTTAGAGATAATTCAGAGAGGATACAGCAGGATAATCTTAGTATTAATGGTTTGAAACAAAAGTGATACATGAAATCCTTTTTGTCTAGATCTTCTTAAAATTTCATGTGAGATGGTAGTCATAACTTCTTTTTTTATGGTTTATGAAGAAAATAAGAAAATGGAAAAGAATAAATTTGTAAGAAAAAAGTGCTGTAGTAGAAATAATTAGTATTGCACAGGATTGAGTACCAATCTATCATTACAAAACTAACTTTGCGATCTCTTAATATTACGAAATAATTTGGTACCCATCAATAAGACTAAACTCAAGTATGTGCTACAGAGTTTTTGATCAGTAAGAAATTTGACTAAAGTGAAAATCCTATTGAAAACATTCTGAACTGAATTTGAAACAAAGATTAGAGTATTTTATAAAGTTTATAAGGTAAAATAAATGAAACACCCTAGTTTTTCAGTTTGCCATAATTTATCCTTAAAATAAATTTTTGCTTTTTTAATTTTCTCAGGTTTCTAATACCCATTCTCATAAAAATTTACGATGTCTTATGGAATAGTACAACTCGCTGGGAGTAGTTCAAACAAAAAAGACTGTGACCGTTAGTCTTTACTTAGATGAAATGCGCGTGAAATTAAGCAGCTCCTGGCTTCTTTCAAAACTTGCTAATTTTTTTTTGTCTTTGTTTTTGTTTTTTTGAAATATAGTGAAAGAGGTAAACGACATGTGTCAAATGTAATGGAAGAGACGACATAAACAACATGAAAAAAGACGGACAATTATTGGACATTGAAATTTTTACTTGCTGGATGAACAACGCGAGCTTTCATTCTGTTCAGCAATTCAATTTGCTTTCTAATTTGATATTTAATAGTGGAAATATTAGGAAGCACCAGACTTGATTAAGATAGAAATGACCATGGAAAATAAACAACTGTTTTTATACTTTGGTACGCAATTTTGTATGTTATGCTTTCTTGCTTCTTTTATTGTGTGTTTCTTGCTTTTATGTAACTTCTTTTATTCACCTTAATTTTTAATGACAAAAATATAATATATTTTCTTCATACTTTTTCCAAGCCAAAGATATGAATTCAATTCATAATTATTCATCAAAAATCTATGGAGGAAAGATGTTAATTGCTATACAAAGGTAGTTTATCTCCATAATTTTCGGTTAAAAAATAAGAGATTTCTTTGCAACTTAGAAAGGAATAAAATAGAAAACGCTTTTCACCCGTTAGATGCATATAAACAAATAAGCATTATCATTAGATTTTTGTGTTTTTAAGTTGTGCTGAACCTCATTTTGCAAATTAGAAATGTTACTAGTGATAGTCATTTCCACCTTTTTCCAACTGTTTATTGTTTTTTAAGAAAGTAATTTCACTTAATGTTACCTTCAGATTGCATTTTGGTTCAATTCTCGATATTTACTAGTCGTTTTTCGAGTTATTTGTATCATTTATAATTCTTATTCTATAAAAGTGACTACTTGCCGTAATGTTTGTTTCATTCAAAACATATTATTGTTGTTATGAACTGAGCAGCAGCAATAATATTAATTTCCTAAAACTAAAAATAAAACTCAAATAAAGACAGAATGATTTGCATATCTAACAAACACCAGATTTCCTTACTGGCGCATTACGCCAAGAGGATTTGCTTGCATGCATACTGTGCACATTATTTGATTCGCGTTAATTATTTTTATGAAGTTATCGACCCATTATGAATACGATTTTATGTATTATTTGAAGTGTTGTTAAACGTTTCTCAACAAGTGGGGTTGAATTCGATAGGGATTTAAGTCCTACCATACGTTTCTTCTAATTATTAGTTGTGGTACTGAGTTATTCTCTTGCATTAAAAAAGATGATCTCAATTTTGAAGAAGTGAAATATGTAGTGGATCCACTTTTGAAATTATATCAAACAAGATTAGATAATGTATCAGCTTTGTTTGCTAGTGCTTTTTAAATTTGTTGGTTCAGGGAAAAGGGAATTATTCGTTCGCTTAATGTAATTTGTGTGACCGTATGTTGCCATATATACTGAAAGATGCCACATTGTTAGATGAACGTTAATGTAGTAATTTTTGGTTTATTACTGGATTGGTGCAGCAATCATGCAGCGATAGCGCAGCTGTCCATGCATTTTACTGCTTTGCGTACTCAATGCTTTAGCGCACTATCACCTTTACAGCATCCTACGTTAATTGATGTCATCTTTGTTCCTTGTTGACTGCCATTAAAACAACGTAATATTTCTTCTTCCATCTTTTAATGAAATGTTCCTTACGTTATTGGCTATCGTTACAAAGCATATAGTTTATACTCTCATTTACATTGTATAAAGTAGGTTCACCTTGCTGTAGCTGCACTCGAATTTGATCAATATGTCTTGTAGAAGAGGGGAAGTCATTTCTATTAGAGCCATAATGATATTTTTGGAATATTTCGTTCCAGTCGGATTTATGTCATCCCTCTTCATATCGAAATGCATAGAATTATTTTATTTCAAAGCATTTGCTATTTCGGACTTGAATCACTGAACTTATCCATTGTTCATTTATTGTACACATTTCAATGTTGTTCATTTATTTCATTATTTATTCTTTTTATTTATCGGATGATAATAACTAACTTATAGTCCAATGAATCAAATTGAATCAATTAAAACAGTACGATAGAGATGTGAAATCAGTAAGTCTGATGAATTTCATGTCGTCCTGAAGCAGAATAGAAATGCTTTTGCATGACATAGTCTCTTATCCAAGAACCATTCTTAAATAATTTATTAATATTCTTCATTTTTACATCTTTACCTTACCAATCATTGCATTAACTACACGCAACTCCCTTTACATTCTTCAAACAGTTCAAACATAAGAATCAGCCTGTTGAAGTCACTTCAGATGCACTTGTCGAGTAAACTGAAGCATTCACTGCTTAGCAGTAATAAAAAAGAAAAAAAAAATCAAAGATACTGTCTATAGAATTACAACAAGTTATAATTTAAATTTGAATTAATTGTTGTCTCCTTTTATACCAATTCTTGCATTTAGTCGAAAATAAAAAAAAAAAGAAAAATGAGTCACATAAGTGTATTATCGTATTTAATATAAACTTTTGTAGGCATTTTGAAAATTACGCTAAAAGTTGCTCTAATATTTTTTCAGTGTAGCGTCTTTTAAGGAACAAATTTTTTCAAGAGGAATATTTTCAGGATATAGGATGCGATATTCGAAAACGAATACAGCATATTAATAGAAAAACGAAATCCGAAATGGAGTGTCCTGAAAAAGAAAAGCATATCAATATTACTTCGATCATTATAATTCATTGAATGTTTTACCAAATTGTTAAATGATTTGTAAATAGATTTATATAAATTCATTTTTACACAATTATTGCTACAAACTTATGGGTGACTGGTTTCTTCTAATTCTGACAATATTTGTTATTACGTCAAGTAATAGACAAAAGATGACAAACGTTTGCTTAAAGTAGATTCTCAAAATCAACGGTGGTTAGCAATTGGTTTATCTTAAATGGATTATGAATTGAGAGGGTTCATCTTAAAATTGAGCTAAAATTACTAGCTCCACTCATTTACTTGCTTCAAATCACTGCAACCGAATTGAAGTCAGCGGTTTTCAAAACAGAGTTTTTCAACAATTGAAGATAACGCACTCACTGATAACGATAAGATCAGAGATTGCTGATATATTGATCAGTTTTGAATCTATCTGTTATTTGTTGCTAACTTGTTTAGTGGTCCGCTGAGGTATTCCACAGTAGGTGGAAAGATTGATGCCAGTCGAGCTTAGCTTAAGATTATAAGAAACAAGGTGATACGTGGTGAAGAGAAGAGGAAAATAAATAAAGAACTAAAACTATTTGTTATTGTCGTCGAAATAGGACGGCAAGGGCTCACTTCGTAATTAGTCACGTAATAAATGAATGAGATATACCGTAATTAAAAGCTTGTTTAGTAAGCTTATTTAATGAGTTTTTAAAGAAAACTTGTTTTAAATGCTTGGAAAATCTTTTAAAATATGCAGTGCTGAAGAACTGAGAAGGAAAGGAGGAACCTCTCGAACTTTTATTATTACGGTGGTTTGCACTTGCATGCGGATTTGCTGGTTTTTTGCTCTATAAGCTGCACACTTCATTTCTCTAATGCATCTATCCCATTCGTTAAAGACAGTGCAGTTGCAGTTGCAGTTACGGTTATAATTTGTATTTGCAGCTTACTCTGTGCTCCTTTCATATAATATCACTAATTTAACGGATTCAATCACCTCATCCGGAAATATAAATGACATAAGCCGAATTGACCCATCTTCGACCACAAGACTTTCAATTTGTTATTGTAGGAAGTTTCTTGTTTTGAATGTTTTAGATTAAGGCAGTACTGTTTATGAAGTGAAATGTTCCTTCTGTATTGCACCAGCAAGTAATATATATATACATATATAGATTGAGGCCAAGTAGATGAGGAGAAGGCTAGGCTTGCAAGGAAGGGCTCCGCCCTCGCCTACTTCTTGAATGTTAGCTCGCAGTGCAATGGCAGCAGTATCGCCATTTATCTATCATTAACGCAGCAGGCAAAGCTTTCATGCGACTTTCAGGTTTCATTAGGAAATAATACTTGGGCGAATTTCCGGTTTCAGTCCGAAACTGAAACAGACTTGCTATCTGCGATGTCTACGGTCACAGCAACCATACCAGATATTTGCCCGATGCCTAATCATCAGCAGCTAGGTATGTTCATCATTTCTGTTTCTGTTCAGTGACACATCTATTCATCGTCATCATTAAAGGATACTGTAACTGTTAAAGCTTGGTGTAACTTCCTGAAATATATGAATAACTCATAATTTTCATTTAATATCATAAGAATGGATAACTGCAGATTATAAACAGATGTCAAGTAACATTATAAACAGATATAAAGGAGTTGAGCATGAAGTGTATAGTAACAGAGAAGTTAAAGTTTATCATAATAAATCCTCGTTGCATAATTTTGTTTTCATTTTTAGAGGTTTAGAAATTTCTCGACATAAAGTGATGTTTTTTCGGGAGAAAAATCACCTCAGTATTTGCAATTAACGAAATGTGAAAGATTTTGTTGAGCAGTTGGAATCAAGGGAGCAAGGAGTAGAGAATATCCATTAAGCGAAGTTTCCATTGGGACTTCCCAAATACTAACCATATTTCTGAAGTATTTTTCTTCCTTCGAGACTTTCCTGAAAGAAATATCCCATCTCTCCAAGATAACCTCAACAAAATATGTTCGTTTCCTCGGCAACAATAATGCTGTTCGAATAAGACTTTGTAATCTCACACATTACGGATGAAACCTTCCTAAATCAAGCAGCTTAAGTCAGCGTCAAATCCTCTTCTATCTCAGCATATAAATAACATATTCCACATACTACTCTCTATCATCAAACTTTTCATAAATTTTATTAAAAGTGAACTAGAAGAAAAGCTGATCTTTTGTGATTCCATATTTTCCGGATTAACTTCCCATTTTCTTTTTCCTTTCATTTCCTCATATAAATAAAACCGTATGAGTATTGAAAGTGCTTCCACACTAAAATTTTTATGGCAAATGAATTATCCATACTAGTGATAGAGCACAAGCTCACTAGAATGTAACTTGAACAGTAGGCGAATTTCTTGTTCTGATAGGAACGATTCAAAAATAATAAGACTCAGTAGTGGTTAAAGTTAATTATTTTACAGAAATCACGGAAAAAATTTAATCTGTAAGAGAAGAAATTTTCTTCTTCACTTTCTATCCATCCTTAAATCAGTATTTATTGCATGACATACACACACACACATACACACATACTGAATGCAGTTTACACGGGCGGTGGATGAACTACCAACGCAAATTGTTTATTGAGTAAAACATGTACAGAGAAGCACATCTGCCAACTATTAAGCAGTGACGGCTTGAAAGCATATTATTTTGCTCATATTGGCCTTTTCCTTCCATCCGATCCCATCAATTATGAAAACAATTGAATAAGTTCTTCCTCTTTTCTTCCTATAGCTATTTGGTCTCGTATATTACATTTTCGCGCAGTAGTGAAAAGTATATGTGAAAAGGAAAATTCACTTTAAAAGCAAATGAGAAAGTTTGCACAATTTTTTAAATTGAAACAATAAATTTTCTTCTAAATCGTAAATTTTAAATTTGCCTAAAACAAAAATTGAAGCAAATTTCTGCTAATGTATTTTTGCAAAAAGATCTGCCATTGTATTTATTGCTTTAATGTCGAACAAACTTCACTTAGCTCTAACAAATCTTTGCTGCATTTCTCAATTCTTATAATTCTACTGCAGTTCATGCCAAATCTTGTTTCACGAAGATAATCTGTTACTATTTTCAGTTCCTGTTTCCATAATAACAACCTTGCGAAAGAAGTTCTTGAGTATCAATATTAGTAAATGTGTGTTTCTTCACATTTGTGTTTAATTATTAAAAATTAAGATCCTCTGCTAAATTTTAACTTCCACCTTCTTAAGAGACTTTATCATAATCATTTTCTGTTAAAAGATTTTGAGAAAGAAATTTGTTACATTGCGCGAAAACACTTTAAAAATACTCCTTTGTCGTATAATTTTATTGTTAGCATTGCAAATATTGAAGTGACAATATTAATTTAAGCGGTAGAAACATAACTCTAAAATTTACTCGGATTACTTGACATGAAGTTGTCACAGTAAATAAACATAAACACACTCAAAACAATTTGTATTTATCTGATCGGTTGTGATAATGTTATATTAGTATTACATTAAGTAATCCGATTATTGCGAGTAAGTTTTAACATTTAAAAATTTTGTCAGATGTAAAAATCAACAGAAATTTTAGCTGTAGTAATTGTGTTGAAAATTTTCACATAAGATAATAATATTATCTTATTAAGAAACTCTGCTGTGGGGAGGGAAATTGTTGGAGTTCATCTAATTAGGAAGATTTACGCTTTCTAAACAATAATACTTTGATAGTCAATATGCTATTTGTGATAAAGTTCCTTTGAATGTTATTGACTATTTGAGAAAATCTTTCATGATTAACAATCGGTTTTTTTTTTTTTTATTAAGTAGTTGCTTCGAAGTTTGAAAGCTTTGTATTTTATTTATTATACTTTTTATATTTTTTATTATACTTGGAAAGTAATCTTGTCGAGTCTCAAAAGTCACTTTCTTCTCCACAAATAATTTTAGGATAGCATATCAGAAAATATGAGGAAAGCTAGCGAAAAGAGTGATTAGCAACAATTAGCAAAATCATAAGTCAAGAAAAAATTGAAATTGAGGAAAGATTATAAATCGAATCGGATTGGTGAAAAGTTAATACAATAGATACTTTATTATTTTTCCACACAAATTTTATTCACTTGTTTTTCCTAAATATAATACTTGTGCGCTTAATTTTCAATAGATACTTTCCTTTTTCACACTCATTTTTCAATTTCTATGTTTTTAATCCACGAATTAAAATAATTTAGGAAAATGCATCTTACAGATAAACATTTTTAAAATCCTTTTTAGTTACAATAGTTACATTTGTTAGAAAGAAATTGTTTTATCCGGTTTGTACAGTTAATTGAAGTATTATTGTAAATGTGCTAACTACAAGATTTATTTCAAAAATTTTGAATTTCATTAATTATTTGCCATTTCGACGGAGATCGCCATTAATGAATTAAAAATGCAGCCTATAGAAGGAAACTAAATAAAATGATTAATTTCCTGTTGAGTGACAAATACGGGACAGAAATTTGAGGATGGAACACTCAACTTTTATGTTAGGTCGTATAAATATATCCACAAAAATTTTGCATTTCTATTTATTTGGACGAAGGGAGGAAACAACAAAACTCCCATGTGACTTGGGAGAGCCTGAATCAGACGTACTGGTCATGTTTATGGGGTTGTTAAAGGCAGTCGGTAGGGATTAGTCCTCCTCACCTTATACGCTCATCAATTATACCGTAATCTTTTTATAGTCCATCTCTTCATCTTAATTTTAATGCTGCCGTAATGAACTATTAGAGGCCATATTAACGAAATAACGTTTTAAATAGATATTTGAGGAATGATTTCTTTTTTTAAGTTAAAAATTTATTTAGATGCTTAAAATTTCTCGCTGAGCAGATGAAAAGATAATACTGTATTCCTTAGAAGAAGATTTTCATCCTTTATTGAATCCAAAATTATGTTTTAAAAAATAACTCCTAAATATCAGTGTAGATAGCAACGTGGAGTATAGAAGTATTAAACTATAAATAAACGAATTAACTTTCTAACAGTTTTCTATAGTCGTAAATTTGAAAACGAAGATTGACTTCAAAGTATTATCTTTTTATCAAATTCTAGCTCAGATTCAGTTCGAAAAATGAAGTTAATATTTTTGTTTTAAAATTGTGGAAGATAAAAGACATAAGGGTTGAAATTCTCCAGTTAATTATAAATCACAGAATTTCGGTTTTGATCGCTTCTTCAATTTTCTGATCAAACTTAACTTTTCATTTGTAGAAAAACTTAATTGTGGCAAATAAACGTAACCACAGTGGAAGAAATTAAATAATATGCATTGAAATATTATAAATAATTGATATGTATTCCGTGCATGTGACTGATATTTCCATCTGCCATCCTTCGATAAGCAAATGCATTTCTGTCACAATTTCATATCATATCCCATTCCCGATAGATGGAATGCGACAGGCGCATTCCATCTATTGTGTATGATCTCGATTCTTTCATTTACCATATTTCTCAGTCATCGAATTGGAAATCCATTTCTTTAACCAAATTATTCCTTAACCAGAATTTCCCTCAGACTTTTTAATTTTAATCTGTTCTGATTCACACTAAAATAACTACAATTTAATTTGTTTTAATTTGCGCTTTATTTGATGGAAATTTCCATCACCTTATTATCGTTTAGTTTTTTTTTTTTAATTTGAAACATTTACAGACAGAAAATTTGGCTTTTAACATTCGGAAAGTACTTCATTCTTTTCTTCCTTAAAGAAATTTTATTTTGGTTTACAAGTATTTTGCGCAGTCTTCGTATACAATATGAAAGCATTAATCATTTGCAAATTGATATATTGTACAAGTAACATAAAATTTACTTCCGCAACAAAAAGATTTTGATATCCAATTCTAAGGTTTCAAAGCTATCTGCACGCACAGAATTATGAAATAGCACCATAATTCTCTTAGTGAATCTTCCCTGAATTCGAAGTACAAATGAAAATGCTATTAAGGATTTGCACTGCCTTTCATGACTTCGTTTAATTTGGTTACGTTGCGGAATGCTGGAATTGCTGTGGTAAATTACAAAGTATGCTGCATGCTGCAGCCAAGTGCTGCTGTGTGTTACATGATAATTATTGCAACAGTTATTGCAATAATGAAAACTAATCTTGGAGATTACAAGTGGACAAAATGTCAAAGAGTTTAATTAATAAAGTTATTAAGGTACCGCTATTGCACAGAACATCAACAATAGGAGTGGGACAGTGTATGTATGTAGTAAATGTGAAGAGCCCATTCGTGATCGATTCGTCCTGAAAGTGCTCGACCGCTCGTTCCATCCGCATTGTTTACGGTGTGTTTACTGCGAACAACTTCTCTCGTCCAAATGTTACTTAAAGGGCGGACAACCGTATTGCAAGGATCATTTTTACAAGTACTTAATTTACAATTATTTCAAAATTTCCTTTCATCACAGACTTAAATAACGTTGAGCTTAAGTCAAGCTAAGCATTTGAAATGGTTAAGACCAGAGTAGTCTAATTAATGAATGCATTAGCGATAAAGGTCACTTACTAATACGTGCATTTTTTCGATAGGTCAATAGGTGCTATACCTATTATTCTACTGTAACCTTTTGAATCATGTCAAGGAAGAGGCTTAGTTTTAATAGTCTTCATATTTTTGTTATAAATAAACTTCAATTAAATTGAAATATAGTACTATAGAAATATATGCCTGTACTCATTTTCCTTATCTTGTCATAGTTAACCACATAAATTATAAATCATTAAATCAGAAATCAGAATATAAAACACAAATTATACTTCGTTTTTTTCTGATTTTAAGTTACTGCAGTTGCAGACGATTCGGTACGAAATGTTCAATGTGCGACGAGGGAATATGTCCAGATATGGTGGTGAGGCGAGCTAATGAACACGTTTATCACGTCTCCTGTTTTCAGTGTATCATCTGCAAACGCGAACTTCGAACTGGTGAAGAGTTTTATTTAATACCAACTGATGGTCGTTTGGTTTGCAAATCCGATTATGAAATGGCTAAAAGTAAAGGTTATCTTTTTAAATCCTTCAAATCAAAAAAAATTTTTGGATCTAGCTTTGACTATAATATATACATTTCTTCGCCTTCATAGGAAGTTTTTATGATAGCACTCCATAAATTAACTTTCATCAGAACTTTTAGCTGAAATTTGTTTTTTAATATGATCCTTTTTAGAAACGGATATTGATTCGAATACAAAACGACCGAGAACGACGATATCAGCAAAAAGTTTAGAAACATTGAAACAAGCTTATCAGGCAAGTTCAAAACCAGCAAGGCATGTTCGAGAACAGTTGGCTGCTGACACTGGTCTTGATATGAGAGTTGTCCAGGTCATTTCTTGAAGCGTCATTTAGGCTTTAACCATGCTGGTTTGAACCTTAACTATAAACAACACATTTTAAGATATATATGGCTTGACTTAAGCTCTTATTCAGCTGCAGATTTGCGAAACTGTGTGATTCCAAAAATAATATTACAACATAGCATTTAAGTGTTTGACTTTTTTCATATTTTATCTAGCTTGTTTTACGCAAGAAAGTTGGGTCATTATATTAAATAGGACTAAATTTACAAAATTTATAGCTGCTGAGACTTTGAATGACCTCCGCAAACTTTATGGTAGCAAGTCAAAAAGATTTTGTTTTCCTTCACTTCATATATTTTTCACTTTTAACCAAATGTACACTCATGACAAGTAGACACATTGCTTTCCAGGTTTGGTTTCAGAATCGTCGAGCAAAAGAAAAACGTCTGAAAAAAGATGCTGGACGTCAATGGGGAACGTATGGCATACCCAAAAGCCTGGATAGTGGTAGTGCATCACCCAACGATAGTATTTGTGAGAGTCCTGTTTACGGTATCAGCTTTCTACTCTCGAGGATTTAATGAATTTATGCGATGAATCATTTGCATATAAATCGTACGCTGTATCTTCATTTGCAGTGACTGTTAAAAGAGAAATTCCAAATTTACACTTGTGATTATTCTTTTAGGAGTGGGAGGATATTTGGATATGCCTATGGATACTGATGGCCAGTTCGATGTTGGATATGGTAGTTTGTTCGATTATTTAACATATCATGTAGTCTTTTTATTGCAACAAGGAAGAAGGGACAAGTGCCCCAATACCTGCATGCATTTCTAAACACATTTTTTTCTTGTTTTATTGAAATGGACTGAGTTCTTTAGAAGTCAGTGCAAATATTAGTTCTTTTTGTATACCTTAAAGTTACAATAAAAGGAGTTGGGCAATTCGTTTCTCACCTTGCTTAAGTAAACTTTCTACGATCTGAGATTTATAAATGTCAACCTCATAAAAAGATCACTTGATCTAATAACCTTTCCAAGCCGTTTTAAGTTCTTTTATATTTTATTACTTGACTTTGTAAATATTTTATAGAGGCGGATAGCGGTTATAGTTGTGGGATGGATGTATTGGCGCCAGCTGGTTCACTGCTCGGTCTTGATATTTCAGCTAAAAATCAACTTGAACAGCAACAACAGCAAAATCTACTCTTTATGCATATGAAATCCAGCCCAACTACCGAGAATAACCCACATCTCGAGTTGCAGTTCCCGTGACAACATATCTTCACTTATCATTCTTGTTAGCAGTAACTGCTTGCTGGTTGATAAATGTATGGTTGTAATGGAGCATAAAGCTTTGAATGGATTGAACTATTCACCTAGAACACTACTGAGCGACTTCGTCTTAAAGGTTTTCTTATTTGACCCTACTTTTATATCATCATCAACGTGATACACACTACTGCAATGGATGAACAGTTCTCATCTTCTTATTTGTTTCAAAGATTTCAACATAGGTAGCATTTTATCAAAACTTTAAACATAGGCTACAGGAATGTTCGTCTAAATCAAGATTTTTTCTAAGTAACTCTATTCTCATATATAACTTTATTATACTCAGAGGAGCCAGATATAAATATTTTACAAAGGCCATATCAGCATAGAGAGATATAAATAACGTTTATCAGACCAACCTGATTTAAAGAACTAAATTTTACGGTTGACAATATTCATATATTTGTGTTTCTATGATTACAATACAAACGTTTCAATCAATAATACATTTCCTCCTGTCAAAAATACTCACGTTGCTCTACGTTATGTCTTATTACTCTGATAATGAAGCAACCATCTAGACATGGGCACTAATTGCCACTTGTTAACGGATTATACTTTACATGAATGAACTGCACCAGCAATATCATAGGCTGCATTTTTCTTCTACTTTCCACTGATAATCATTAAATAAAACGGGTATTATACCACATATGAAATCCATACGAAAGGACTGTATGCTTCCCTTGCTTCGCTGATAACTGACGGAAAGGATCTGTGGATGTGAGGAAGAACAGTTCCGACAAGACAAGTACTGAGGTGCGGACGATTGCAATCCGTCCGCACCTGAGCAGCGCGCTACCGATGGACGTGACCACCGCACTGCTGCAACATATCCCACCACTTTCTCACATATCTTACACTTCTTGCACTGCTGTAACATATTCTGTCCTCCATTTCACGTACTTTCACGTGACATTCCCTACGTGCTTACTATCAATGCAACATCTCTGTCTCTCTCTCCACTTTATTTGCTCTTCATCGCGTGTTCACATTCAGCATTTGCACGTTTCTCGCGATAGACATTCATACTCCTTGGAAATATTTGCTGTAGATCTCAAATAAGAACACTCGGTGAAATTTGCATATCACTAGAGATGGTGCATTCTGATCTACGGGCAGAGACAGTGGATGTAAGAGGAAAGGGAAAGAAAACGGAATTGGGAGAGAAATGAATAGTGGCGAGTTGGGCATTGTTAGTGAAAGAGTGTGCATGGGGATATTATCCGTCCATTTCCGGTATCCGTCTATTTTATAGGATGGTTGGCATGAGGTAGGGCGGTTACGTGTGTAGTTGAGTACGTGAGTGCGTGTTCCTCGCATGGATAGTGCTTGTATCCTTTGTCGACATACTTTTTGTAGTATGCATATGTAGTTTTTGGTGAAGAAGCGAAGAACTATTATGGTACTGCATGGATAATGAATATATCTAAGCTAGTCTCAATGGTTGCGATATTCTCCAAAAATTTAAATTGTTAATTTCGAAAAGTATAGAATATGAAAATTCGGATGGGGAAAATTGCGTTTAGGCCAATTAGATATCAAACTTATAGGATATCAGAGGTTACGGTAGTTGCTACAGAAAACAATTGCCACATTAATATGATTTTAGGTCGTCGGCGTTCTCGAGGTTTGGTGCCGACAGTAACAACATAGGGGTCCTAACAATTGAACAACCTGACAAGAAGTGTTATCCTGAGAACAAACAAACTAGCCCTGTTGGTTAAAGCTTGCATTCCTTCATTCTGCATTTCATTTCATTTCTTCTATGAACTAATCTACTTCGTATCTCTCATCTTGTCTCTTTCTAGTCTTCTTCAACCCTTCTCTCTTTATAAGAAACCTTGGGCTGGAAATGTAAGTTGCATTCAGACGAAGCTATTAGCCTCGAAGTATTTTCCTAGTGGCTTATCTCCAACTTTCACTCCTGTTTGTGTAATTTTCACTCCCATAGTATTAATAATTTGATCCACAGCTGAAACGAAAATTAAAAGATTGTTAGATTCAGAATCTGTGGATCTGAAATCATAATGTTTGTTCGTTATAGCCTCTTACCACTGTCATTTTCCCGCTACTTTACAATTTTTGAACTCGAAGCAGTCTTTAGTTCTCGTTTGAATCATGGAAACATCCGCTGCAACATCTGCTGGACAGCGGTGCACACCGATCGGTCAGCCACTTCTTAAAATGTTCAAGGATTTTGAGGTATCGTCATCATAAGAACTTAAATATTGTTTCTTTCGACTTGATAAAAATGCACAATCAATTTTCACTAAGATTATATGCTAAATTTTTGTGTGCTTTAGACATTTACACCATTTGGTCAACCAAAAACACCGAAGAAACAGCTACTTCCACTTCGAAGTGATAAAGGTTTGTCTTTTTATAAAGCTCTTTTTATTACTTGAAGATTTTAACATATGCATTGCAAATTAGAACAAATTTTTGTACTGTTGCAACTTTGAGGGAACACGGGATCGGGAAATGGAAACTCAGCACAAGGGGAAGTAACAGGTACAGAGTGCACGATGGAGTATCTTGCTGATCTTCTAAAAGAGAAGAAACAACTTGCTCTGTTTCCACAAGTTTTTCGTCACATGGAACGTCTGGTTGATGAAGGTAAATGTAATTTTTTCTTTTTTCTAAAAATGTTTCCCTAACTGTTTCTTATCAGATATAATGCGAGTATTTTATTTGACAGAATCACAAATGACTTTGACTTTGCTCCAATTCTTTAAATTTCTCAAGAACTTACTTTTGAATTTCTCCAAGCGCAGTGATAGTGAGATGTGTATTCTTTAAGATTCATAGAACTAATTTTGCTAGAATAAGTGATTTTTTGCTTTTCTCTTCCTCGTTCCTGGTTCATAACAGAATTTCATAATTCTGGAAGAAAAGACATCTGTATCAATTTATAGTATGCTGAGTTTTTCTTTTTTCAGAGATTAATCGCGTTCGCATGGCACTTTTCCAGTGTCATTTTTCCATTGAGCGCCTTGACTTACCAGAACCAGAGGGCGAGCCAGTTACTATTCAAGAGAAAGTGTATGTGCCTCGCAAGGAACATCCTGACGTAAACTATTTCTGAATTGAATAAAGACTTCTACCGATTAAAATCTTTGACAGCTTCATAATTATTATATCAGTTGAAGAAATAAATAAAAGATTATCTTATTTTAGTACAATTTTGTTGGACGAATTCTTGGTCCTCGCGGCATGACTGCTAAGCAGCTGGAACAAGAAACAGGCTGTAAAATCATGGTTAGAGGACGTGGGTCTATGCGTGATCGCCGGAAAGTATGTTACAGGTTTTGAGAGGTTTGGCATTAGAGGAAAGTTTGGTGCGAGCAACCCAATTTGCATAATAAATGAATTAGAGAACTTATTGGATGAATATTATAAGTAATAATGACTGATGAAACTTGACATATTTAGTAGGGCTAAACTAAGAAGTACTATCTTCTTATCTAAAATAGCTAATTCATTAAGTTCTAATGTTGTGCAAAGGCTATTTGAAGTAAAACATGTTTCAAATTTACTGTTTTAAGGAAGAGATGAATCGAGGCAAGCCAAATTGGGAACATCTCGATGACGAATTGCACGTCTTGGTTCAGTGTGAAGATACACCTAATCGTGCTTACACAAAACTAAAAGCTGCTGTCGATCAAATCAAGAAATTACTCATTCCATCGGTTTTTCATTCAAATTTTCAACAAAGCTCGTTACATTTTTTTGAATTTGCATACTGAAAATCAAAATAAGTGAGAACTGAGAATTTTAATTATTTTAGCCGGAAGGAACCGATGAACTGAAGCGAAAACAGTTGATGGAACTTGCAATTATCAATGGAACATATCGACCTGTCAACAAATACCCATTACGTTCGTTGCTTATTTTGAAAGAAAGCATTTGGATTGCAACAAGAAAACAATTTATGATTATTTGCGTGTGCTTTACTCCTAATTCGTGATCTTTCACTAGAAATAATTCCAAAGCTAACGCTTCAGTCTAACTCTTTGCTCATTAATTCCTTAAATTTTCTGTAATTGGCGTGTTATAAATTTGTTGCAGAAACACCACGACTGATTGCACCAATGACACTTGTCTCACCGATACGTCATCCGAATGGTTCTATTGCTGCTCAACCCATTTTCGTTTCACCAACAGGTAGCCCGATCACTCCAGGAACGAACATAAACACACCGACTGGCGTTAATGCTTTCATGCAATCGCCTAATATTGATTATAACATGATGATGAAGTACGCATTTGTATTATCTAAATTAACCGGTCGTAAGACAGGAGGACAGTCGTATGTCAATTCTGCTACAAAAAAGAAAAAAAAAAAAAAATTATGGTCATCCATCAGTGTTTCTGCTCAATTACCGTATATTTCAGTCAGTTATCATTCGATGCTGCGCTCCAATCCTTCCCAGTGGCAGGTGATTACCAAGCACATTCATCGACTGCCTATCCAACTACAACATCTCTACTTAATGCAGCTACAACAACTGGTAATAACAATACGCTACAGTCCTACTTCATCGAATCTAATCCAATCACACCACCTGAATCCACTGGTTCTGGTCGTCGTTAACTGAGGATTCTTCATCTGTTCGTTCAGTATTTTTTTTTTTTGGAACGTACATCAACAGATTCATGTACAGGTTTTACAGCTGTGTTCAATTTCTGTTTCGGGTGGAACAGTCGTTTTTATATAGTGGGAGGTATTGTTTTCTATAAAAGTACTAACCGTCAATTAATTATGGTTGTAATCATTTATTTTCATTGTTGCTATTCCCTAAATGTTAACAATGCTTTTTTTTTTCCTTTTGCAATTACGTTTTGTGCGCCTCTGTGCTGTAAGCCCAGTCTTGCGACTTAGCAGACACTTTTTTTTTTAATTCCATTTTAATAGTTTATTTCCTGTTGTTTCATCT